TTCTCCTGTTGTTTTTTGTGATCATGAAATTTATTTTCAAGAGTTGAATTCAAAGATTTTTCTCTTTGCTGCCTTTGTTATTGCAATGAAATCCTGAATTAAACACTCATTTAATGGATATGGTTCATTTATCAACAATTTTTATTGAAAATATAGTATTCATACATGCAAATGACTGAATTAGGATTATGTCAACAATATTAATGTTGCTGTTAATAAAGTACTGGCACTCTTTGAATTGTCAGGGCTTTACTTTGCTGTCTCTGTGATGTTCTCTTTGGTATAGCTTTTTAAATGGATATTAGACTAGTAAGTTTGCTAGCTGTGTTTGTTATTACATAAATATATTTAAAATAGTGTATGAATTGAAGCTTTTGGATGAAACTGGGTAGATGCAACGTGTACTTAAATGCAGTTGCAGGGCTGTAGTTATATACCAGAGCATCCACTCTTTTTTTAGGAAGATAATATTTTGTGGCAGAAAGTAGTGTGTGTTTTGAGTTACTTGACTTTCTATCAAAATTCTAAAATTCAGCTGCTCCTGTAGGGTCTGTGACTAGAATATGTTAAATGATGAAGTATCTATAGAGACAGCTCAACTGCAACCTGGCACAGAGCCCTTTCTGCTTATTCTGTGTGTGCCAATAAGGTCTGCTCTGGTCTTAGCCCAGTGGCTCACATTGGTTGCACTGACCAGCTCCAGCTCCAGCTGATCATTTTGTCCCAGCTCTTCTGCTTTCTTGCTGCTCTGAGGTCCAGTGTCTCACACGTGGTCAGTTATGGATCAAGAACTGTCGCGTTTTATTCAGCTTGGATTCAAACTCTGATGTTGCTCGACCACTAAGAGTGAAATTGCACATGGCATTTTGTTTGGCATTTGCAAAAGCTGAGTGTATAGTTTCAAATGATAGTTAATTGCAATATGATAGTTAATTGTAATATGTCATTACTCTAAGGTGTCCATAAAATAATTGGAGAAGCGTTTCAAGCATTTTCTCAGTGGTAGGTGTCTTTCCTTCCCTCCTTGGGGAGTACAAAGCTCTGCTTCTAGCTCTTGCCATAGCTAGGCAGTTGCACCATCTAGAAACATTGCACTATGACCCTTTTTGGAGAGGAAATGGGGGAAAAAAATCACTTCTTGAAATGTTTTGTGTAAGAGTATTCCTATTATATGTGGAAAAACCAAATATTTTATTCTGTATGGCTACATAACCAGACTCCAGAAACAATGGAAGCTGTACTGTATGGCAAGCTGAATAACCTATAGAGAGATTTGGTGCATCTTGAGAACAGTTTCTTTGTCTTTAATCCTCCTTTTTCATGTTTTAAGTGACATTCTTGTATGATTTTTCAGCTTGCTAGGTTTTGTTGGCCTTGTAATTGTTGAAATGGTGATTAAAAGGAGATGGGGAGATATCTGGTAGTGATGTGTGCTGTGTACAGGCACTGCTCTGCAGTCAATAGCAGTAATAATGAAGCCTCCAATGAGTATGTACTAGTATTTTTCCAAAAAATCGGATCACATTGATCACACTTATCTTTTGAAAAATTTGTGGGTTTGTGTTTTTAATTCCTTCAAAAAAATACTGTTCTTTTTTTTCAGTGACAAGAGATTTATTTCAGGTTACCATAAAGACTATGAATTCTTTATTCTCCTAGAAGTCAACGATCTTAGACATACTACTCTTTGTCGTTTTTAATTAGGCAGGATAAAGTGAGATGTGATTTATTTGAGCTATTTTTGGATTTGTTATTTTTTTGTTTCTGAGCTATTGATGGAAAAACAGGTGCTCTCCTTTGTGAGAAATTTAACTTTATGAATCCTTGTTTTGGTTTGTCTTTCTGGAACGTGCAATCTGGTGATGTAATGCTGGGCATTACATGTAATAATGATAATCTTATCATTGAAACTGCTAAATTTACAGTTTCTGCCTGATTGTGCCTGCTTGCATACTAATGAAACTCAACAAAAGTTGAGTGATGCCTGATGGGAATGCCTGATGGGTTTCTGTGTGAGGCCTGATGGGAATGCTGGAAATGCTCTTCGGCAGGTTCCTTGTTTTTGTTTTGCTGGATGGAGAGCTTTGCTCCACTGTTAAGCGAGTTGCCGGTGGCTTGCATGGCTCTCCTCCTGTCCTGCAAAGGCTGGAAAAACTTTTTAAGAATTTCATCTGTGGTTTCTAGCCTTCTAACCTGGCTAATTACCTTTGTTACATGGTTTAATGTATGGAAATATGCCCTTCAGAGATGTGCTTGGGCTTTCCTTTTTGCGCAGCCACCAGTTTCCCATGTTTCCCATGTCCCAGGTTTCATTGTCCTTCTCTGTGTCTCTGCAACAGAGCTTTTCTGGTTCGGAGGGCGAGAGTGACGTCTCTGCAGTCAGTTTTGCTCCTTGTCAGTGTCCCTGGTCGCAGGAACATGAGTACTTGGGTTCTGCTGCTCACCTCTTTCTCAAGGAGCTCTGCCAGAAGAGCGGTCCTTCCTCAGGCTTCAAATCAGTAACTTACTGATTCATTGTTGGAAGCCTATTTTGCAGGCAAAATGAAGAAATGTAACTATGGAAATGTAATTATGTGGGGTGTTATGAAGCCATAATGTTCAGAGAATTTTTATTTTCTCTGCATTTCTTCAGAATTAACATCATGCTGGTTGTTGGTGAAAGTGGCTTTGCAAGGTTACAGGGTACCAAAGTCCTTTTGCCTCTAGATAAGCTTCTAGGCTTGATAGGAAGGGGGTATTTGACTCTGAACTGTGGTTTGTTTTAATAGGTTACCTGCAAAAGCAGGAGAAAAAAACCCACAAGCTTTATAAACACTGTGGTGGACCATAAAGAATAAAATGTGAGTTCACAAGAACTCTGAGACAATGTGAGTTCACAAGGACTCTATCACTCAATATTTTGCGTTTTGCAGTCTATTTTGCAGAAATTGTGTACATAACCATTTTATTTGCTCTTTAGTTTTGCGATTGGGACAAGGGTCATTGTCTTTTTAAAATACTTATTGGAATTCATGCTTACAAATTTTACTTATTTTTTGACTATAAAACATATGACACTGTCAGTTATGCTGTAAACTATATGAAATATGTATGCAACACCTTAAATAAAAAAGGTTAAATATGACTTACTACAAATTGAAAAATCAGTTAAATGTTGACTTGCTTTCCCTTAAGATGTAGGATTTCAGTAGCGCCTGGTTGGGTGCTTTCCCTTTAGAAAGAGTGACTGTTGCTTTCTTGACCCCCGAGTAGCTCTCCGAGTGGGTGCTCGTTGTGCAAGTCTTGTGCAACATGGGTTAACACGAGGTGCCTCCTTTCGACAGCTTGATAAGCTAATTTAAAACAAAGCACTCTGTAAGCATGGGAAGGAGCGGGAGAAAAGCAGCTAAAAATAGCTGCTGTGTGTGCATGTGTGTAGGTCGGGTTTCTGGGAGGCGAGACCCTGCAGGCCGGAGCGCGGCGGGACCCGGGGGCCTCTGCCCAAGCTGTGAAGGAGCAGCCCGGCTGGCCGGCGGCTCCTCAGCTGCTCTCGCAACGGGGCAAGTTTGGAAGCTCTTTTCCTGAAGCGGAGATGTTGGCTCCGTAATGAGCCGGATTCCACCTACCCGTTCGCCTGGATGCAGGAAAACAGACAGCGTCTTGCTGTGGTGTTGGGTCTGTGTTCTGGGTGTTTTGCTCCCCATCAGGTGATGGCGATGACGAAAGGGAAAGGGATGATGATAATCACAAGATGATTCAGGGATTTCAGTGCAATTTCCAAGAAAGCAGGTCAGCCGCAGTGCAAGTCGATTTAAGTTGTGAAGTTGCACTCTATTCCTCTGAAGAGTGAATGGCTTTTTGCTAGCTTAGCTTCCTGAGCTGGATTTAATGTCAGATGAGTTGAGTGCCAGAGACTGAACAAGGGAGAGCGCATTCCCTCTTTTATGATCTAAATAAAACCCTATTTTGATATATTTGGAACGTTTTAAAATGTGTTATTTGTTTCAATGGATACTTTTCTGCTGATTGTCCAGTGGTTGTGTAAGACATTGGTGAAATTTTGGAATAAGTAGTTTCAGCTCTTACTGTCTAGTCTCAGTTTGGGGTTGTGGCCATTCAGTTTAAAGCAACAGCCACTTTAATTCTGAAGGTCTTCCTTTCATTGCCCAGCAGTTTCATCAGTCTCTGTGTTGAAAAGTTAATGGTAAAATGTGGTGACTTGTTAGCTTGCTTGCTTCCCCCCTCTCCCCCCGCTTTGCTCTCCACAAGAGTAAATAAGCCTTTGATGTTAATAAATGCCATTTCTAAAAATAGGCTGGGAGCAGGAAAGAATTCGGTGGCCCTTCAGCCAGGCCCACGCCAAGTCAGTGGGAAATGGTTCTGTCTGCGCTGGTGGGGTTTGGCTCGAGCTCAGGGCATTGTGTGCTAGCCAGGCTATAACTAATGACACACGTGAATTCCCCAGAGAATAAATGTTTTCTGTTATTGTGAGGTGCTTCACACATCTTTTGCAGGGCGTTTGTATTATCCTTTTGCTAATAATTTTTGATTGCTGTGTGTTTGAGATTGGTACTGATCCCGTAAACTGTATCTTTGGAATTTGCTTCTCCTGGTCTCTGAAAACTTCTCTAAATAAGGACTTGCAGAATCAGGCCCAACTCTGACCCAGAGGGAAAGGAACTGTTTTAGTGGGATATTTTTTAACAGATTGTTTAGAAATGGGGAGTTTGATGATACTGAAGAGAAATACTGTGTTCTTCTGATTGTTCTGTGCAAGGTGCTTCTAACATGTATGGAAAGAAATCATGATGTTAGGTAGTTCTAGTAGTGGGAGGGGAAAAAGAACTGTCAACTTGATGGTTTTCTGGACTTGGAAGCAAGATGTGATTGGAATTTCAGAAGGCTGTCATCACGCTACCTTTAATGTACAAATATATATTCCCTGAGAAACAAAGGCCATAATGGGTTTCTTAGTATATGTTAACTCTGTTGAACTATATTTTTTTTCATTTATTTTGCAGGTTTTGTAAAAGACACCGGATTAAGTCAAATTCAAATGTTCCATGTGTCCCGAAAGACTTGTTGATGATGTCAGAATTAGTTCTTCCACAGTTCATCTTTAGTCTTATTCAGCACTTAAGAGAGGGATATAATGAGCCTGGTATGTTTAAAATCTGTATGTCTGTAACATATCTTACCATGTTTATCATTTGCTTTGCAATCTATGAAGACACCTCTGTAATTTGAACTAGCATAGAATGAGTCTCGTGCATCTTTTGCTAACCAAGTTACTGCCTGACTGGGATATTTGATTATGTTTTCTGCTGAAGAGTGTTTTAAGATTACTAAGTTCTGTGTTGAGCTCTTCCAGACAATGAAATGAGGGTTAATTTAAAACTTGTGCATATAAGTTTTAGAGCATTTATTAATTTCTGCCTTGTGAATCTCTTGAACAGATTACATTTACACCACAACTTCTTGTTATGTCTTTCCTTTTTTCCTTTTTCAGCTCTTGATCTGCCATCAGAAAAGGACCTTCATAAAATCCTTCAGGTTTTGGAGCCTCATGTTTCCTTTCTGGAAGACTTGACCAAAATGGGAGGAGCAATGCGATCAGTTCTTACCCAGGTTTTGACTAACCAGCAATTCTACAAAGATCTTAGTTCTGGTATGCTTGTGCTATTTCTAATAACTAAATATTGCAATTATGAAGCCTAATGAAGAAGCAAAACTTACGTTTATTAATTGAGGACTATGTGTTTTTACATAACTTCTCAAAACCTGGAAGAATGCATTTAAGTGTGGTGGGTTTTTTTGTTTGTTTGCTTTGTTTTGTTTTGCTTTTCTCTCATTGTTTGTAATTGGGGATGGAGAGTGGCCTGCAAGAGCTGCTAGGAAAATTCTTTAATAAGACCTGTGGAACAGAGTTCTTTTATGTGTCCTAAATAGCCTCATATAGATATATCATTTCAGCAAGGGTTTTTATAAAAGATGTGTTCTTTTGAAGGGAACATGGTAACCCAGTGCTGAAATAAGATGTATTAAGCTTATTTGAAGTGGAACTTGTCTGTTTTGCACTTGTTTGTTTGTCTGAACTATTGAGTTCTTTTTTTCTTAAAGCAAAAAGCCCCTCTGAAACAATTATTTGTTCCATTCTCTACCAAAAACAGCAAAAAAACTCTTTAGCTTGTACTTATAATTGTATAGCTTATTAAAGAATTGTGGACCATTTCTGGATTGCTTAATTCCGTTTAAAAAAATAAATAAATAGAGGAAGAGAGTATTTCTAGATAGAACCTTTTATGAAGAACACAAACCAGGTAGACGATGTTATACTTTAACATTGTTTTCAATATGCATTCAAGGTGTCGGAGAGAATGCATGTGCAAGGACAAGTCACGAAAAGTACCTCATAGCCTTGAAAGGCTCTGGCCTGGCGTTTCCTGAGGATAAGCTTGCGTGTGGTATGCAGGAACAAGGAGCTGGAACTAGCACATTAGCAGTTCAAGGTTTGTGTAGAAAAATGTTTAAAGTAAAGACTTGCTTATTTTTATTTTTGAGATACTCTTTATTCTTTTAGAAACTCTTTATTTTTTATAAATCCAACCTCAATAAACTTACAGAATTGCTTCTTACTTCGTCTACCACCAAAAAAATGACTTACAAAAACCATTTTAATTCTGTCAGAAGAGCTAATCATAGTCGCTTTTGATTGCTAAAATACTGTGTATTGTTATCCAATCATAGGATTAGTGGAATTTGAGTAGGCAAGATGTAATTGCTCGTAGTGGAATTTTGTCACTGCAACTAAGTTAAGCCACCTGTTGCTACAATAGTGCTGTGGATTTTTCTGATCTCCAAAGGTTGTCAAATAGCTTTGCTATCTCTGAAAGACTGTGTCTCCTTTAACTCAGTGCATCAAAGTTCTGCAGCGGAACGTATCTCTAAATCTCAAACTTGCAAGCGCTTAATAGTGCTTATAAATTTTACACCAATTTCTTAGTAGAGTGCTGTGTATCTTTTAAGAAAACTAATGCAGTATTTTATTTAATCTGGGTTCATTAAATCTCATAAAATATTCTGTTTTCACTATAAAACTTACAAAAAGAATCTCTGAATTTTTTTATTTCAAAAGGTTTAGCAGGTGCTACAGCAACATCAGGACAAGGGAATTCTTCAGATGAGGTGAGACTTTTTAAAGAGTATGATGAACTGCAACAGAATATTAAATGGAGAGAATGCTGGAAGTCAAATACTGCAAACCTTTACTCTTCTGTTTACAAAACATTCTCTTCATTTTAGTGCTTAGAAAAACTGGAGATTTAAAGGAATGAATCTCACACCTTTGATTTACTAAGGACCTCTAGAAAAATCCTTTTTGCTAACATACTTTCAGTTCCTATATAGCCTGTAAAATAAACTGGTCTTGATTAAGGCAAGCATAAAGCATGTAATACCCAAAAATGGTGTTACCAGTTTTTGGCACTTGAGAATCCAGCTCAACTGGTGATAGCTGCAGTGAGAATTTTTCTGTAGATAAATTCCCATGTGTAGACTTGATCTTATTTATCAAACATATCGAGTGGGAGTAAAAAGGAGCACATCTACTTCTAAAGCTAGCTATAATTAACACAGCCATTTAAGGAGGAAGGTTAAGGCCGGTAGAATTGCTTTATCAATTTATTCTTGTTTTATTGCAAAATTATTTAACCAACTAATTTACACTAGTAAGCCCTAGCAGCCATTCAGATTGACTCTTAGATGTATAGTAGGATAATATAACAGAATTTAAGTAATGTAAAATACCATCTTGCATAAGATATTTATATTGAATTCTGTATCAACAAGTATTGAAATAAAAGCAATTATTGCTTGTATATGTCCAGAATAAGCTGTGTCACGTGTCTGCCTCTGTTCCTGGCATGACAGCATGGGTAACACTCTCAGCAATGCCGTTTATAGTGTGTCACTTTTCAAAGTATTGCTTGTTTTTTTCACCATCACTTGACAAAAAGCAAAAACAAAAACAAACCCCATAAAATCCCATAAAAATGTTAGCAGTGTCCCTGTTAAGGCCTATGAATGAAGCAGGTGATTCAAGTTATCTTAATATTAGTAAGTGTTATTGTAATTTAAAAAATAAAGATGACTCCGCTTGTTTGATTTATCTGTGGAAGAGGTGCGGAGAGAGGGGAGTAAACTAAAGCTGTTAAGAGTTTGAAGGGAGATCAGATGGGTGACATTTCCTTCCTCTCCATTCCTAAGGTAGAGATAAGGGCAGATACGTACTGTAGGGAGATGGAGTTTTTCTTTGATTAGTTCTTTTCCCTCGTATCTCTTCTTGAGCAAGAGGCAGAAAGGGACAGCTTTAAGTCTTTCCTACTTTAAAAATTATATGTTACAGGGAATTTTATGACCACATGGAAGGGTGCAGCTTTTTTATTTGGATGTCTCAATTTGCCTGTCCTTGTGGTTTAATGAGCACAAGTGGCTGACTCTGCTTTCTCTTCAATACAGTAGTAGTACAATTATCAGACTTATTCTGTCTATAAAATAGTATATATTTTTTCAAATAAAATTTAATATCTGAATTTAGGACAAAAGTGATTCCTTTTAGTCATATTAATAAGTACTCTGTTATGTAAAGTAAGTCCAGGTGGCTCTCTTCTGTTATTAGGTATAATTAGAGAGCATGATCGAATGGGTAAAAATAAGAAGTTCCCCATTTGCTTACTCATACACTTAGTCTTGATCCTTTGGCTTGTGGGCTGCAGTATGACTTACCACTCGCTATCTCATGGCTGTTAAAATTTCTGCACTTGACATTAAGATTTAATGCTAACTTACTGCAGCACTGGAAAACCAATATTTAATACTGTTGAAGAGAGGAAAAATAATTCAAGAAAGGTTTTCTCACTAAGCTATCCAAAGCTTTCCTTCCTTTCAGTGACGTGAAAGCTTTTAAAAAGTTGCAATGAAGACTGCTATATGTTTATGCTTTTCCCCTGTTGGGGGAGGGAACATGTATATTGTTTGTAGACATGATCACGTGCGGTCTGTATCTGTGGCAGTGCCCAGGCTTCACAGAGGTCACTGAAGGCCTCTACCTGCCACCTTTCAGGGAGGAGTTTGGAATTTTTTCTGTCGGGAGAGAGGTTGCAGACTCCTGCAGTTCATCCTGCTGTGTCAGTAGGACTCTCTTTCGGTCTGGAGTATTCTGTCCCTTCAAGGGGGAATAGACAGTGATGGCATCCTGAGAACTGACTGATTCCTGGCTCAAGAACAGGAGGAGCGTGTGTTCATAAAGACCCCAGGAGGCCAAGCAGTTCATGGGCATGTCCACCTCAAAAGAGAGTGATAAGTTTTTTCATATGAAGATACTGAAAAGGTAAAGGAAGTTCTAATTTTTCATGAACAGAATACATATTAATGTATCATTAGACATGTCAGTCTTTAGATAGGACATGAATAATGTTTCTCCCTAGAGAAGGACAGTCAGTTTTGAGTTACAGGTCCTTAATTATTCCTCCTGAAATTTGGAGCTAAAGTGCAGGTAGACGCTATTGATTACTTTATTAGATCCTATATGGATTGTTCTTTGTTTTAGCCTTTCATTAGGAATGCCGTTGTTAGTAAAGACACATGCATCATTTAATGCACTCCTTTAATGTCACGTTCTTTTCTAACACCCAGGGTTGCCTTTTGTGAAGTGGTGGTGATGATGTTTGTAACTTGCAATGCATTTTAAAAGCTTTATTGTTTGTAGAGTGTCTGCAGAGCTTCAAATGACAATTCCCTGTATAAAGAGATTCCGCTATTTCGTAGGGAACTTTTTATTAGAATTGGCCTCTTAAAGTTGTTTAACAAATATTCTGTTCTCTGATTCAAACTTTCCCACTGCGTTAATGAAGCTTGTTTAGCCAATTGTTTGTGTTACTGTATTGATCGTTAGCTAATGAGTTGACAGGCTTAAAAAATGCGTATTTTTATAGGAAACAAAAAATCCTATGGATGAATAGAGTGAAACATTAGGTTTGCAACCTTCAGAAATTTTATGGTGTTAGACATTTTTCTGGCAATCAGTTTCAGAAATCAGAGCACCTAACTGATGATATTAATTAAATAGATGAAGACGTCTAAACTTGCAGGTGATAATGGTGCCTGTAGGGAGAAGGCAGCAATTTGGAGAACTTTTTTTGAGTTGCACTGAATGCATGGTTCCGTAAACAGCTAAAGTACTGTCTGGTAAGATATTATATTCAGGAATTTTGTATTTTAACTTGATAGTTGAAACAGAATTTTGAGAACATTACAATCTCTTAGCAATAAAATTCTAAATATACAGTTATCAATTTTTTAAACTCTTCCCCTACCCCAGGAGGACCAGGATGGTAGCCAAGGTGTGGGCAAGCGCAAGAGGGTGAAACTAAGCAGCACCACCAAAGGTATTTATGAAGCCCTGATCTCAGTTTGTCGTATTTGCTTTATGTCTGTCTTCAGAAGCATCTAGGAGCAGTCCTTCCTTTCCCAAGCACTGTGGTGCTGCATGTGATGCAGGTATTAAACACAGCAATATCTATAAAAAGCAGGAAGTGAAATTGCACTTACTGGCAACAATCATTTCACTTAGGAGTTAGTACCACTGTCTGGGTCTTTGTTTGACTGGTAACTTTGTCACCTTCATGTTGCAAGTCAGCCTCTAGGAAATGCCTCAGTTTTCACTGTGGCAGCAAAGCTTGGCCACCGTATTTCTGATGTCTTTGTTCCTGAGTTTTTTTCTTTTTTTCGTTATGCCCTTGTACCATGTAAGAGCCTGGCAAAAATGCTTCTCTAGTTCTGGTTGGTATTTTCCACACTGTTTTTCTAGTGAGCATTTAAAAAAAAAAAAAAAAAAAAAAAAGACGAGTGAAGTTTCCTTTGAAACCACTATGTGATTTTCCTAGATTAAAATTAATCTAATCTGCTATTTCTAACCCAGCATAATCAGCTCTCACATTGAGGTTAATGCAAGTTTCAGTTGAAGAATGACTTAAGTTAGTATATGGTAGCCTAATCCTGTACTTTTCCTTGATGTGTTTTTGTGTTAGAAAGGTGCTTGATAATATTTAATTGCTGATACTAAATTAAAAATGTCAGAGTATGAGAAGACTGACTTGGGAAGCCCAAGGAAATTGTAAACTTTGAGAGGGGTATGTTTAGTTCTAAAATAGTGGTGCAAGCTGGAAAAACATTTCTGGAAGGGGTTTGAAGTGAATGTTTGGAGCTTGGATTTGTATGCAAAGCGCATAAGTCAGTAAAAAGGTAAGAAGGTGCTGTGAGGAGTATGCGAAAGCAGGATTGATTATTTCTGGTGTTTCAGAGTAAAGGAGAGAGAGTCAGAAACTGGCAGAATAGAGAACAATTTTGGTGTCCTGTTGTTAAGAGGTAATCTTACAAACGTTGTGCAGATGTTTCTGAAGGGTCTGATGGTAGCAGTGCCGTATGTGTAGGGATAAGAAAGAGTGCGAGACACTTGGCATGAATAAGCTGTGATAGAGAATAATAATGCTATGGGAGAGGTGATAGTTTTGGAGAAATGCAGACTTATTTGCATCCAAAGAAAGCTGTCTGATTTCAGTTGTAGAGAATGTCAGCTTGTTCAGAATATAACTTAGACACTTTTCTTTGCTAATGCAAGAAAAAACGCAGTTTTTCTGATGCATGGTGACAGATTATGGGAAGAGGGGAGAGAGGAAGGCCAGAAATAGAAGCTACCAGGCCTGAAAAACCCCTATCAGAAGTGGCATTTCAGGAACAGTGATTCTTGAATTGAACCTTTCATTTCCCCCCAGGATTGTAGTCTTCCCCCTCTGAGGCACCCCAGCATGGACTGTGCTCATGATGTTGATAGCTTCTAATAGCTCCTGATTTTCAGCCCCAGAGGAGGGAGTCTGCCAATAGGGGAAGGGTAAGTATCTGTTTTTATTAAATATTGAATAGTTTTCTGAAGTTTTCAGTATTCATATTTTATGTCCAATAGGGTATAAAATAAGAGTATGAAAAGAAAATTTTAGAAAACTGAGTATTGAATAAAAACAGATTTACCTTTTCCATATAAGCAGACTCCCTGTCTCATCCTAGGTGTTAAGTGGTACTGTGTTTAAAGGGGGCCTCTTACATGCTGGGGATATTTTGGAATGCTAGACAAATATTCCAGGCAGATGTTTAAAACGGACTATGGCGTCTTTTATAGCAATGGGAAAGAACAGAAAGTTTATTTAAACAACTGATAGTTTTTATGCTGAAGCATTACTGATACGGATATGGACTGAGTACTGAGACACTTTATTGTTACTATTTGAAATCTGGATCCATCTAAAAAGCCTAATGTCAAAGACTATTTCAAACCCACAGGCACTATTTTCTTATTTGTTAACAGAAATTGCAAATTGCACGATGCTTCTCACAGGAGTGGGAATGATTTAGCCCAATTTTTTTGACAAGTTTTCCAGGTTGGGTAAGAGCATTCTGCCTACTTAAATTCTCTAGCAGTTATAACTGGATTGGTGGTGTTCTGTCCCTGCCTGAAACTGTCTGAAGAAGTTACTACACCCTCCTCAGCTGCAGTAATGTCAGAAAGCTGCACTGGGGTGACAGCGGGTGCCTTGCATGTCCTCATGCCCGATCTCCGCGCTGAGGGGTCCTGGGAACGTGCTTGAACCTGTCCTGTTTCCTGGGGACACAGCACTTGAGCCTGCGTGGCTGCCAAACTGCAGTGAGCAGTGTATTCCCAAACATAATCTCTTAACAGGAGTCGAGGAGGAGAATATAGAAGATCATCAACTACTACAGCAAAGGTGATGTGTAGCTTTTTAGAAAATATTTTAAAATGAGAACAACTTTCACTACTCAATGAAGATAATCTTGTTTTATTTCTACAGTTAGAGAATATATTGAATATAACACATTCTTTGTATGGATTGCTAGAGTTTCTTTTTGAGATCCTCACAATTCAAATTTCAGAATATTTCAGAATATTTCAGAATATTTCAGAATATTTCAGAATATTTCAGAATATTTCAGAATATTTCAGAATATTTCAGAATATTTAAGGTTGGAAGGGACCTCTACAGATCATCTAGTCCAACCTTCCTGCTCAAGCAGGCACACCTACAGCATGTGGCACAGGGTGGCATCCAGGCGGGTTTTGAAGACCTCCAGAGTAGGAGACTCCACAACCTCCCTGGGCAGAGGGAGGCAAAGAGGCAAATTGTTCTCTATAACAATATTTAGCAGTTCTTGAGATATTTTGGAGTAATTGGCCACTCTGGCCCCAGGTGGTGGTGGAAATTGAAGGTGATTCCTGGTTTGCCAGCAGGCCCCAAGCCACGCGGTGCGGTCCCTCAAGCTGCCCCAGCTCAGCAAGGCAGAGTCTTCAAGGCCGAGTGTCCAGATTCAGCAGTTCTCAGTCTGCCCCAGTGGGAGCACTTCACACCTTAGCCCTGTGCTTAATGCAGTGCTCTATCTGTTGGGGTGTAGCGTCGGGTCTATGTGAGCTCTATAGGTAAAGGAGCAACGTTATTTTCCGTAGTCCTTAGGTACTGTAGGGGCGAACGAGGCCTGTTTAGCTTTAAATGGAAAGTCATAAACCTTGGAAGGAAAACTGTTTTAATGGCTTTTAATTAACAATTTATGCAAGTGGTAACTTCGTGAACAGTTTAGCCTAGCATAGGCTGGGGTGTGTGCAGCTTTGCAGTGAAGTGGGTTAGGAGATGAGGTGTTTGAAAACTCAGCTGGCAACATGGAAGTGGTTCCCACATGCCTGTACAAATGGTGCTGCCAGCGCAAACAAAGGCAGAGCCAGAGCTTAGGGCTTCCTGGGGAAGGGTGGGACTTGCTCTTCTCGTACCAGCTGGATCTGGCCTGCTCTCTGATAATGAGATACAGTGATTTTTACATTAAAAATGTAGGCAGAGGAAGAAGTTGTTTTTGTCAGTCGTTGGATTGAGAGCTCTGTATTCCTTGAAGAATTAGTGAATACATTGATTTAAAAATAAAAATAGCTCACATCTATTTTGTGAGCAGAACATAAATGCTCGCCATAAATTGTATGTTGTCATTTTGCTATTTCTGTTTCTGCTGAATAATGTTGTACATTATTAATAGTTCTCACTTAAGTGGCTGTGTATATATTGTGTAAATTGTGGCTCATTAAAATGAGGGGATATACTACAGTAAAGTGGTATGGTCCAGCACAGTTGATGAAGAAGTTCTCTGTGGCAGAACTGTGCTAAAAACTCCTGCTGACTTCTTTGTGGAGAACATTTTTTTTTTTTTTTTTTTTTTAGATTTTATTTTTTATTAATACAAGCCCTGGCACTGTGCAGTGTTGGCCGTGTTTAGTTTTCCTTCTGTTTTTGAGGAAGAAAGAAAACTGTTGTAGAGTGCAGTGAGGTGTTGTTGTTTTTTAGAGTTTTATGTAAGGAATTGCACTGCATTATAATTAATGTTATTATTTCAAATAATTATGTTACACATCCCCTCCTCCAACTTTTTATACAGATCAATCTATCATGGATGTTTTGAAGCATAAATGTTTTCTAGAAGAATTATTATTTTGGACAATAAAATATGAATTTCCACAAAAGATGGTGACTTTCTTACTCAACATGCTGCCAGATCAAGATTATAAGGTATTTGTCTTACTTTGGTGAACCTTTAAAATCTTTCTGTATTCACATGTTTAGTGTAACTTTTTTCTTTTTTTCTGTGAGACCACCAACGTTTAAATCTGAATAATAAGCAATACAGGCCTCTTTGTTTTGTGTGTTTTATTAGAAAGCCTTAAAGTGTAAAAAGAGTCTAACAGTATGAAAAGAGATGTGGAGGAAACAAGACAGAAAAACAATTCAGGAGGAGTAGTATTACTTTTGTTTGAATGATTTATTTTCTTCCTCTTTGGCAGATATTGAGTATTTAGATACGTTGGAAATTCTGTTTTGTTTTACTTTGCAATTTGGATTTTTTTTTTTTTTCAGTTAAAGTATGTGTGTCAACACTAAGTAATTCTGTGGTGTGTTATGACTGGTAAATTATTGTGGTGACTTTATTCCTGTTGCAGCTGTTCCTAGCAGGCAGTGGTTTCACCAAGTAGGCCATAACCTTAGGAGCTTTCTGGCTGCAGCTATGCCCTAAATGGTTTTGGCAGCCTTGCAGCTGCCTACTTACACAATTTTGCACTTGTCCATACCAAGTGTCTCCTGGCCCGCAGTCACAGAGACTGGATGTCATCTTCCTGTTTTAAATCTTGGTGTGCAGCCAGGTTTGGTTGTTTGTGCTACGTGTTCTGGGACCGAGCATACATAGCAGTCAGGCTTAACGTTTTGCTCTGATCATGTATCATTTCTCTGAGCTGTGCTCACGTCTTGGACCTTCTCATTCCCTGCTGAGAGGCAAGGATCAAGAAAACTTAAAGTCCAGGCAAAGATTTTTGCACAAAATTCATTTTGTAATGGGACAACTCCGTAATTGGGCCGTCTTAAAACAATCCAGTATCAAAACGAAGGATATGAGGATGTCTTGCAAGAAGATGAATGATAAAATATGGTTCTCCAGCCATGCTCTGTCCGTATCAAGGCAAGACAAGACAGCGTTTTGGTTTGGGATACCAGCATAGATTCGTCCTGGTCTCTGATTCAGCCACTGCTTGAGGAAATGTGAAGACTTCTTGCCTAGTGACCGCTTGCCATGAAGCTAGAATCCTTTCAGTGTTTGAGACCCGCATGGATGTGCTGTCCTCTGGCTCTGTTGCTGGCTGAGCTCCTGCCTCCGAACTCCCAGCAGCGCGGCAGAGCAATCCGGTAAGCACTGCTGCCTTTGCTTTTACACTGTGCCACATAACAGCAACTTCTCGTGATCATGGAATCTCATTTAGCTTCAAGCCACTATCTCGAATGGTTCCTTGCCAAGTTCACAGTCTTCCTGCATTGTATGCCTGGAATAGAGACCATGGTGTATTTGGCCTCTGCCCTGGCTGCCTTCTTTGGCTGGAAGCAGTCATCTTATATGTGCTGTATTTTCAAATAAAAATGAATTCAAAAATGAATTTAAACACTTATTTTGTTAGCAAATCAATTCAATTCCTACATATAAACTTTATTAAAAGATTACAGATTATCTCTAATCTTTTAAAAAAACATCTTTTTAACTGCTGTGACCTTCTAAAAGGTTCTTTGTAGCAGGAAGCAAACCCAGAGCAGGAAATGTATCACACAGCAATACTAGGAAGGGAGTAACGCTATTTTCTGTGTACCTATGCTTTATTGCAAATGTGTGCAAATTAAGTGTGTTAAACACATCTACAAAGAGTGTGGCTAATTTACAAGAAGTATCTGTGCCTTTTGCAGGTGCACAGAGAGGAGATGTGATTGTGTTTGAATAGGAGAAAGGTTTTATCTTTTAAGCTGCCACTGAGCCTTTATGAAACCTTCATGCTATTTAATCATGTCAAGCTATAGGAATGCCTGTAGAGATGTACATTGTTCCAAGTGATCTTTCTGCAGCAGTCTGCCGTCCCATCTGTACCTCACATGTCTTTTCCTTCCACTGCTCAGTGTCAGCTTGTCTGGTTCTTGACGAGCTGGTTGAGCTCACTGAACTGGCCGAATCTCCCCACTAGGTTAGTTTTGTGATGAGGCAAGTGAACTACCCAGGTGGTTGGGCACAGACCTGCCCATCTGCAGAGTGCTTTGAGTTTGCTGAAATCTCTAGTCTGCAGCATAAACGTAGCACAGCATGCAGGGAGGAAGAACCTCTTCTTGGATATTCCTAGTGCTGGGAAGAGGTATCACGAATGGTGGGCTAAAATACTGAGCAAGTTAGCTCGTTGCTACCTCTGCATGCGAAAGAAAAATAACGAACAATGTTGTCTTTGTCTTACAGGTCTATGCCCGAGGCATCCCTTCAAGCATTCTCCCATAACAGAGGACTGGAAGACGTACAAGGGACGACCCAAAAAAAAAGAAAAAAAAAAGCCTCCAAGAAGTTGGGTGCTTTGGTGTGGATATGTTTTTTTGTAGGAAAAGACTAGAGAAGTTGGGTCCCTGTGACCAAGGCAGCAAGACAAAGAAGGGGTATTGACTGCAACTAGAAAACTAATGTAGAGATGTAAATGATTCAAGAGCAGAGACTTGGTGTGATCTGGAAAAACGGAAGTTAAAAGAAATGGAAAAGCGTTGACAGAAATTATGAATCAACAAGCGCATATATCAGAAATGTGTGTCTTTGGTCTTGTGGTGAAGGTTGAAACAGTGGTTAGAGCAATAGGACTTCACTAGCTCCTGGAATGGATGCTCTCCAAGTTCTGTAGAAGAGTTTTCTCTTGGAAACTTTAGCACAACTTTTTCCTGACACAAATATCTCTTTCCTTGCAATGAAAACATAAACATGTTGGATGCTCATATGGATGAGGCACAGAAAGATTCAATGTATGCTGATTCAGGAGGAAAAACCATTTTTTTCTTTCTCCAAAGATCATGTTTTCACAATCAACTTGAATTCAGTAAATTTGTAAAATAATTTTGTAAAACAAATAAAACATAGTGCAAAGGTTGTATAACCTAACAATTCTGTTTAAGCGTAATGATGTGATGAAGCAATGTGCTAGGAGATGAAAACTGAAATTACTTTGTTAAACTGCTTGTTTTATTTTAGTGTTGCTAGAGTCTAGACTCTATTGAGATATCTTTTAAAAAATAATACTAGTAAAATTAATGTACCAACTTCTTAAAATATCAAACATAATGTTTGCTTCCAGGCCTTAACATGCGTAGTGTAAATGTTTTGTGTTTATTATAAACATAATTGCCAGTGATTTCAGTTGTATTGAGCTCATTATATATTGAACAATGTCTTGTGAATACCTTCTTACCAAAGTCTGTAGTTGATGATAATTGCCATTATGCCATGGGCCATACATAGAAGAAAATTTTAATTATCATACAGATTTCCATCATTTTGGCCTCAACCGAAGCAGGGTGAGTTAAACTGTATTGTATTGTTTCCTGCAGTGCTCCATCTTCACTGCTTTTCCCCTTTCCCCCAATAAATTTTTGCACATCAACAACTTGCTCTTTATTTTTGAAGATATTTGCTGGAATAAGTGATTTTTGTGACCAAACACAGCCTTATGGCATCATGATGTTTTGGAGAATATTTTTCCATATAGGAAAATATTAGTGCTGTAATAAAAATGTACAGACTCTGAGGCATTGGAATAAAATTAAGTAGTGATTTGCGTATAGAACAATGAAAACATCGTAAAGGTGGCTTTAAAATTTCTGATTTGTATTTAAGAAAGAATTCCAGAAGATACTTCCAGAAAGACTAGATAAAAGGTTTGGGGCATTGAGCTGCAAATTCTTTCGTCACTATAACAGCTGGTATTATCTGTTCTTATTAGGCCAGGCAAGGCCAGATGGTGGTAATTCAGAACTTAAAGTACTAAAAGAGAAATGATTTGGAAGCTAGCACATATATATATACACACACACATTTGTGGTGCAGGAGGTTGGTTTAGTGTCTAGTTTTAAGTCTAAAATGGTGCTGCTCAAGAAATTCTACCAAGACTGGCATGCCTTGACATATGTAATTACTAATCTTTTATTTTATTTTATTTTATTTTATTTTATTTTATTTTATTTTATTTTATTTTATTTTATTTTATTTTATTTTATTTTATTTTATTTTATTTTTTTKAAGAAAGCAATAACAGACTGAGCTAGTCTCTGTTAAGAAGGAATGGGTTGCTATGATAGCGGATGATATTCAGTGTTGACATGTCATCGTAGGCAGTTGAATGAAAAACCGACTTGGTGGGTAGATGATTACAAGGGATCAAGTTACAGCAGCTTTATCAGCCACTAGTGATCTCATTGTTGTTAGTATATCATTTTGGGGCATTACACTGTTGCAGAATTCAGTAAATTTAGAGTAAAGAGGCACTTGTACTTAATCACATTAACAAGTATGCTTTAACCTTATATTTATTTTCACTATGTTTCAGTGTTTCTGGTTATTTTACTAGAAAATGAATGGAATGACAGGACAGGATTTTGAGATCAGGAAATAAAATTTCAGAAATAAATTACTCATCCCCATGTAGGCATCACTGGATATGGGCTGTTTCTAGATGCTAGACTTGGGTAGTTAGACCATCAGTTTCAATTTGTCATAGTAGCTGGTGTTTTGGAGATATATTGTGTGCACTTTTGCAAAGGAATGCTTAATCATGAAAGACAACTATACTTTTTGTGTGGTGCTTGTTTTAACATTAAATTTTCTTTATGATTTGCAGATTGCTTTTACCAAAACTTTTGTTCAGCATTATGCTTTTATTATGAAAACATTGAAGAAAAGCCATGAATCAGACACTATGTCTAATAGAATTGTGCATATCAGTGTTCAGTTGTTCAGCAATGAGGAACTAGCGCGCCAAGTAACAGAAGAATGTCAGCTGCTGGATATTATGGTCACTGTTTTATTATACATGATGGAAAGTTGCCTTATTAAAAGCGAATTGCAAGGTAGGTTAATATTTTTTATTTATTTATAATATTTCCAGGGACAAGAAATAAATAGTTAATTTGTCTCTGCTAAGTTTAGTTCCTGTCCCCACTGCTATCTCTTCCCCTCTCCTTCCCCTACAAAATGCATAGAGTAGCGCAATAGATAGTAGAAACTGAGGTTCAGAATTTTTTTGAAATATAGAAGATAATATTCAAGAGTCATACTGATGTTTTCTCCTGTGGTTTCCTTTTTTTTTTTTTTTTTTTTTGGTAGTAATTGCATAGAATACTTAGTATTATTTTTTCAGATGCTCTATTTGTTGGGTGTAGTGCATATAAGTTATTTGTGAAGCTCTTGTGAACGAGAACTGATGTATGCTGAGTTTTGTTTTTATTTAAACAATATTTCCCAGGTATTTTATCAGTTGTTCAAAGTATTTGAAATTGTTTTGTTTTTTCTTACTTGTAATTGCTTTAATAAAATTTAATTTCATTAAGGAAGACTGATTTATTCCTTTATAAATGTAATCATTTGATCAAGCTCTTGGATGACAGAGTGATTTGAATTTAAAGTAGCCTACAGTGTTTATAGTCTCCTAGTGAAGAAAGCAGCCCTGCTTCTGATTTCCCCGTACTTACGCTTATCTGAGGTGGGTGGCACAGCAAAAATTTCCTGACCGGTTTTGCTTTCGTGTATTTAAAATGCAGACCTCTCATCCCTCTTTATCCTAGTTGGAATCTGAAGACACTCTTTGTGGATAGCTTTGCTGTTTCTGCTAAATAAATACCGACAACTTCTACATGCATCAAAACTTCTCCTCTGAAACACGCTTCATCTGTGACTCCGCTGTATCTATAGCCTAGCACGGAATAACTGTGCTGAAATGGAAAATCTTCAGTCCTTTCTAGCTACAAAGTATGGCCCTCGTTCAGCCACACTTCAACGTGAAGAAACTTTCCCTTGCTCTGCATAGGTTATGTTAAGGGAGTCTAATGAAAAATGTGTTCTGGCAGCTTGATCCTGTGCATTGTTGCACCTTTTTTTTGTTTGTTTGTTTGGTTTTATTTTTCCTTAGTGGTTTGTGCAGCAAGGGGTTTTTGCTAAACCTAACGCCATAGTGGTGGGATTTCATTTAAAACTATTTTTAAATCATCTTCAGAACTTGGTTAGCTGGTGACTTGAGGATGCTGCTAACATGATGGTGAAGTTTTGTAATGGAATAAAATCTGCTGCCAAATGGAAAAAGCCTAGGGCCATGACTAGACATTGTCTGAAGAAACTTTGTGGTAATTATTAAAAATTAAATTTAATAAACTGGAGATAGTAAGTTAATATCTTCAGACAGATCTGTGATAGATTTGCAAGAGAATGTTTATGCCTAGAGCAGCTATACCATGGCATGGAGTTGCTATTTCCTTTCCCAAGCACTAGTGGTTTGTCTTGGCTGAGACTTGTCACTGGCCTGGGAACTGTATTGGCATCAACTCAAAAACATTACTAGTTCAACATGTTTCAGTCACATGTGGCATGAAAGGATGGAGAGAAGTATGGGTGCAGAGATAGTAAAACTGGATCCCTGGAAAGATTTATGCCCCCCTGGCTTTTAGAGATTTCTTTTTTCCCTCTCTATCAGCATTTTTTCTGCTCACAAACTTTTAATGAGAGAAGTATTTGTACCCCAAGGAGAATGAGCTATTGTCAAAACATTCTCTTAAAAAAAACCCTTTCTTTCTGACTGACCTTACTTAACCCTGTCTTGTAGAGCACTCTGAAGATGAGGAGCTGCCACTGTCAACTTAAGCAAATTGCTGGACTTGTCTGATCTCTGCTGGGCAGGCAGTCCAGGACGTGTAATTGTTGCTTGTTTTCAAAGTGCTCCCGTGGGTTTAGGCAGAGCTGGTTTATCCAGATCTGGGGATAGACCGTGCGAGCACATGGGAACCTGGCAGCTGAGTGATCACCAGGCGAGTGGTCACAGGGCCTGGGGGCAGCAGAGAAGCTCGGCAAGTTGTGTACAGCGCTCTTGGCTTCCTGCGGCCTCCGGTGCTCGGGCAGGAGTCGGCTGAAGAATTTACCTTCTGTCTTGCCTTATTGTAACAAGGTTTCTGTTTACAGTGGTGAGCAACTTGGGCAGCATATTTTCAGGGTGAGATGTGATTCAGTTCTCTGCATGCGCCTTGTTCTTGACAAGTAAAACTTGTCAACATCAAAATATGCAATTTCAAATGCAAAAAGCTCTATTGAAATAACAGCCAAGATGATCTTTGTACCAATGAACCAACAAAAATAAATCCAGAGTGAAAATAATAAAAAAATCAGTAGTTAAAGAGGAGGGGAAAAGGGTGCTTGCTTGTGTTCCCAGGTAGTGCCACTGTGGGTACGCTCGAGCTGGGGTTTGCAATCTCTTGCTCCAGCCTCCTGCCTGCTGGCCTTGCCCTTGCTGGCAGGCCTTCTACTTGGGCTCTGCAGTGCTGCTCGCTCTCCTCATGGCCCATTCACCTGTCTGAAGAGCAGCTGCAAGGGTCCTTTGTGCGTTCAAACTGGCCAAGAGCAGATCATCCCATCTGAAGTTTTCCTTCTTCTATTGCCTTGTGTCACAACAGCAAGATGGGAGCCAGAAGTCATTTCCCATGGAAAAAGACTCCAGGACCTATCCCGTTAGCCTACTTTCTTTCATAAAAGTCAAGCTTTTTATGAGATTCTTCTCAAAAGTCAAGGTATTGAACAGTATAGAGGATGAACTTATGTGAGTCAAGGGGAAGGCATTTTTTCCACCTACTGTGATTCCTTCCCTTTTCCTTTGGGAAATTTCTTCTGCCATACGAAGATCAAGTAAATCCTCTCTTTGTTCTGTTAGAACTTTATTGGAGTAGTTGCAGTTTAGAGGTCTTTGCCCTTCAAAGGCTGTGATCTTGCTCGGAGTATGTGCATCTCTTGCCAGGGTGGGATCTGCGTCAATGACTGCAATGTGAGAAAAAAACCCGGGGTGCCACCAAGTAAATAACCTTTTCTGCACTACTGCTGTGTGTTGTCACCAAATTACAATGAATCCTCATTTCTAGCCTGATCTTTGAACTTTGTTTAGAAATTAGAATAATGAGAAAATTGCATTACATTCTTGTCTTTTTTTTTTTTTTTTTTTAATGTAGATGAAGAGAACAGTTTACATGTTGTGGTGAATTGTGGGGAAGCACTACTGAAGAATAATACTTACTGGCCCCTGGTTAGTGATTTTATAAATATACTCTCACACCAAAGCGTGGCAAAGAAATTTTTGGAAGATCATGGTCTTTTGGTAACATGGATGAATTTTGTATCATTCTTTCAAGGTATGTGAGTTTAATAGTGCTAATACAAGGATCTTGAGGCAGCTTTACATTTTCAGTAACAAAATTCTTACACCACTGCATATGAATATTTCATTAGTATTCTCATAAGCAGACATTTCTGGGGGAGACCAGTGTATTCTAGAAAACAGATTTGAAACCAATCTTCTAATGGAACGTTGTGTTGTTTAGAGCAGGTGAAGAGCATTTATGTGATAGTTCAGTGAGAAGCGAAGATTCTCAAGTCGTGTCACTTGTGCAAATCATAACTTGTGCTAGAGCTGTTTTATTGGCAAAGCCCTAAATTTAAATATTGGATGTTAAATACAAATCTGATGGATTTGTGTCTTTTTCTAAACGTTGAAGAAACATTTTATTAAAAGCAATCAAACAAAAACTTACCACAAACTTTTCAATACTGGAAAACATCTGTCGAGGAAGAGATGGAGGTGTTTTCTGTCCAGACGTTTTCATCAAGTCTCAAAGTAAATGGACTACAGTCCATATTAATGTCACTTGAAAAAAACCCTCTGCAGTTACTATCCAAATCATCATCATCATCTGATCGGCTTCTGTTCAAGTTTTGATGCTTGTCCCAGTGTTTCATCTGTTACCTTGCTGTTAGATAAGAGACATTTAATCATGTATTCTGTGTTTTGCTGTTTTGATAGATCTGTGGATACTTAACATAAAAGTGCAACATTTCAGTTAGCCATAATTAAACATTTGTGTGTATACCTTATGTCTTTGAAGGCATGAATTTAAATAAACGTGAGTTAAATGAGCATGTGGAGTTTGAATCGCAGACATACTACGCTGCCTTTGCTGCTGAGCTGGAAGCCTGTGCCCAGCCCATGTGGGGTCTTCTGTCACACTGCAAAGTTAGGGTAGGTAATGTTTTATCTGTCGTTACTCATGTTTTCCAGAACAAGCAACAAGAAATTATTTTTAATTTTCCCCGTTGTAGACTCAAGGCTTGAGTCCATAATGGTTAAAATTATATATTTATTTAGATTATATATTGTTCTTCCATGTACATTACATATATACATTGTAAGATTCATTTAGTGTTGTGTTATCACTAGATCTTATGTTCATGGAATTATACTCTATAATAACTATTTGGTAGGTAAAAACTAATAAGAAATAAGCCACTCCTTTTTCAGTTGCTTGGAGGGACACCTTTTCTACTTTCCTTTCTAGTTTTTTAGTAAAAGAGTAAAGTAAAACAGACACTTAAGACTGGGCTGAGGGGGCTTGATTCTTCCCACTGGAAAGATCACCTCTTAGGGTAGCAATGGAACTCTACTGGAACTTTTACTTTCCGTGTTACGAGGGGATAAAATGCATAGTACTGTGAAAGTAACCATATTGATTCCTAATGGGGAAAAAAACGACACTTACTTAAAATTGATTGGGCCCGTGTAATACAGCCTTTTTTCTTTTTTTTTTTTCTTTTCCCTTTAATTGCAGGAGACACAAGAATACACACGAAATGTTGTCAGATACTGCCTTGAAGCTCTTCAGGACTGGTTTGATGCTATCAACTTTGTAGATGAGGTATGTACCCTTAATAAATTTAAACAAAGAGCAATGAAAGAATTTAATGAAGAGCAGAAGCATCCGCAAGACAGAGTAGTGATGATACCGCAGTAGGGAGGCAGCTGTCATACCTTAGCAAAGGATACTGTCTGCTTGAGTCTAAATGTCATTCCCTACTAGGGCCTGGCAAGAGATTAACTGTAGCACTCTGAACATGGGAAGTTCATGAGGCATTGGTCGTAGGATTTGAGTAATATTAGGTAGTAGAAAGTACATCCGTCAAATGAGGACATGCAATATACTGCACTTGGTGATAGTGACAGTCATTGATAGGTTTGTTTCTTTCAATACTTGATACTAAAATATCTGCATTTTACTTTCAGCCAGCCCCTAACCAAGTTACCTTTCATTTGCCACTGCATCGTTACTTTGCCATGTTTTTAAGTAAGGTAAGCAGATGTTGATAGTCACATGGAAAATGGAAATTGCCTGTTGAGTGTGATTGTTCAATAAAATGTTATTCCCTCCCTCACTCAGGCTGTCAAATGCCAAGAACTAGATCTGGATACTATCTTGCCAGACCAGGAGATGCTGATGAAATTAATGATACACCCTCTACAAATTCAGGTATGCACAAACTTCTTGGATGCAGATATATAGGTGTACAATAACATTGCGTCTATCTAATTCTTTTTTCTTTAACAGCAATCACTTAAATATATTTCAAATGAGTTTAAAAGGAGGAATATGTCTTAATAGTGGAATATAAATATAAAAAAGAAATATGTAGTAATAAATAGAATATGCTACATAGCTATGATAAACTTCTTTTTTTCTATTAGCTAAGTTAAATCTGACATTACTTAAGAATGTAATTATGAGAAATAAAACAATATTATAGCACTTTCAAACAGGATAGCCGAATTTAAATGGGGGGTTGTTCACAGAATTGCTATTGAAATACAACCAGCAACCTAATGTCGGTTTGAAAACTTGAAATATTAATTTGAGTATGATTTCAAGAACAAATTCACACTATAGCATTTTATTTATTTATTTTAGATTTGTATTTATTTTCATATAAGAGATAGTGAATAGTATTTATGAATACTGCTTTTATCTGACTTATTTTTAAGCTGAAAAAAGGTCAAGAGAAGCTGTTATTTTAACAATTGGTAATCTTATGTTTGAGTACTTTCCAAGATAAAAAATAATGTCACTTCAATAACTTTGATCGTTTTCATAGTCTAAAATACATTCACTAAAAAAAAAAAAGGACAAAGTTTTGTTATTAAGTCATCCAGGGTGAATTTTTTATGCTGTGTTTTATATGCAGCTACGTTACTTCCACTTATTGGTATTGGTAAATCTTTTGAAGTATTTGGTTATTCATTTAAAATCACCTTGCATTCTCCAATCCTGTTTTTGAGACTGAGAAGAATATATCTATATATGTATACACATCCACTGAAGTGAGCAGCTTAATATCTGCTAAGTTTGCACGCTTTTTTTTTTTTTTTTTTAACTGAACAGGCAAGCCTCTCTGAAATTCACAGCAACATGTGGGTGAGGAATGGCCTACAAATTAAAGGACAGGCAATGACTTACGTGCAGTCTCATTTTTGTAATTCCATGATTGATCCTGACATTTATCTGCTACAAGTAAGTTGTGTTTTCTGAGAATCCAAGCCAGTATTTCTTTAAAAAAAATAAATAAATAAAATAAATAAATGTATTCTTTTTCCACAGGTCTGTGCCTCTAGGCTTGACCCAGATTATTTTATTTCATCAGTTTTTGAAAGGTAAGATCCAAAGAAGAATACTCTTGCTCAGTACTTTGCCAGCCGTTGGCTAACATGGACCATGGCAGAGAGAAAGTGCAGAAACACCTTTGTGTGCAGTGACAAATGTTTTCAGTGCTGTGATTCTACATAGCTAGAGGTTATGTTTATCCCATACCTCTATATCCACACTATCTCACATTTGTCATTTCATTCAGGACTAGCTTTTGATATTCAGCTAATGCTTCAGGTGTCTGTTTTCTAAGCATTTTCAATTTTTCAAGTACTGTATATTCTTATATGCAAGTATTCAGGTTATGTTGACCTGAAGAAGTAGACAAGCAGCGCTGTAGCGGTGAGAATCCCAGAAGGGATGCTTGCTTTCCCCAAAAGGCTAAATCTTTTGGGTGTTTATCAGGGTTTGAAAGTAGCTTCTTTGCTATTAGTCCATTTATTAGTCCATAAATGACAAGTGTTTTCACACGGAGTAAATGTTACTGCCACAAATAGTTAAATTACAATCAAAAATAAATGTTTGCTTATTATTTCATTATATTCATATATTTTATTTTGTATTAATTTAGGGATTATTTGCAAAGTATCCTGAGTTTATCAGTGTATTCCCCATTATTGTTTTAAAGTTGAAGAATGATGTTTCCGAATTTAATTTTTGTTGCACAGATTTAAGGTGGTAGATCTGCTAACAATGGCATCGCAGCATCAGAATACAGTTCTTGATTCAGAGCATGAAAGATCCATGCTGGAAGGAGCCTTAACATTTTTAGTCCTTTTGTTAAGTCTTCGCTTGCATTTAGGTAAGAATCACAACTTTAGGGATATTTGTATCTAAATAATTAGTCTTTTAATTTATTTCTGAACATTTAGTAGCTATAATAAGTCTGAAAATTAGTAACTTAAAAGATCTCACTCTTGGTCTTGTCTTCCCTGAAGTTTTAATCCTTTATGAATTACAAACAGACAGAATACATAGAAATGGAGAAAAATGATTTTAATGGAAGTGGCTGAATTCCCTACTTGATCACCAAATGCCACATTAAGATTCATTTCTCTTTTCAGGAAGACAGGCAGTTTTATAGTTTATGTGTCTGAGTTTGTCTTTCATAACTTTTGTCTTTTTGATTACTGTGCTTTTTATAGCACTATATTATTATTTAATGCTAATGTTTGTATTACTTGAGGCTGATGTATGCTGAGGGTTCAATTATTTTCCTCCTTCTAGGAATGACAGATGATGAGATCCTCAGAGCAGAGATGGTAGCCCAACTCTGTATGAATGACAGAACACACAGTTCATTATTGGATCTCATATCCTTGGAGTATATTAACTAATGTGCATGACTGAAAGCAGCAGGTACTTGGGTAGCAGTGGATGTTGGAACTTGGTCATCAGCATCAAAATGCAAAAGCATTTGTTCTTCCCACTTTGCTTATGTTGGGTGGAGGAATAGTGCTTTATATTGTTTGTTTTTAATACAGAAGGAAGAACTTCTATTTTTATTATTATTTTTTGAATACTACAAAAAAAGTTGTACAGTTGTGAAAAGTTTGATTTTTCAGTAGGGTTGCAGAAAATCTAACCACATGGAGCCAGTATTTAGATCTGAGCCTTTGGCTGATATTTATTATATGCTAGCATAAAAAATAAACTACTTTTGGTGTCAAAAGCTAAAAACGCAAATAACTGTACTGCTGAATGCAGTTTCGAAATTAGAGTGAAATATGTCTCTTTTAGTAGTGTAGTATGTCTAGTGTTTAGTAGCATGTCTTGAAGAACAGCAAATCCTAGGAAATCTTTCTACACAGTGATGTGGTTTTGTCCCTAAACTGTTCCATACAAATAGCCAAGTTTTACTGGTATCCAAGTACTAAGCTCCACTAAACGGCTTGCGGTGATTGCCTGAAAGAGTTTGCAACCCAGTGATGGTCATTCAGCAAAATATTACTATGAGACATGGGAATTTTTATGTTTAGGATGTCAGATATGAGGTTTATCGTTGATCTTTGTTTGTTTATATTTTCAGAACCTCCTTACATTGACATTCCTTGCCCCTGTGCTCTTTCCTGCTATTTTAAGTTTGTGTTCTTGAATTTTCCTTCCACGATTAGACCTCGTTTTCACTGATCTCTAGCTCAGCATGAGATTCAAGGACTTATAACTCAGAAAAGATGGGTTTTGTAATGTTCTATTGCATGCTTAAAACTAAGGCTGTATCAGTGTCTTTGTGTACGAATTAACCTGTTATTCCCTTTTTTTCAAAACCTGTTTTTCCATTCATAGAATTTGATGACCTATTTCTCTTTTTATTATTATTATTATTATTTTAATAATATGATTACCAGGAAATTTTAGTAATGTGGTTACCAGGAAATTTCTGGTTTATGGTTAGTGATTACTTATGTCAATCACTTGTATAAGTACTAGTGATTACTGATTGTAATTTTGGGAACTGTCAAGAGGCTAAGTAAGCATCACTATCAAAAAATAGTCAAGAATGAGAACTATTTAGTATATGTGTGCAGCCCCAAGCATTTACCTGCTTTTTCTGCACGTAACTGGAGAGGAAATATATATATATTTTTTGCTACCAACAAAAAGCTAATGGGAGAGTAAACGGAGGCTAGCACAAAACCTTTAAAATATACACTGCAGATAGTGGGTTTTTTTTTTTTTTTTTTTTTTTAATATCTCGTTACCTCTTGAGCCTGTAGCGATTGGCTTAGTTTGGAGAGTTTAATGTCCTATCTAGGACACTTTGATTAACTTCAATATTTGTTTCTCCAGTGCAGCTGGAAGACACGGACCTCTTGTGGCTAAAATAGAGCATTGCCACAATGTAGTTTCTGAAATAAGTAAGTGAAAATGTCAGACAAAAGGAAAATGCTGTGTTCTGCAGTCACATTGAATTCATTTTCCTTAATACAAACGTTACATTCCAGAAAACCCAAATCCTAAAAGTGGTATTATTCCAGGAAGCTTAAGCTTTGAATCAGTGTTGTCAGCAGTTGCTGATTTTAAAGCTCCTGTTTTTGAACCTGGAGGTTCCATGCAACAAGGAATGTACACACCTAAAGGTATGGCACCCTCTGTCTTTTATAACATACTTGGTGGCAAGACACTTAACTGAGTTACACCAAAAAAAAAAAAGGGGGGGGGGGGCAAAATGAGAGCAATGTGGAAAAGGAGTGGGAGCTGTTTCCCTATACTTCAGATGGGAGAAATACTTTATTTAAATTTTAAAAATAATTTGGAATCACTTTTAAAATCTTTTTCTCTCTTTGCACAAGTTTCAGTTGTCTCTTTATCGGGATTGTGTGTTTTTTCATATTAAAAATTATTACCTAACACACAGATACAAGACACTGAAAGCTGCAAAATGGAAGAGATGTATTGCCTTAATAGATGATTATTAGTGGAAAAGTATTATTAGTAAAAAGTAAAAAAAATACTATGTTTTACTGCCAAAGATAATTATGTGGTAACAACTTAGATAGCTAAAGAGGTCAAGATCAAGAAGAGAATCTGAAATAAATTGTAATGTTCATGAAGATTATTTTAACATGTGGCTTTTAAATCACAGCTGAAGTTTGGGATAAGGAATTTGACCCTGTCATGGTAATACTTCGCACAGTTTACCGTAGAGACGTGCAGTCTGCAATGGACAGATATACTGCATTGTAAGTTGGATCCTTTCAGAAAGCAGACTATTGTTTGTTGCACAACAGATTGTTTTTATACATTAATGTTTTCACTGTTTGGGAATGTTAGTGATATTTGTTAGTGATATTATTGATGTTTTCAGGCCTTTTTGCTTTTTTTTTTTTTTTTTTTTTTTAAAGAAGAAGTGTTGCCAAGATTCTCGTGAACTTGGTCTGTTTCTCTCCCATGCATATTTAAAAATACATTCAGTGAATGTCATCACGTAACAGATATTTAATGGGAAATTTGAGTTTAAAAATCAAGTTCTAAGAAGCAAGATTTGATTTTAGCTCTGTTCCTTACTGCCATCTTACCCTTAAAAAGCTTTGTTCTTATTTAAGTAATTTCATTTAGTTCTCTTTATTTAACACTCTGTGAATAAAAAGTAACTAAAAAAAATACTTAGGAAATAATCCTCTGCTCCATGCCTCTCTGCTTGTTCCTTTAACTAGAGGGTCATCATAAACATGTGCTGTGAGCAATTTCGAGCAAGGTAGCAATCTGTTAAATATTTGCACTGTCTAGTGCACTAGGTACCAGCTGATGATTAGCAATGTGAGTCTGCAGTGCAGTTAACTTTTAACATCATAAATATGGTGGTGCTGCAATAAATAATGATGTCTGGTGTTGCACAGTGTTGGAATTTTTTAGCTGTCTGTAATCCAGTCCTAGACAGGTGAATTTTCTATGGTAGGTGTCTGACTAACTGGGAGATTTTGGTGAAGTTAAAGTTTTCCGTCCATTTCAGGTGCCTCTTAAATAAGTGAAAAAGGGGTTCTGATGTTCATTGCAGTGTTAGGTATCGAAGACGTTTAAGTCACGGGTGGCAGCAGAAAACATTGCCTGGAAGTTTCTCATGTACATTCCAGCTTTTGGAAATGTTTAATATAAATTAAGTGGCTTAGAAATGTTCATCAGTTCTGAGGTTTGTTTGTACAAAAAGAGTGGTGGATAGTTATTTATAACAGTGGTAGTTGTTTAGATTATTGAGGTATCTAATACAAGCCTGATTTGTTTCAACAGTTTAAAGCAAAGTGGTAAATTCCCTGGGAACCCATGGCCTCCTTACAAGAAGAGAACACCACTACATCCGAGTTACAAAGGTCTCGTGAAGCTTTTACACTGCAAAACCTTGCACATTGTGCTGTTCACGCTCCTTTACAAGGTACGGTCATAATTCTCATTAATAGGGTAGATATTTTACTTCCTCTTAATCATGACTCTTTTTACAGATTTGCAGTATATAATTTTCGAATTTATATAGTACTTTTATTCATATGATGAAGTACTTCAGATAAGTTTCACTTTTTTGCTAGTTAAACTAACGACAAGTTACAACATCCAAAAAAAAAAAGAGGGTAAATTTGCCTCTTTATTATTTCGTATTTGTTTCATGAACTGCTCATGTGGTTTAGAGATGTGTAGCATTTCATGTCTATTTTATAAGCTTATGATGGTGATTTCTTAAGATATTCACTGCAGCTTGCACACGTAAAGGACAGGTAGGCAGCAGATAAGCAGTCCTGTTGTGCCTTGAGGAGCCCTGTGAGAATGACCAGGGCCGCCAGGTTGTTCCGTGGGGGTTGGGGAGTGTGCTGCTGCTGCTGCGGGTGGTGATTCTTGGCACCAATGCAGACCTGTGAAGCAGCAGGATGAAACATGTGCAGCCTTGGTGACTCTGATTCCTAAATTGCAAATATGTCTTACAATCTCATAAGTGCACCCAGTTCTCATGTCACTTCCTGGATATGTTTTGGCTTTTAATGACATTGTAGCACTTGCACTCTAGCACTAATTGATGTCTTTAAGTTTCTTTTGGTTTTGTCTGAGATAGTGGCTGCTCCCTTTTAAGGAGAAATTAATCCCTTTTGTTGAGCCCCTTCGTCAGAAAATGGGACTCCAAATTGGGCCTTACACTTGGAAAGTGCTTTCAAAGCAATGGCTGAAAAGGCAGTACAATGTGGGACTATAAAGTGTGGTTTGATTGAGGCACATGAACACTTTTTGCTGGGCAGATGTTCCTTTTAATGCTCCTTTTGTTGCTCCCTGTAGCTCTCCAGCTTTTGTCGAATGGAAAATATCTCTTGTTAAAGGAACTAAAAGCTAAATTGCATTTATGGAGCCCTGCTTATTCCCGTGGAGTTAACCGATTTTTTTTCTACTGAAGTATCATATAAATAAGTTGTCAGTATATCACAGAATGAATACAGAATTAAGACTTTTATCTGAATTCATTCAATAGACTTCATCATTTTTACTTTTTTTCCTCAAGGACATCATAATTCTTAGAAATTTACAACTTCAGTAAACAATAAGTTTTGTTGTGGAGTAGGTGCAGTTTCAGAAATCTACTTTAGTGGTATAAATTAGAACCATTAGGAAAAATTTTACTACTGTTTTTCCTTATCCATGATATAATGGATCACATTACAGAAAAGGCTGAATTTACTGTGCAGAGGCCATTGAATGAAACAGTACCGTTTGGGACTCGGTTGTACAGCACTTTGTGGCTAGTCAAGGTTTTACATTGTCAGATATTAGTTGCTTAAAACCTTGCCAGAATCTACCCAGCAGCTGCTGTTTTCCTTGCTGGCGGTGAGAGTTCTGGTGTGGTTTTCCAAGAATGAAGCAGGAATAAACGCTTTCCTTTTGCCTTATTTTAAACGTCTTTTTATCTTGATTCTGAACCAAATTTTAGCCCAGCTGCAGACACCGCCAGCCTGTGGTTTGTATGGGCTTGACAGGTTCTTGTTTTACTCTGCTAAGCGCAGAAGTCCCGGTACCGGCAGCCCTGCAGCAGAGCCGAGTGCCATTGAAATCGCTGCCCAGGGATTCCCGGAGCCACCGCTCGGCCCCGCGCAGCGGGGACCGCCGTTCTGGGAGCAGCCCCAGGGCCCGCAGCGCTCGGCTCCGTGCTGGGGCTGCCCACTGAGGGAAAGCAGAGCAGGAGGCTGGGAGGAGCCACACTGGGAAACAGGCTTTTAATGGAGGAGGAATGGAGGTTATAGGCAGGCAGTGCATCATCTTTACTGCCCTGCTCATATATATTTTTTTCTTACTATACTAAGGAGCTTCAAGGACCTAAATCTTGATGATCTTGTGGGATCTCCTTCTCTGGAGATCTTTGGAGCCCACTTGGATGTGGCCCTGTGCTGCGTGCTCTGGGTGACCCTGTGTGTGCAGGGGGATTGGACTGGATGGCCCCTGGAGGTCCCTTCCAACCTTAAGGATTCTATGATTCTGTTTTCCAGGACACTCTTTTAGCTGGAATATTCCAATACCTTTCTGCTAGGCTTGTGGAAGGTAGAAGTTATGTGGTAATTGCTTCCATGCACTGGTTTAAATGACCCACTTTGTGTATTCATGTAATTTTGCTAGTTTGCAGCAGCATTTGTGTCTCTTGCCCTTTGGGGCTGCACAAAGAAGAGCAATAAAAAACCTTTCATTATTTTCAGATGTGTTACCAGGTTGAGTTTTGTTTCTAACTGGCCAGTTGCACATCATCTTCACACTAATGTATCACTGAATGTAGCCTGTTTATAAGGACAATTTAAATGTATTTCCTTGTCCACTTTTGTTATAATTTGTAAATTCTTTTAATTCAATTCCTCTTGAATCAGAGCATCCTCAAGAGGAAAGCTGTCCTGCTTTTTCATTTCAGCAGTGCTGCTTCTCCCTCTGGGAGTGTTCAAGTTGTATTAAAGATACGTGTATCTGTGTGCTGGAGGCATACATATACACATAGGATTCAAAAAATGCCTCTTTCTATTTAGAAAGCTTTTTTCTTGGACACTTTTATGTATGATTTTAAAGTCTATTTGTTTATTTATTTTTAAGATAGTCTTGCGTCTTCCGTGGAAATGCAGTTAATTAAGATCCAGGGGTTTCTATCTATCTCTCATAGTTTCCTGCAGTTTCCTGCAGACATGAGGAATTTCTACAACATTTATTTATGGTTTGTAATATCAAAATGAATATTATGTGGAGATGATTCTGAATGAATTTCACACCAATTCTTCTGGTGTTCCCAGGTGCTCAGGCATCACGTCCTGGTGCTCAGGCACTAGGACTTGGCTGCTGGTGCCTGTGCAGGGGGGCCTGCCGGCCCCAGGGCTTTGCTTGTTGTCACCAGTAGTGGGAGCTTGAGGGAGTTTAGCTGGCACATTCCTGCCACAATAAATCACAGCTTGGACTAGGGATAATGTTAAGATGAGATCTTGCTTTTGCCATGATGCTCTCAGGTTTTTTATAAACCTCAGAATGATTTTCTTAAAATAAATCAAAATCAACTGAGGAGTCTGAAGACTCATGAGCAGGACACTCTTTTGTGTATTTCATATATTGAAGTCGTAATGGGCTGAGCAGAATAACAGTTTCCTAGCATTTAAATGCAACTGTCCTGTTGGTACAACACATCCCAAATGACTTGTCCTGTTTTGTAGCAGTAATATTTTACTGTTACATTCATCCTTTTCTTGGCTTTGTTTTAACTTTCTTTTTAAATGCTGTAGCACAATACCCAATTGGGAATTCTCCTTTTTGGTCCTTTCAGTCGTACCAGAGGAGTGGTGTTTAAAATGGCTTTGTTATGTTTCAGAATAAACATTATAGCAAGTTGAATGGGCACTTCAGCACTCATTAACATAGTTCTTTTTCTAGCTCTCTTTTCAGAAATACAGTATTTTGAAGGCATTACTGTACAACAAAAAGAAAACTTTAAATTCTAAAATTGGAACTCAGTTTTTGTAGTACCTTGAGTTTCTTCACAGGAGACTTCTGATGCAGTTTAGGTTAGAGATGTCCTCCACGTTTTTGACCCTTGTTTGGTGGTGACAAGGGGAAGAGTGGCATAGAGGGGTCAGATTGCAAAATACAAAAGATTTTTAAAAACCTTCTTAGCTGAGAATGTCCATTTCTCTGCCTAGATACTGATGGATCATCAGAATTTATCAGAACACGTCCTTTGCATGGTTTTGTATTTGATTGAGCTGGGATTGGAAAATTCTCCGGAAGAGGAGTCAGATGAAGAGGTAAGAATAAATGCGATTTTTCATTAAGATATGAAAGTGTTGTCTAATGGAGCAACATTCACTTAAAGTAAACACTTGATATTTATTAAAGTAACAATTTTAATATGGGATTCAGAACAAAACACCATTTTTATTAATTTAAGCAGGGATCAACTGACCAAGAAATATTACAAAACTGCATACAGCTGTGAAAAAGAATTTGATATCTTGTCATGTGTTGTGACAGTGTCTTTTAGAATTAAGGATTCTCTATCTTCTGACAATATAGATCACGATGTTCTGTAAGTTAGTGCTCAAAACTGCAGAGAAATGAATTGAATCTAAAACTTGTTTAAGTTACTAGATTTACAGCTGAAATCATCATAGTTTGTAGATCTTTGTATTACCCTGAATAGTTATTTTTGCTCTTGTTGGATAACATTGGTTAGATGTATTTGTTTCCTTATACTCAATCAGTCTGAATACATATTTTTATGTAATTGTTTGCATTGTAATTTCAATCTAGATACCAGTCATTGTAATAATTTCTAAGAGCTGTATCATTTTCAGTAAGGTACATTCTTTTCAGCAGTTTGTTTGTATGTCATGAAGAGAGGATGAGTTATTGTAACATCTTCAGGAGCGTACACTAATTTTTTTTTCTAGGAGTCTGCTGGTGGACAAGAGCGCTGCCATGACAGTTGGTTTCCAGGTAGTAACTTGGTTTCTAACATGCGTCACTTTATTAACTATGTCCGAGTAAGAGTACCAGAAACTGCCCCAGAAGTGAAGAGAGAACCACCTGCAAGTACCAGTTCGGATGGTTTACCTTCTTCACAAGTAAGTGTATGCAAATACCAGTCATCTTTTGAGAACAGTTTAGTTATTGCTTTATTGAATATTTTGGTTGTGTTTGGGTTTTTTTACTGTTTCTGTGGTGGGGTTTTTTTGGCTTTTTTTTTTTTTTCTTTTTAAGTAGCTTTCTTACAGTAGTCTTTCCAGAGAATATAGATAACAGGAATAAAGTTATTTCAAATCACACCTCTTTCCAAATGACATATTTAATGCATTCTTTTCTGTCCTCAATCTACCAGAGTTCAAGGCGGAAGAGCCTTCAGAGAGAGGTAGATTTGTGTGCAATTTGTTTTCTAAGCAATTAACTTGCAATCCTGCTTTAATTGTGTTCACCTTAACATTCAGTGACATCTATTTTTTCTGATTTTTTTAAACTTTATTTTGCAAGAATTCATGCTTTTTAAAATTTTCTTGATGTTAATGATGTTAATCTTAGATGATAGATTTTTAAGCGATACAATATCTTTAAATGTTTATATATTTTAAATAAATGCTCTTTATTAAATATAAAATATCTTGGTTAGCTTTTGCTTGAGCTTCGTATTTAGTTCTGTTCTGTCTTACCAAGGTATTACTAACATTTAATAATGTAGAATAGTCTAACTTTCTCAAACCTAGGTAAGTTTATCTTTGTTGCAATTGCATTTTAAATGACTAGTGGCAAGTAAATCTGCTTTTGATAAAACAAAACTAATGTATATGTGGTGGGATCCTGAAATATAGTCAGTAGATATCTTTTCAAGATTGCTTCTGTATACAGTGTTTCAGATTATTTTATGTTGGATGTAAAGAAAACTGTTACAGTAGGTATTTCTTTTAGGGCAAAGCTATGTATTTGTTATTATTTATTGTAGATAATATTTTGTACTTGTCTCTTCATGTAGCTGTGTATGACAAATCTCTATAAAAGTATGAGGTACAAGCTTAGTATTTTGGTACAACAAATTTCATTATGCTTTTGAAAGAGAAAAGGAAAACATTATTGAGCTTTTCTAGTTTAAAAAATAACTGTCTATAATTTTGTGCATTTTGTTTTTATTTGTAATTTTATTGTATAATTATAACTTATTTACTATAAATATGAACTTTTCTTTTTTTCCCCTAAGAACTCGGGGACAGCTCAAGTGTTCAGTTTGGTTGCAGAACGTAGGAAGAAATTTCAGGAGATCATCAATCGGAACAGCAGTGAAGCAAATCAGGTGGTTCGGCCCAAAACGTCAATGAAATGGTCAGCACCTGGTGCAACACCGCAGCTAACCACAGCCATTCTTGAAGTCAAAGAAAGTATATTGTCCTTGCTAATTAAATTACACCACAAACTCTCAGGAAAACAAAACTCTTACTATCCTCCATGGTTAGATGATGTGGATGTTTTAATTCACCCCGAAATTCCAAGATATTCTCACGGTGATGGAATGACAGCAGTAGAAAGAATTTTATTGAAAGCTGCAATACAGAGCAGGCTGAATAAACGTATAATTGAAGAGATATGCAGAAAGGTGACACCTCCTGTGCCACCAAAAAAGATTAGTTCTGCAGAGAAGAAAACTCTGGATAAAGAAGAAAGGTAAGTTTAAAAAAAAATAAAGTGAAGGGTTTAGTACAACAGAGAATGTTTGCATCTACTGATTGGTTTACCTCTAGTCTTGACACAAATTTAAAAAAATATATAATTCTGGTCTTTACCTATTCTGTATACATACGATGAAAATGCATCTTTTATAAATCTTCAATCTGGGAAAATTTGAAATTGTTTTATATGTGATAGCCCTTAAAGTTGCCAGATATCCCTTTCAAATTTCTGTGTACTTTTTATTACCTGTACTCAATTTATCTTAGGGCGATAATTCTCAGCTCTTGCAAACCTTGAAGCTTGCAGATTTTATAGATTCAGGTCAGCAAGATAAAGTACTTTAAAATAGAGACATGTTAAATACCATGAACAATCAATACAATTTTTATCTCCCTCTTTTTTCCCCTCAACCTAGAAGTTCTTGTAGTTTTGTATAGGAGGAGTAAGAAGGGAGGTTGTGTGTTTGGTGAACAAAACTTTGAAGCTGCTCAATATTCTATCTATTAAAGCTTAATAGATTGTTAAACTTAAGATAGTTAAAGATAGCTAAGATAGAAAAGCTTAAGCTTAACTGCAACCACCCCAAATTACTTTGATCTTTTTGTTATTCATATAGACTGTACATTCATGTATACATATAGGATTTATTTAGATGTATTATTTGTGAGCTAGTAGCACTGCCTTTTTTGCTTATCCAACGTATTACTTTAAAAACCTTGCTTTCCTTTTTCTTTTCTTTTTAATTTTTATTTTCTTATGTGGCCTGAAAACTTGCATATCCTTCTTGGGCTCTTGCTGTGGGGGTTAAACCTCAGATTGGAGGTTGAGGTTGGGAAGTAGGAAGTCCTGTGAATGCTTGGAATGGAAGCACTAGTCCCCAGGTGCAGAGGCAGCGGCTGCTGTACTGCTCCAAGCAGGCCTGTGGTGGCACTCGAGCAGCAGGGACCATGAGCATCCCGAGTCAGACACCAGAGTGAGAAGGGGAGGTGAAAGCTGGGCCCGGCAGGGCAACCTATGAAGCCTTGCACTGGAAGGAGGAGTGGTGGGTGAGAGGTACTAGTGAGCAAACAGCTGTGGGAGCACAAAAGCTGCCATGTCAGAGACACCCATTAGGTTGTCAGAAGAAATACCGAGAGATGACTAGGAGATGGGAGAACCAGTCCTTAATGAAAATCTTGGTACGGGAGACAGGGTGTGAGAGGTGATGGGAATTGTGAAGTGTGGGACAGGAAGGCAAATGCCTGAGGCCATAGAGAGAAGCTGGGTTTCGGGGTGGCAGAATTGGGGCTGGAACAGGGCTCCTGTTGTGATTGGCTAGTGCCAAAAGCTGCTAGTGGGAAGGTGGGGAATTGCAATGCTGGGAGGCAGTGGCCGAGGTTTGCAGGCTGGGGCTTGGAGACTGGGGTGGCCAGAGAGAAGGTGCCAAGGCAGAAAAGGTGCTGGATAGAGGTAGGATAGGAGACGTGCTGGGATGCACGAGCCCTTGCTTGTCCATGGCAAGGGTATTTATAGTTCATATATGGCCAGCCTATATGTTTATAGCTCTATAAATTCTGGGTAAAACATACTGCAGTCTGGTTCTGGTGATTTATGTATATTTATATTTTTTTATTTGTTTGAAAATAAATTTTAAAAAATCTTGGTGGATTTGTGGCAGTGGCCTTAAGAATGTGGTAGAAGGCCTTAAAAATATTAATATCTGCAAATTCTAGAAAAGTTAAGGAACTTAAAATGATACTGTTTTAACGTGAGTCATAAACTTTCTAAGTTGGATTGGTTCATAGCAATGGGTGCCTGAGAACATTAGCATCTCCTCAAGTCAAGGAGGGGAAAATCTGTGACATTGTCAGATTTCTTGTTAAACTCTCAGCTGCGTCCAAGAGCTTTGGTAGATTAAAACAGATATTAAAGCTTTAATGCTGAATATGTATTTATTTAAAAATAATGTAAACCAAAATAGATTTAATGTTTTTACAATTATCTACTCTAAAAAATGAAATTCTTTTTTGCAAATGTTCTGTTCATGACTTGATTTTTAACATGTCTTGTAACAGCTCAGTAAATGGGGCAAAGTAATCAACGTTTAGTACACAGACCTGGGGGACCCGTGGCATGTACTGAGAGAGCGCCAGGGCAAAACCAACTCTCATGAGTTAGGCTGTTCTTATAGTCAGAGTATTTTTTTGTTTGTTTGTTTGACTGATTGATTGAACTTCTTTTTCATTTTCTTTCTCTTCTTTCCATTTTTTGCGTTTTCGAGCCCATTTGGTACCCGTGAAGATGGAGCAGGCTGTGAGCCGGCGGTGCTGCCGTTCCGGGCTGCTCGGGCCTGTGATGGCCGCCCAGCCAGGGCCTGTCGCCATGGCAACGGCGGCCCGCGTGCGCGAGCTGCTTGCGGTGGTTTTTCAGTTGCAGTGTCAGGGCCCCGTGGGCCGCCGTGGAAAATTACTGAGCTGCACCGAATCTGTCAGGGTTTGTTTATGTCTTCTTATTAGAGGCCTCTATTTACAGTCCCTCTGCTTTTAGCAAAGGCATATACAGAGAGACTCCAAGGGAGGAATAAATAAAAACAGATTAATGAAAGCCCCGATACGGTTCCTAAAATAGTGAGTCTCAGGACTGTGGTGCACAGAAGTTATTTTGAGAAATGATGGCTGTGCAGCGACAGATAGATGTGTAGAGATCCCTGCCTCTGTAAGGTGCCCTTAGGAATGGCCGTTGAAGCTTTGCTGTGCAAACGGGCCAGAGCAGCACCTGGCATGGGGGTCCCGTGGGCTGGAGCCCTCACGATGTGAGCAATGCCCATTGATATCTTTACGTCCCCTGTCAGTTATCCTGTTCAATAACAAACATGCTGCAAGGGGTGAAAGATACTGATGGACGGAAAAGATAAAGCAAGTGCAAGTATGGAGGACAGGAATAAGGACTGAACTGGAATAACGTTATATGTGTTGCCTGAGACAACATATTTTACGAAAGAAAGGAATTTCATGAGACATTCATGATCCCTACATGAAAGGACGTGAAAGGTTGGAGTAAGAGATGAAATTGGTAACAAATATAATTAAATGAGGGTCTTAACTGGGGCAGTAAAGGTTAAAAGCTGTGGTCTAATCAGGAAAAACAAAAAAGGGAAAAGATAGGCTACAAAGAAGTAATGCTCCTCTTAGCATCATTTGCTTTAGCATCCTCTCTCTTTTTTTTTCCTACTCTTGTTTCATGCAGACGACAGAAGGCCAGAGAAAGGCAACAGAAATTGCTAGCTGAGTTTGCTTCAAGGCAAAAAAGTTTCATGGAAACCGCCATGGATGTTGGTAAGTTTTTCATTGTCTGCCTATTTGTTTTTTGTTTTAAATTTTATGTTATGCTGTTTTGAGTCAAAAACCTAAATGGTTCTACCACAACGACTTGAGCACTTGGTAGTTCTTAAGAGGCTTCAAGCTGTGTTTTCTAGCATGGACTAACACTGAATAGACCACTGTTAATGAATAAGCATGGTAGTCTTGAAAACATGTAGAAGAGAACACATCTGATGTACATAAGTCTATTTTGATTTTTTCTTAAAGTGAATAAAGTGGTTACATTTGTGTGATGTGTCAAAATATTCTCCTTTTAATATAAAACTGTCCAAAGTTAGTCTGTTTCTTAAATATTGTGTTTTCTTAAACTGTGATGATACATATTACTGCTATTTCTTTGTAGAGAAATTCTCAATTTTTAATAAGGGCAAGGTTTTTGCCTTTTAAATTAAATGTAGAATTGAGGAAAGTATAATCATTAGATCACTTCAGTATTACAATTGATAGTGCTGTATTCTGTGTCAGCTATTTTAAAGATGGGCTTTACAGCAGCATCAGTCCTCATGTTTGTTTTTTTTAGGGATGAGTTCTTTTCAGACTTTGTTAGGAGAAATTCTTGATCAGTCTGATTTTGTTCAATTAAGAGGTAGAAACCATTTTCTTCATGTAGGTTGTTCAATTGAACATGAGCAGTTTTGAAAGCAGGGTTTTTTTTCCGTCTCAGCCAGTCAGATAGTCTGCTTTGTGTTTTTAATTTGAATGTTAGCATTGTACTGGTTTCTTGTTTTGTTGAACTTGTGTTCATTTCATTTCAGTTAATGGGGTACAGAGAAGATTCTGTCATTAATATTTATGCAGGTCATATGGCAACCCAAAAGTTCTTTACCAAATAATGACATATGTTTGGTGTTACCTTTGGGAGGTGTGCTGTACCCAACACAAAGATCACATATTAGACACAGATGTTTCATAAGTTGTATTTAAGGTAATTAATATCATATGCGGATGAAGGGCAGTAGCCAGGGCCCTGTCAACATTGTGGAGAACTGGGGGACACTTGGTTTTAACTACACAAGTTAAATATTAAAAAGAACCTTGAATTACTGTACAGTCAGAACCTAGGCCTTTGTGCTTGTGTATGCGTCACTGTGTTGAGAAATACTTTTCCATTTCTTAGTATTTAAACAATGAATAACTTTATTTTTCTTGACATAAAATGTAGGAATTAATTATGTATCATACTCGGCAGGAAAGAATTGGTTTAATGAACTACATTAACATAGTTATTTTGCATGAAGACATTCCTGGGTAACCACTTAAGAAGATGATTGCCCAGAAATTTTGCATTCCTTTAATAGTTTTTTTTGTGTGTGAAGTGTTCAATTTTTTTTTTTTTTGTAAATGCCCCCTAAGTATGGAATGTTTCTCACAATCCTTTCAATGATATGGCTCTCAGCAGACTATCGTTCTGTCCTTGAAGCATTTGCTGATATTAGCTAGGTTGAAAAAAGTGCACAAATTGAAAGCAAGGTGACATACACTTTTTAACATTCAATCTTCTGAACCTAGATAGAAAAATAAATTAGTGACTGATCTCTTGAGAATATATATGCTAATAGTTGCTTTGATGCTAGGGACCACTGACACACAGTATGACAGGAAGAATGTTGACTGCAGTCAGAGATTATAAAGGCACTTTATTGTGGAAACTTTTGCACAGCCCGTTGAGATTGGCATTTTCTCAATTGGGGAAAAAGGGGAAGTAGATCATGCCCTTAACTCTGGAGAGTTTGACCTAAAATAAAGTCAGCAAGGTGTTATATAAGAACACGACGTGTCAGATGGTAGCACACTGATCAGTGTTTGCTGGGAGGCAGCAAAGGCCAATTTTGTAACTTCAGATGCTTCACCTGTATTGGTACAAAACTAAAAGCTAAATAATTAACTTGCCGGGGGAAAATAATTTAAAAGAGAGAAAAAGTGTCCTGGATTTCTGTCACTGTTTAAATGTTTACATTTTCCTGCAGTGATTTTAACTTCGTTCTATTTAGTGAGGTTTGTATTATCCTTGCTCTGAAATGATCTGCAAAGGCAAAGAGAACACATTGTAGGTAGCTAGAAAATCAGACTATATCATCAGACAAATCTTGTAAGAGTAACTTAGTGTATTGATATCAATGCCACTTATGTTATCTTGCATTTCCTATTTGCATCTTGACATCCCTAGGATAAGTTTCTGTGAAATCAGTTAGGTTGGAAACAGCCTGGGGAAACAGTTTTCAGTTTGGGGGAACAGCCTGGGACAGTCTGACTAGATCAGGAAGCTAGTGAGAGAGAGGTCAGATGCTCTGCAGAGGTGAAACTGAGGAAGGACAAGAACAAGGACAAGAAGGTCGCCCTTTGCATAGCGTTCTGTAACCTCCCTTTTCCACACTGCCACTGATTTATTTTTACCCCATTCTACTGCCAAAATCTACCCTTTCAAGCTAGCGATACCCTGTGGCCAATTTTCTAAAGCACTAATAAATCTTTTGGTTCTGTTAAAACATCAGTAGGGGAAGTGTCTCTAGAAGTTTTTTCCTCCAAAATCAAAGAAGATATGTTCTTTTTTTCTTTAATATTTAGTTTAATTCGTTGTTTACAAAACTGTGTTCTGGTAAGATTACTGCAAAGTGGAAACAGAGTGATGCAATTGGGTAGCAAGAAAGAAAAGGAAGAGGGACAGGGAAAGGAAAGTGTATCCTTAAGGTAAAGCTGTATAATTCAAATTATTTCTGAGATACTTTAGGCCAGGAATCAACGTTTGTCATAGTCCATTTAAAAATAAATATTGTGGGATTTTTTGTTGGTATTCATGGTGGTTGTTTCAGGGAGTCAGGGAGTTGTGGGTTTGTTTACTTTTCTGTAGCTTGAAATGCTTCCCTGTTTCCTTCACACATACTATTTGTGCAAGTTAGCCTTGCTTTTATTTACTACTTTCTGGGAAAGTTATTTGATTAGGAAGTAGTCTTTGATGCTAAAGATTTAATTCCCCTGAAATTTTATTATTTGACAAATTAGCCTTGGGCCAAATCTAAACACTTGAAAGAGTAGCATATATTTGATCCCTGAGGTCTGTAGGAGATAGAGGTATAGAGGGGACATACTCAATTGGTTTGAAACACTTTCAGAATATTAAGATTTATTTTTTTTTTCTGAGGTTTAAAATAACGAGATGGTATGTTTTGAGAGAGATACTTATTAGAAATAAAATGTCACATGCTTACACGTATTGAATGTAGAACTTCTCCCATTGGGAAACTGTATGGCAGTTGAATGTGAAAGTACATTAAAAACTACATTAAAAATGGAGCCAAAGAAAAATGTTTTTTGCAGGAATGCAAAGCATATTCATTGATCTATTTAGTGTTAATCTGAGCAAAGCAGAGCCTAATTAAATCAAATACATATTGTTTTTCTTCAATAATTTTAATTTGCAAAGTTAACTCATTCTATTGCATTAGATATTTCCCTTTTCTAAGTGTTGTGTTTGAGAGAATAAGAGCAATGAATGGATGATATTTCATAAATAAAATGTTAACTGAGGACTTACGTTGTACTGGCCCAAATGAAATTGCCATGCTACATTGTCTTACTTCACCTCTTAAAAATGTTGAATGGATCCATGTTTCATGTTTTATTCAGAATGTTATAGGAAAAGGTAGATAGACAAGGACTTCATAGTCCTTCTCATATACTGATAAGGCCATCAGTACATCATCAACATGATGATGAGGAGGTGTCAAAGATGTCTGATATGAAAAACAGCTGTAGTGTTTATTTCCTCTCTCCTGCTTTACAATTACTGCTAGATTTTCTGATTGTTTGGAGTTTTACCAGAAAGATGTTGGGTGATGATGCATTTTGCTTTTTTATTCACTGTTCGTCTGACCGCCACTAGATGGTGATAAATGTGCATACAATATTAACAGCTGTAGGTCAATGAAGATTGTAGTTCATTTTCTTATGACCCTCAATAAATGACTGAGAAATCAATACTTACTGAGATAGTATAATTCAGATTCTGTCCAGTGAGAGAGAGCATTGTATGGAGTTTTCATAGCAAAGAAGGATGCTGCCTTGCATTCAGCATGCCTGTCCTTTAATGAGTTTGCAGTGGACTCTCAGAAGAAAGCACTCCTGAAAGCAGACATGTATTATGTCCTATTTACTCAAGGAGAAAAAGGCTTGAAAAGATTGAAAGTCAGGAGGAAATACTTTCCTTTGGACTACTTCAATGGTCACTTTTTGATCACTACTACAATGCAGATGTCATTTGATTTATTTTCCTCTATTTAACATGAGTTTTCCTGTCCTTTTTCAGAGTCGCCAGAAGCTGATATTGCCATGGAGATAGCTACATCAGAACAGCATGTTTCTGAGGCAATATATGATTGTGTTATTTGTGGACAGAGTGGTCCTTCTACTGAAGACAGACCTACAGGGCTAGTTGTACTATTACAAGCATCCTCAGGTATGAACGTGTGACTGTCTGGACAAGCACTGTTACAGGAGGTTTAAGGTGCCTGGAAAAATAGCGAGTCACATATCTTTGTGAATGATCCTCAATGAGGGCCCTAAACACTCTATGTATTTAGTGGTACTTAAACCCTTGAAAAGATTGGGAAAAGGGTGAACAGGATATACCTTATTCCGTCCTCGCTCCTGTTTGCTTTTCTAGACTCAGCAGAATGTAACAAACCTGCAGGGAAATATTTTTTAAAGAAAAGACGATAAAAGTGCCGTATATATTTTTATGTATTCTCAGTAAAAAACATGACTTTAGTTTCTTCAATATTTTTTTTCTACTTGTTAATATCATCAAAAAACTACTATCTATAAACCAGAATGGGAAGATGTTTATCTTCAGCTCTCTGTTATCTGTTTTGTTCTCATTTGCTTCTTTTCTGTGCGCAGTCCTGGGACAATGTCGCAATAGCCCTGAGCCAAAGAAGCTGCCAACCACCGAAGAGGAGCAGATATACCCTTGGGATACCTGTGCAGCACTGCACGATGTGAGGCTTGCCATTTTACAGCGATACTTTAAAGATGTAAGTATTGGATTTGAGCAAAACTACCAATTATGAACTGAGTTGTGTGAAAAGATACATGGGATTACAACATATTGAATTCACTCTGTGTCAAAAAGTCTCCCTGGTTCCATGTTTACCTTTAGAGAAACAGTTTGTGATGTTGTAATATTTATGGATATATTTATACTTATGCATATATTTACATCTGATGAGGTCCTTTTTAAAGTATATGTAGTTTTCCCTTGTATATGATTTTCGCGTAGTCAACTGTCATGTCCATGGGCATTAATATTCATTAAATATGCCTACAGATTTTTGCTAGAAGAGGTATTTCACAGGTCAGTGTGACCATGTGAATGAGATGTGTTTCTGCCTTCTTAGGCACCCGTTTCAAAACAAAAGCTTTCCTGTGGTTCGCTCCATGAGCCAGATCCAGGAATTATGCTGTGTTAAGTTAACTTGGCAGCAGGAGTAAAAGGGAGCAGTAGTTTTAAACCTTAACAGTTTTCTGAGTCTGTACAAGAAAGAGGAAGGGAAGTGGACAGGAAGGAGTGGACAGGAAAAATTGTTGAAGTTGCATTTATTGTAATATTACTATATATTTTGGAGTTTTTTAGCTGTTCCAAGCAGAGTTTTCCATTGCTTCATAAAACCAGAAGCAACGTGTGTTACAGCTTTTTTATATCCTTTGGAAAGCCAATTCTTGTTGCTTAACAGGACTTGGTTAGTAAGAGACTAGTATAAGTACTGCAAGATAACATAAATCAGTTTTTAGAGATCATTCTTAGGGAAGAGGCTGTGTATCTTAGGACCCTGTATTAGCTCCTATGGATGACTCTTAAAAGATACACTAGCACTTAGGTAGGTGTAACTAAATATGTAGCACTTAGAAGCTTCAGTTCTGGCTTGAAAGACAAAAATTGAAATTGCTGCAGTTTTTATTCTGATATGGTTAGCAGCTTTCTCATAATCTGTTATCCATAATAGAAAAGGAAAATTTAACTGCAACCAGGTGTGCTTGACTGATGTTCAGTAGATTAGTTGAGAGTACATTTCATAATTGTTTTGGTATTGTTTTAAAATTTTGACAATATTTTCAGAGAAGCAACTTCTCCCTGAGGTAAATACCATAAATTTGCATGTTAAAAAGGAAAACTCTGAAAGATTTTAGCAGAAAACCACTTATGGACAAACAAGATGCATTTCAGTTCAGAAACAATCTGTTTGACAAGTTTTTCTTCGTTTGTCATTGATGACATTGCACAGTGTTTCATGAAGTTGTCCTTCAGTTAATGTAGGATACATCGTTAATTTAATGGAATATTGATAAAACTATTTGGGGCAAAACAAAACCACGCTTTATACATGAGATAATTGTAGTTAATAACGTTTCAGTTTGTCAAGTTTCGAAGGAATATCAAATTTGTGTGCCTTATTGTCAGTGTGTCATTAATATATACCTGTGTTTATTTGCTAATGTTTCAAATTGGAAATGAAAATTATTCATTATTGAAGTGGTTAAGAATGTTCAAATAACACTATAGCTTTATTTTTTTTATTTGCTTACGTACTAGAAGTGGAAGGAGTGCTAATGAAAAACAAATGTTATTCAAAAACTTGTTCTTACCTAAAAGCGTCTTTCTGTGCAAAACCCTTACAACAGACTAGTCTAAAAGACACTGTAATGCAGTGACCAAATGCATCATGCTTTGAAAAATTCCATCCTGGTTTAAACACTCATTGAATTAGCTATTTCTGCTTTCAAGTTTCCAGGTCACGACTGTGGTTTTAAAAAAAAAAAAAAAAAAAAAAAAAAAAAAAAAAATCTCTGCATGAAAGAAGTAATCCTTAAATTTCTTTTGGCATAGAAATGGAAACATCTGCTAGTGTCTTGAGTGGCTTGTTCAGCTGAGCTAAGCAATAAGTCCTTTTATTTATCAACTGTGTCCTTCGCAGTAAGTGTCCTTCCTGTAAAAAGAAGAACAAATTTCAGGAGACAAGAGAATAATTTTACTTAGTTGTGAACATGTTAGGTTATCAAATGTGATCTAGCTTCTTCTGGTTGAAGAAGAATGAACAGCATTTCAAAACCTAAATGCTAAATACAGGCTAGGCAAAATGGGCCTTTTTTCTTTTCCATTGAGAAGCCTCTTACTCTTTCTTGGCTGAAATTTGATGCATTTGTAGTCAGAGAATGTCTCTGCTCATTAAAAGAAAAAAAAATCATTGCCAGTTACCATTTTTAAAACAGAAAAGTTTGACAATTAAGGGAAAAAACTTCATATGCTAGATGGATTGGACCATTTACAGAACCACACATTACAGAATCACTCTGTAGCCAATAACTTGAGATAGCCTTTTTCCCCCCAGGCCTGTAAGCAGCACGTGGCTGGCTCCTCAGACTTTAGACTGGTGATTTTTTGCAGAGAATCAGATCCATTTAGTTACATGCCAAATGTCACCTACAGAGGCAGCCTCTGCTGCCTAAGCTCCTTACACTGTGTTCCCCAGCGCAGTAGCTGGAGTCAAATCCATGACGGGGCTGTTTTTAGCATTGCTGTGGGTGTTAGTCTTAGAAAAGGAGGGCCACTGGAAAGCAAGAATTTTGGAACAGCTTGGAGAAAAGCATAAGTTATTGATATTAGGGAAAGGGTGCAATTCTATTGCACATTTCCTCAGACTGATTAATTGGCAGGACATAAACCAACCAGCTCAGAGACACAGGCATGAGCTTCTGTTTTTCACCTTCTCAATCCCCAGTGCTGAGAAGGGATAAAGCATTTTTAGCATGGTTTATGAAGTTTCCTCATATTGTCACCGTTTTCCCTTCCATTCTGTTCAAATCTATAGCCTCCCCTATCTCTGACTTGCACTCTAGCCTCTCCAACTTTCTAGATAGAGTATTCACTGTAGAGTGATTTCACTAAAGGTCCTTCAATCCGAGTTTCACCTAAGTTCATGAATCTGGTGTTTCCTATTAGATTTGCATCTCAGAAGATGCAATAGAATTTCAGTTGTTTAAATGTAGAATTTCAGTTATCTAAATGTGATCTTAAAAATAAAAAAAAGGAACAGTGCTGGCAACTAGGCCTACTAAATCTATGCAGTACATACGGGTCTCTTCCTGACGGAGGCAGTTGCTTTGTAGGGCAGTTCGGGTACGCTGTATGTCAGTCGTGAAGGAACCAGCAAAAAGCAGAAGACTTTTCATGTCACTAAGGTTATTGACTTGAACCTGAAAGTCTTCTGAAACATTACAAATATCAAGTTTAAGGCAAATAAAAGTGCCTTGTAGTGTAGCTGGAGTTTGTAAGATTGGCTGATATGCAGGCAAAGGCAGCCTGCAGGGGCACCCTCAGAAAAGCTGATCATCAGAGTTGGATATTCATAGTAATCTACTTGTTCTGGGCAAAACTGACTGAAACGTGTTGGAGCACATTGCCATTGTACATGGGGAAGGTAAGTTTGTGTTGCTGGAAAAGATGGTGCAGTCACAGCTGCCTTTCTGTAATACATAAAGTTCTTCAAAGTGTTTGTTCTAGTATAGATATAGTATGTTACTTCAGGTAGTGGAATATGTCGGAGTGTACGGAAGCTGAACCAGCAGAATTGTGACAAATGTCCAGAACAAACAAACAAAACCCCCTTTATTTCCACAGCATATATTTTTATATTGCCTAGCAGCAAATAAAAAAATCCCAAAATGAATTGTGACAAATACCGTAACCATATATATTTTTTTTCTTTTTTCTTATTATTTTTGTTTGGGGGGGATTGTTTTTACAGAGTTCCTGTCTCCAAGCAGTGTCAATAGGCTGGGAAGGAGGTGTTTATGTACAAACATGTGGTCATACTTTGCACATAGATTGTCATAAATCTTACATGGAATCTTTGCGGGTAGGTAAAATTAAAGATTTTTAATTATTTGAATCTGATCTGTTCTCAAGTAAAATCAATGGATTTATGCTATTTGATTCAGTGAAGGAGAGATTCGGAACGTCTCATGTCTTGCATGAATATGCATGATATTTTTATCTTTCCAGTACTGCATCTTCCTTACTTCCTTCCAGTACTAAATCTTCCTTATTAAGTCTTGGCATTATTAACAACACTACCTTGTTCTCAGATATTCTGATGTATCAGGGAAATGTTTTACTAAGGTAATTCCATTATTTAAAACTGAAATTATGATTTTCTCTGGCAAGCACATTCAGGTAAAACATTTCTTGCTCTTCTCACTTCTGTTTCACCAATTCCTATTTTCATTAGAAGTGAGTGAGGAATTTAAGAAAAAAATGGTAGAGGAATGTGGGTAGCTGGTTTACCAGGAGGCCTCGGCACCGGTGTGATGCTTTGAAGATTAAATTGCAGTTGGTGCTACCTCAGCAGCCGTCCTCTCCCCAGTGGCAAACAGCTGAGGCGTTTCCTGCAGCTGAAGCTGTGTTCAAGGTTTCCTGAAGCTGAGGCCAGTGACAGGAGCCTTTGGGCTGCCCCCTGCTCCCCAGCTAGCTGCAGCTGTGGCTGCTTTCCAGGCCTTGGGGATAATGCAGCAAGTAGCCGAGGTTTGGGCTGGATTGCTGTGCTGCTGTGGCTGGGTAATCAGCTTCTGCACCTGTGCCTCTCCTGAGGAATATCTTCAAATACTTCTCGCCTATACTTCTCGCAAATACTTCACTGGAAACAAAATGCCTTTTGACAAATGAGAAGACTTTTAAGGGAGTCTTAAACTTTACAGGAAGCAAACTGTTTAAAATATCCCATTCAAGTATTTTCTAGTTTATTATGGGATAGATTTTGACAGTAAGGAATACTTGAAAATCAGGTGACATGGATCATTTGTAATGCAGTAGGTAGGAATTAGAGCTCTTGAACCAGCCCAGGAATATTATTTCTTTATAGTTGTTGGTTTTAAAGGTTTGAGATTTTTTTATCTATGTTTTTTCCTTTTTTTTTTTAATTGGTAGAAATATGAAAGAAGTTTTCATTTTCAGCAAAAATTTAATTTACATCTTGTTTTATTTTTTTGTTTTTAGAATGACCAGGTCCTCCAGGGTTTTTCTGTGGACAAAGGAGAATTTACCTGCCCTCTGTGTAGGCAGTTTGCCAACAGTGTTCTGCCTTGTTATCCGGGAAACAATGTCGAGAGAAACCTTTGGCAAAGTCACAGTAACAAGTGCATGCAAGATCTTGTGCGAGAGGTGGAAGATCTTCAAGAACAGCTGGGAACTTTCCCAGTAAGCATCAGTGTAAGGCAGAAAGATCCTTGTTAATTTGTCTCTACCTTTCAATTTTACATTATGTTGCATTTTGTGACCCTTTAGAAACCTTGCAGTCCAGGAAACTTCATTTCTTCTTCTTTCTGTTTGGAAGGTAGCATACTGTTTTTAAATCAAAATATTCATAATGTTTTACAGTTTTTATTGTATTACCTATTAAGAATAGATCAAAGACAGCTATAGCAAAAGTGTAATTCATATAAATTTATATGTAGTACACTTTCAGCTTACTACATGATAATTTACATTGAATTGAGTCACATAACATAAAACCCGTTTGTCACTTCTTTACAATGTAAAAATACCAATATATTTCTAATTGGAGGCCACTTAAAGACTGTCTATTAAAAATATATTAAGATATGGATTAATTGAAAGAGCATTTTGTACCCACTCATGTATCAAAAAGCTTCTTGAAGTCTTTCAGAACTATATAATTAGTTCTCTTATATTCAACTAGTCTTCCAGTAGATACTTTTGTTCCAGAAGTATTTCAAAATAATAATGTATTTTTTTATTAGAGTTTGACAGTTTGTGTTCGTTCCATGTATTCGTGTCATGGAAATACGTGCTAAAATAAAATAAGCTGAAGAATCTTGAACTTGAGATGGAAAAACAGAAGAACTTTATTATTCAAAACAAATTGGAATTACTTTTAGAATACTATAAAATTTCTGTGAGGCAGAGACTATTGACTTCTAATACATGTTTTTTTCATAATCTTCAAATGCATTTTTATAAATAGGAAAGTGTAATTTGTTTATAAAGCTTCCATTTATAAACATGAAAGCTTTGTGATCAACAATTGTGTTTTTTCAGGTAGTATTAAGTGATCTTTTTCATATCTTTATTCATAGTCTGAGACCAATCTCAGTAAAGAAATGGAATCTGTAATGAAAGATATAAAAAGTACTACACAGAAGAAGTACACAGATTATAGCAAGAGTCCTGGATCACCTGACAATGATTTTCTGTTCATGTATTCTGTAGCCAGGTGAGTGTATATTTTCTTTTCTTCTTTATTATTTTGGAATTTTGAGTTTATTACTAACAGTAACACTTTAATTTTATTTGAGTATTGTGTGCGCGCGCTCTCTCTCTCTCTCTCTCTCTCTCTCTCTCTCTCTCTCTCTCTCTCTCTCTCTCTCTCTCTCTCTGAAACAAACAAACAAACCCTTTGGGGACACTTAGTCCCAAAGGTTATATCAAGGTTATATTTTCTGATTTTCATACGTAGTGCTATGAAGGGGCATGATTTCTCAGACATTTTATTTTTAGCATTTTCAAGTGGCACAGAATCTGGAGAGCAGCTGGGCTGCTGCTTATTTGGCTTTCCTCCTTTCTGAAGATTTTCCCTTCTGTTTATGAAAAATTTATGTTGAGTTTCTCTTCCTGTTACCAGCAGACCCAGTTAACCCGAACTGTTAAGTCTTCTCTACTGTTACCCAGCAGAATGAAATAATTTCTATGTTTCTACTGTATTGGCAGGTTTAAAATCACAGGATGGTTCTAGTCCCTCCATCGGGCATTAATTTTATTTACTTGGCGATCAGAGAATGATCCTATTAACAACCAAGGCATTTTCCTCATATGTTTAAGATGACTTCTAACAACAAAGCTACCAGCATCTTCACTGTAATGCTGGATTCCAGTTGTGCTGCTCTCGGGATTGCAGGCACCATTTTGAAGAAAGGCAAAGGCAAGGCCTCGCCCCGGCTCAGTCTGTACCATTTATTTCACTGAATGGTTAACCTGGTCAGATTTACTGTAATGCAGGGTCTTCCCAAAAGAGCAACTGAAATATCCATCACGCAAATTATCTTCCAAAACCTTTGTTATTGAGGCCCACAGGGAAGGATCTGATGCAGAGAAAGTGCAGGAGTACAGGAATTGCAATTCAGTAGCATTTGTCACAATGGTTTCATAAACTCTAGTTGTTGAGGCCTGTAGTTTGTTTAGCTATTATATTATTTGCAAAATTCTGATATTTAAATTAGTATATTGTAGTATATTGGAGTGTATTTTTAGCAATGTGAAACTCTGCTATCTACTTAGGATATGTAAAAATAAAGTCTCATGTAAATATTGCAAACTGACAGTTTTAATAGTTAGAAGAATAGTCTCACAATAGAAGTGTAATCACAGTTCTTTTTAATGACGTGAAATCATCATAGGTATTTACATATAAGGTATTTTACTGTAAACCATAGGAGTATACATTCGGCTCTAAGTTAAAGTACTTTTTGGTAACGATATTGTCATAGTGTACCTTAGTCTTTGCACCATGTAAAATTTACCTGCAATATCTGAACACGTTTGTAGAGTAATTAGGTAGCAGAGAGACAAGTACTAAATATTTTAAAATGAAAATAATGTTTAAGAGATGTCATTGTTCCTATAAAATGCTATGCAGAAAATAGAATCCCAATCATAATGGAAACGAGACAATCTCTCAGAGTGAAAGGCTAGAGGTTGTGGTAGAATCATAGAATCATAGAATCATAGAATGCCGAAGGTTGGAAGGGACCTCAGAGGTCATCGAGTCCAACCCCCCTGCTCACGCAGGGTCACCTAGAGCACGTGGCACAGGGCTGCATCCAAGCGGGTTTTAAAGATCTCCAAAGAAGGAGACTCCACAACCTCTCTGGGCAGCCTGTTCCAGTGCTTTGTCACCCTCACAGTGAAGAAATGCTTCCTTAAGTTCCTGTGGAACTTCCGATGCTTCAGTTTGAAGCCATTTCCTCTAGTCCTATCCCTGCCCACCACTGAAAAGAGGCCGCCCCCATCCTCCTCACTGCCTCCCTTGAGGTATTTATACACGCTGATCAGGTCCCCCCTCAGCCTCCTCTTCTCCAGGCTGAACAGACCCAGCTCTCTCAGCCTTTGCTCATAGGGCAGATGTTCCAGGCCCCTGATCATCCTGGTAGCCCTGCGCTGGACTCTCTCCAGCAGCTCCACATCCCTCTTGTACTGGGGAGCCCAGAACTGGACGCAGTACTCCAGATGTGGCCTCACCAGGGCTGAGTAGAGGGGGATGATCACTTCCCTTGACCTGCTGGAGATGCTTTTCTTAATGCACCCCAGGATCCCGTTGGCCTTCTTGGCCACCAGGGCACACTGCTGCCTCATGGTCAACTTGTCGTCCACCATGACACCCAGGTCCCTCTCTGCGGGGCTGCTCTCCAGCAGGTCCACCCCTAATCTGTACTGGTGTCCAGGGTTATTCCTCCCCAAGTGCAGGACCTTGCACTTGCCCTTGTTGAACCTCATGAGGTTTCTCGCCGCCCAGTCCTCCAGTCTGTCCAGGTCCCTCTGGATGGCAGCACAGCCCTCAGGGGTAATATATGGTAATATATGCATTTCTTCCCATCTGATACAGATAATGCCTGAGCTCTTGTGTTTAATTTCAGAGTCCAGATTTTGGTCCTAGGCCAGCGTCTTTCTGATGGAGTTCTTAAAGCTGCTCAGAAAAGCTCCCTCATGAGATTTTTCTTGCATAAGAGTTAACCAGGTTGTAGAGAGCTGGTGCATCAGCCTTCAGTCCCCCAGTTTGGGGGTATTTATCATCCCTCTCTCTGGGGGCAGCGTACCTGCGCTTGGTGCTGTCAGAGCCTGCCTCGCAGGGCTCTCGTCTTCCTGTGCGTTGATGAACTCTGACACTGCTAAGCAAAATTCTTGGTTTTGCAGTGAAATGTGGCAGATAAAAACCTTGAAGGGAATTGGAGCAGCATCTGTGAATTCTTATTTGAAACAAAGCTCGTTATAAATGTAGCCTCAGGCACTATATGGAAAACAGAAAATGAATATTATTTGTTAATAAAGCACTGTGTATATTCTCGCTTTCATTTTCATCATCTTCTGCATTAGTTGCATTTTTTAAGTCCAGACATTAAAACTGCTGTGTAAATATTTTCTTCATTGATAACATTTTCCTTTCAAATAGGTGTCTATAATGTTGTCAAAGTGATAAAGCTACCAGTAATTGCTAAAATTCTTTATTGTGAGAACAATTAAACATCAGAATGTGTTGCACGGAAAAGCGATGGTATCTTCCTCCCCGGAAATATCGAGACTTGGTTTGACAGGGCTCTGCATGCCTGAATCTAAAGCTTTACTTTCGACAGAAGGTTGGATCAGGTGATCCCAGAGGTCCCTTCCAATTTAGATGATCATATGATTCTATTAATAGAAACATTATTTGTGTTCTTTGATCATCTTGATCAAAGATCAAGATCTTGATTTTTGCCTTCATTAAGAACATACTTTCATATAGGAAATACTCATTTTGAATCCTGTATTTTTAAAGGATTTTAAACTGTATGACCCATAATTTCTACAATGTTTATCCTTGTATCAAATATGCCACTTATGCTGACATGCAATAATCTTCTTTGCTATACAAAAAAAAAAGTCTCCTATATAAAAGTTTGACTGCTTGTAAATATTTGTATTACACAAATCAGTCTGTATTTCTCTGGAAAATTACTAATATTAAAAATGATAACTAGACATATCATATAGATTTTCTTACATTGACATTTCAGCCAAAGTTTCTTGTTTTTTTTTTTTTTCTTTCGAGAATTAAAAATATCTCAAATCAGAACGGCATTTCTTTTCTTCTTGCACTGCTTGAGTGGCCAGTAAGGCTAGAACATGTCACCCACACTCACTGTCCACCTCTTCTCATTGGATTAGGCCAGTATTAGCTATTTTCTGCTTGTCCATGCCAGCAGGACTTCAGATTTTGGATCCAGTCTTGCATATTGTTACCATAAATCATAAGATCATTTGAGAAGATCCTTGGCAGAGCTTTTACAAAACTTTTTTTTTTTCTGGCCCCTTCAGCAGTCCAGATTTGTAGACTTGGAAAGTGCATAAGAACTGCAGGTTTATTCCTGTGATTCACCCTAATGTTTCTTCCTTATTTCCATCCCCAGTCTTTCTGTGGTAATGATATCTTCCTGTTCCCTCCTCATATTTAATCTAATATACAGATAAAGTGGTCAAGATGATAAGTAGTCACTGTCTAAATAGGCATTTCACGTTAGCCTAATGATATTTTTAATTCACTTGCTAATTGCAGGGGGTCAATTAATGTCAAATACCATTTATCTTTTTATATTAGTAAATTGTGCTCCCTTTTCAATCAGGAAATGACATGGTCTGTAGTCTTCTTAAAAGATGCCAGTTTACAGCTGAAGACAAATTTTGAGGGGGAGTTTTGCAGGTTGAAATGAGAACACTATTGATTAAACAGTACTGATTAAACAATATGGAGTTTTTTACAGCAGCTTATCTTTTCTGCTTCAGGAGAGAATTTGCTCTTCTTACTACACTTTTGCTGCCCAGACAGATGTCATTGGTAGCAGAGGAAAGAAATTAGCCCTTGGGAGAGGTAGTCCCATCTCTTTTCTTAGCAATAAAGGTCATTCAGAGTCCTTGCATCCTGGTTTGTGTGCACAGCAGATATTTAGCTAGCTCCCGTTTTCATAGTCTCCTACCTTTTTAAATTTAGACCTTTTTGCTAGGCATTCCTCCTGGTCTTTACTGACATGAACAGGATGAGCAATGTGTCATTTGCAAATCATGTGCACTTAGTTTTAATAGCTCCACATTTGGAGCATTGATGGCTGTCATTTGTGGCAGTGTCTCCTGGAGGACTCTTTCTGTGCTATATAGCAAAGAATCTCTTGGGTTAGTTGGCTGTGTACACGAAGCCTTTGCTGTGCTGTCAGTTACCTATAGACTAATGCCAAACCATTGCTGCTCTTTCCTAACCTGTGCCTCAGTATTTGCACTTTCATGTATGTGCTGTCTTCGTAATGTGAAATGCTAAAGATCGTGTGAACTTTATGCCCTCTGGAATGAGGGGTTCCCCCCTAGGTGTGTTTACTTCCTGGCAGGGGTATTGCTCATTTACCTGCTCCCATGTTCTTCTCTTACGAATTCTGATGAACATGCAAAAGTCTCTCTTTCCAGATATCCAAGGATATCAGGGTTGAATCTTGGATTGAAAGCCAATCAAAGTAGGCTGAAATGGGTCTGGTTTGGGATCTGAAGTCTGTGCAGCTGAGCAAAATCCATCCTTTCTCCTCTGTCATCTTTTCATGAGTAAGGAAGGTCAAGTCACATGTCACTGTTACAAATATTTTGCTCCAGTGAGTAGCACAGACATGTATAGATAAACAGTAATTTCTAAATTGATTTTCTTTCTCCTCCTTCCTTCGTTTTCAGAGAGTTAAGATAGTTGAAGGATACTTTCAGGGACCACTCTGGGTTCCACTTGTCAAATGCCCCTGTTTTCCTTTTAGCAATAAGGGAACAGGCACTGAGAATTTTGTTTTTTGCCTGTTCATCGGGACGGGAGGTACTAGAGCCTTAATCAGAGCCTCAAGGCTGAAGGAATCTTGAATAGGGAGGAGATGTGTTAGTGTCTTTCAAAAATGATTTTAAGCAGTGTGTGGCGTAGAACATGCTCATAATAAAGGAAAAGTGTTCCAGTTTCTAGGAGTTACTTCCCACTGTGCACTGTCACACTGAGGTTTAAGTATGTTATGAAAGTACCATATAGTATTTGTATTTTCAAGACAACTGAGCTATAAGCTTCTGCCTTTGAGGTGCTTGGAGCAATAAGGAAGTATGGGAGGGGAGTATGAGTGTGCAGTGTGGGAGGGAATATGTTACCAGAAGTCTCTCTTCTTACGTTCCCTATAGCGAAGAGTAATACTGTCTGGCATGTCATAGGCATCCAGAAGAATTTTGTCCAGTTGTCCTTGAGTTTGTTTTGCAAAATAGTATGTATGTCTTGGTGAAAGGAAAATTGAAAATTCTAGACCTAAAATAGCTCATAGAAATTCAGGTAGTGTTTTGATTAAATCTTAATTCTCTTGGTATTAATAAAAGGTTGCTATGAATTTTATTCTACAAATTAGTTATCAAAGCTTTATAGAAATAATACACACTGGTTTCATTTATATTCCCCAGATGAACTAGCACATGCTGATCTACAGTTGCTATTTTGTCCACTAATATGAAATCCCTGTCCCTGCTTCCTTGCTGGTAGATTTTTAGAAGTTCAGTGAGCACTGCAAATCGCTTGAAGAGTGGAAAATTCCCCTGTCACACAGATACTCTTATCAGCAGCAACCAGATGGAGCTCTGAGCAGGCACATTATCAATGTTAAATTGCCTTTTTTTCAGAGTAGAGAGGATTAAAGCATTCCTTCAGAAATGGGTGACATAAGTTGCAAACTTAGGAATAGTAATATTCTGAAATGTTACTATTTTAGAAGCATATGAAAGTATCTTAGCAAACACTGAATATCAAAAATGAAGTATTTGCTGAAATGGATGGAGCAAAATTCTTTTTAAAATATTTTATTTTTAACAAGATAGTCATACTGTAGTTTTTCTTTAATGTCTTTGTATGTGTGTGTACTTCCCTTAGATTTAATAAAACTCGAATGTAGATTTTAGTAAATATTCGATCACGCTATGTTGAATGTAGTGTTGGTTGATTTTTAACTACTGGACAAGATATGTGTAAAACTGGACTTTGCAGTTTGGATAAAATTAATCAAATAATATTTCAGAACAGCAGATTTTTATTCATCTTTAATTACAGGAACATTTGTTCACTTGTTAAAACAATTCCTCAGGAAACCTAATATAAATTGTTTGCCCAAGTCTTAGCGGTAAATGATAACACAGTACTAAAACATTCAATTCCAAAATCAAATAAAGCTATTGAATTTGGCCTGAAAAATTGGTATCTAAGTATCAGCTTTCAGTAATACTCAGGAATAGAGCTCAATGTGGCATGCAGAGATTTAAAGCAGCAGCTCCTGTTTCATACAAATGAGGCACACTGGTGTTCATTCAGAATTTACCTCCAAGGTTTTCAGGAACTAAACTTTCAATAGAAGTCAGTGCTTCCAGAATAATTTTAAATATTTTCATATTTAGTGACTGGGTGGCTTGTCCATTCCACTGCCTGTTTATTTAAAGCAAAACAAAACTCCTGTCATTCAAGAGAACATTCTTTAAATGGTTATGTTTTTAAGCAATTTGAACAGAGTTTTGTGTGGTCTTTGCAGATTTGCACGTGAATTCCCTTATTTTTTTGAGGATGGTGTATGCATACAGAAAAAAAGCCTCAAAATTAACGCTTCTTTTTACTTCAATCACAAGTGTACCAGTTCTCTTAAACGATGATTTTAATAATTTTAAATCACAAATGGCTATACCTTCCTACTGTTTATCTTATGCGGAGGCATATTTTGGAATCATCTAACACTAATGATTTGTTTGCAGTATTCTTTCTTTTAGTATATGCTGGGAGTTTGTAGTGACTCCTTCATGTCTATAGAAGCTTGAATTAATGCCATTCCATTCAGCACTGTTATGTTTTTTGTGCAGAACAAACTTGGAACTTGAGCTGGTCCATCGAGGAGGCAATTTATGTTCAGGTGGTGCAAGCACAGCCGGCAAAAGATCATGTTTAAGTAAGTTTTATTAAGTGTCATGTAAATTATTAGACAATTGAGTGAAGATATGCATTTTCTCCTAACATCTGACATTTCCTAAATAATTTCAACCTTTTTTTTTCTTTTAAAGACCTTTCTTTTGTCATGCTGCATCTTCTTTTTCATTGTAATTTGACAACTTTGACATTAATTTACACAAGTTATTCAGTCGAACTATTCGTGTATTGTGATTATAATCTGTTTAGAAAGCAAATGTCATGCTAGCCATGTAATGGTTTTTAGTAACCTCGTGTTTTTATGAGCAGAACTGTAAGTATTTTAAGGTTAAAACATTTTTTTTTTAGTAAAACTGGGAAAGCTTTGGTTCACCCTACTTGCTGCTAGTAACAGTAAAGAAATTTGTTTCCTAAGGTGCTAATGAATGTAAAGAAATTCAGTATTACTAGTAAGGCTTTAATTTTGTCACTTGCATTGTGCCATGTTCTGAATTGTGTGATCACTTAAAAATTGGGTAAATCTAGGGCAGAGATATCAGTTAACGTTGGAGGGCATTTGAAAAAAAAATTAAGTGTAAACAATTTATAACAACGTTTCTTTGGAAGTAAATTACCTCCGTCTTCCTGTGGTTTTAATGGCCATAAGAGAAGATCTATACAAGCTTCGATATTTTAAAGTTTTGGTAGTGGTGGGGCGCAGGGAACATCTTCAGGCTTTTAAAGAAAGAAAGAAAAAAAAAGAACTGGTGTATCTGTTCATCAAAATAAGTTACTGGAACAAGGTGAACTTGCAGAAAGATAAAAGATAAAGATTCTCTAGTGGTGTATGGCAGAGTTCATGCAGTTCTAAAATAGGCTCCCTCTCTTTTGCAAAACGAGACCTTACAGGAATTTTACCGGTTACTTATGATTAAGTGCTAGCTTCTTAAAATCTGACTTGAGAGAAGTAAGAACTTGTGATGATGTAGGTCGCCTTTTGACCTTAATAATTCCATTATTGTAGCTGCAATAGTTATCTATGAAGAGAAGGAAATAGCCCAGTAAAAAGAACTTTTTTAAAAAATCTTTGTTTTCAGAATTTGTGTACATTTAAACAGAAGTAATTTTGTTTTCCCTGTGATATTTGTACTTTTCCATATGCTTGTGTGGAACGGCTTAGTTTGCAAGAGTTGGAATAACTCAAAATCGTGTCAAACATTTTTGAAAATAGGATGACATTTCTTAATTAGATTTTCACCTGTAATGTGTTGAGAGGTTTTTTTTTTTTTCCTTACTGTAGTATTCTACTTACTATATAGTATTTTCTTAGACTGTTGTATGATTTTGTTTCCTGGATGAGCTGTTTATAGAACTTGTTTTTTCCTATTGCAGTTGTATTATTTCAAGGTTTCTAATGAATATTTCTGATAAAAGGTTAGGGAGAGCATTTCAAAATCACGTGCATGCTCTTTGGCACACTGCTGAGTAGAGCGCTAAATTTTCCAGTTGAGATCTACACCAGGCATTTTGGTATTTTTAATATCCAACCTTGCACGTTAGAAATATTTAAGAAGACCTTTAAAGCTTTCAGAAGAAAGGCACTGTGTATATGGATGTGCTGCTGCTTTAGACTGTCTGGAGACATAAATGTCGCCTGTTCGTTGTTAGAACAGTCCCTTGCTGTGTATACTGCACTAGCATTTTTTTTGTACTAAGGTTGAATAACAAACCAACCCCATGATCATCTTAGGCACTTCAGTGACAACATTTTGGAATCCTGCCGTAAGACAGACGTACGTTTCACATAAAGTAACTACAGGCCCTTCTAGAACATACCTGGCAGACTCTGCTTCCATTTAGTATTACTATATTTAGTTTGGGACAGTAAGCTAATTATGATTAACAGTTTTTAGCAGGTTTTTTTTTAACTAAATGGTTGTATAATTAAATTAGCTTATTTTTTCATTCCCCCGTCCAGACATATTTAGAGTCATTTATGGGAGAGAAAAAAAAAGGCAGTTCTTTAGGTATTTCTTCTGTAGTAGATTTTACTGTTTCATACTCATGTCTTTTTTAAGAGTTTTTATATTTTGTGTTTGCAGTTTTGTTTAAATATAAATATTCTTTTCTAATGCTTTAAAAATTTTGGGCAGTCTCTGAAACATAGCCATTTCCATGTCTTATACAACATTAAGCTGCGTTCATATTTTAGACATCATTCTTTCCAGGTGCATCTGAATTAATGTAAACCCTACTTCCTTCTTCGCGTTTCCTGCGTCTGAGCTAGTGAGGTGTCTCCTGTGATTAAGCACCCCAGTCGGTGCTAGTCGTGTAACCACTGTTAGGTTTGGTGGTTAGATACTGCAGAAAATGGGACATGTTGTCCCAGGTGAGCTGCTACAGCAGCAGGCGTCAGTGAAGACGCGGGCAACAAATAGGTCAAGAGCTGTTTGAGTAGATTGCGCCAGGAGGGCAGCAGCTCTGGGGAAGCAAAATTAAGAATGATTAATGGAGCTGTTAGTGTCAGTGACTGAGTCTGTGTGACAAGAATGATGAAGAGAACTTGGCCGTAAAATTGCCATTTTAAGTTGTGTGTGTGTGTGTGTGTGTGTGTGAGTGTTACTCTATGGTATGCAATGAAAAAGTGCAAATAGAGCCTATTACAAAAGAGAGTCCTATTTTAAGAAAAGCACAAATTTTAGCCTTCAAGGTCTTAATCATCTCATGTTTCCAGGTAATAATTCTGACATAAAAAAATGGTATATTCCTTCTCCATCAAATTTTCTGCCCTCGCTGATTTTTATGGTTGCCTCCGTTTTATCCTTATAGCTGATGACATTTGAAACTAGTAAGTATGGTTGACTCCTGTGGGAAGAAAAAGCTAATTCTTTCGTGATTTGTTCAATGCAACCATATCCTTCCTGTCATCTACTCAAATGGATATGTTTGCAAAGATTACTAACTAGTTTTCTGCAGTGACTGAAGGAAAATGTACATTGCTGGTTTTCAGTAATGCATTTTTCCTTTTATATGGTGGTTTTTGTGAAGGTGCTTGCTGACATGTACGTTGTTACTGGTCATTCTTAATCTGTGGGGGGTGTTTGATGCTGTCATTTTCTGGTTAGGAGCTGGCAGTCTGCAGGTCTTGGGTGCCATCCATTCATCCTACCTTTGAAAAGGCAATCTTTCTCAACAGCAGAGGGTCCCAACTGTTTCCCGGGAAGCTTGACATGCCTGAGAAGGAAAAATAAAGGGAAAGAGTAGGAGAAGATGCAATCCTTGAAGAAAAGGAGAATTTAGTTGCTGAAGATGTTTTCTCACAGTGATAAGTTTGGTGCAGAGGATAATTAACCGCTTCATCAGCAATTAAGACTCAAGATTTTATAAAGATTATTCATCTCTTAATGCGTTAATAAGCTTTTCTTAACCTTCAAAAAAATTAACGGATTCTAATCTACTGGATCGTTGATGAATGAGACGGTGCTGACAGCAGGTCTTTGTAGCTGTTATTGCCGAATAGACTATAAAAGCTCTATGAAGGACAAAGCATTCCTGAATCTCCTTATTTAAAAAACAATTCCTATCTGCTTGTATCAAATGCTTCTCGGTATGATCTGCTTTCTTTTTCATACTTCCAGCAGACTTTGAGAAAGAAAAATGAGAGTAAAGTCTCATTAATTAAAATCTCATTAAGATCTGTGAAGATCTTAACACACAAAATTTGTGTGTTAAGATCTTCACAGAGCAGTTGGGACAAGGATGTTTTTCCCTTGTGCTTGTGATGAGCTGCTGTGTCGCTGAACTTTGACATTGCCATCTTTGACACTGTGGCTATGAAAACTAATTTCTAGGATCAGAAGAGAGAGGACTGGATCAAAATAGCAAAAGTGGACTGAACAACAGTATTTTTCAAGGCAGTGGTTATGTGCCATTTACATACTTAGAAAATACAAAAAAAAAAAATGTCATCTGCACTTTTGCATGTAAAACAAGAGCCAGCTAACCTGTTAGATATCTTTCTCATCGTTATTACAGCAGGTTGCTATACACCGTGCAAGTGGAAATAGCTGAAAACAAACAAACAAACCCCTCTGATTTCAACTTTGGTAATTTCTGTTTTTTCTTTATGGTCAAGAAACCAACCAACCACCAAAAAGGTAATTTCAAGATCACTTCTTGAATTACTCATTTTCTAAGTTCAGCACAGATATTAATTAAATTTTGCCATTCAACATTTCAAATCCCTCTCTGGTCATCTTTCTGAATTGGTTTTCTCTTGTCCTGTGCATCTGATAGATGTGAAAGAGCTGTGAAATAGCCTCTAATGCTCCTCCTTATGCACATTGGGATAGCAGATAGTTAAGTACTTTACGGACACCTATATAAAATAAAGAATGCAACTGCTGTTACTAGTGCCAGCAATGTGAGTATATAGACAAGATACCCTCCCTCCGTGTTTGTTCTGAGAGGGGAAGCCCTGGGACACTTCTCTCACAGCCTGGAGCGCAGCACAGAGGCAGCCTCTCATCCTTGCAGCTCTTCCTTGGAAAGGACCCGGTCGGGTTCGGGTCTCAGCTCCTCTTTCACAACAGCATGGCCCTGAAAGCAGAACTGCTCTGGGAAGTGTAGGAAAGAGCGTACCGAGAGGCAGCAGCGCTCTGTGGCTTTGTGGATATATTTGGATCCTTCTATAAATGGAATGGAGAAACCTAATATGAATCAAGGTTAAAGCTATTGACTAGCTGGTGAATCTTGATGATGCTACTAAACATGTTACAGAATGTGAGCTTTATATGTATTCTGTGAAGGGAAAGGCCATCTGAGATGCTTCAATGTAGGTTGTATTTGAATCACATGAAAATATATTAAAACCCAGTAATCACCTTATGCACTTCAATGTCTGCTTCTTTGAATCATGCCAGAATTCTGATGCTTTGCAGTACTAAGTGGTGTTCAAATTTTGAAATTTTGTTTTTATTCAATTTAACTGGATGCAGCCTGTCCATAATAATGTCAAATTATTAGCAGAACTAAGTAGAAGACAGAAATCATAAAGCAGAAACTTGTAAATGGTGTATCAGATGGGAGGAGGAGATGTTTTATATTTACATTTTGGAATATTGCTATTTAATTTTACAAAATTTGAAGGTTACAGCTATTGGGCAGCTTTTTGTTACTGTGTTCCCATTAGGGGGCAATGTTATTCCTTCATTACTCGGGGTCTAGAAACAAGTGCATGACTGTGCTGCGTTGATTTGGACAATATATTAATATTTTAAAATCAAATTATAAAAAGAGTTTTATAAAAGGTCAATGTAAACCACATCCTATTTCCAGGCTTTGCATTTATGTGCACTAAGATTGCAGTCTCCAGAACACACAAAAAAGACACTTGCCCTGCAAGATTGATGAACTAAATTTTTCTATTCAAATTTGATCAAAGTTGGAATGTATCTTGACCCGACAAGTGTTGCTGCACAGTTACATATAAACATTTTAGTGCTAGAATTTGATACTTGCCAGCTTAGTTTTGTAACAAATAAAAGCTCAGGAAAACGGCTGTTACAGGAACAGGTTAATTATGCAACAATTTTTTTTCTTTTTTTTACATAGCTATCCCTTTTTGGAGGAAGAAGCAGTTTAGAAAAGACTGACATTTCTTTTAGTAACAAAATAAATGAGGAGAAGGAAGTAAATACTTTCATGACTTTCATTTAAATAAAAGAAGCAGTATAGTTCTGTGAACATCAGTATCCTTTTATGGTTCTGAAGTCCATGAGCAAAGCAATTTTTTTGTTAGAATCTCTTGCCAAGAGGAAAGATGACTTATTTTGTCCTCATTGACTGTTTTAATTCAGAAAGCAGGTGACAGCAATCAATTCCAATGCCATCTAGATCTTCAATTATTTTACAAACCCCAGGAGCTAATTACAGCCCTCAGGCTCTGGCAGTCAGCTGACTTCATCATGCGACTTTTTTTGGCCACCACATACCTCTGAGTAATTTTCTATTTATGGAAAATAAATTAATAGCTGCTATTTCTACTTAAAAATGAGGACCTATAAGCGACTGTAGGTTCAGTGAGGGGGTTGGAGAGAGGAAGGAGAGCGATTAAGCAAATGGATCAGTTGAAAGAATAAATGAAAAGAGGGGAAGGCAAGATACCAGAGGGAAATGTTAAAATAAAAAGTGAGGGAAAAAAAAAAAAGGAATGAGTCTGCCAGAATTGAATAGGGGAAACAAAGGTATGGTGGGTAGGGAAAAAATGAGCAAAATCATGGGGGATCTTTTTTAATGATTTTAATATGAATATGTGAAGATAAAAATACACCTTTCTGCCTAGACTGTACAGTAAGCACAGAAAAAGTGAAGTCTGAGCCTCTTATCGTACATACTTCCCTGAAGATGCTGTAAACGTACATTGTGCCCAGCTTCGTGACTTGCTTGGAGCGGGAGAGGACTAGACCTTGGTGTTGGTTGAGCGATTCACAGAAAAGTTAACATTTCAGTAATTATGAAAATCACAGAAAATCATTTCAGTGTCTGATCTTTTTGACAGCATCAGTGTATGGATGCTTTTGATAGATATCAGCAAATTTGCCCTGCAGGTCATGTAGGTAAAGCTGTGCTGTTATGCAGACCGTTGTGGCTTTGGTGTCGTTGTTGCAGAAAATCTGATTTTTCTCTTCCTAAAGTTAGCTAGTTTTGCCTTGTGCAGGCAAAAGGAAAAGTCTTGGAAGGATGAGAGGCTGAAGGGATCCTGCTGTAAACCAAAACTTTTTAACAACTTTAGTTTAGCTTTCAGGTATGTTGAGCACAGCACTACATCTTTTTGAGAAAGAAATGAAAGATTTTTTTTTTATATTTTACAAACAGGTCGGTTTGTCCCTTGTTCAGAGTAGAAAGACTCCTTGTTCAGAGTAGAAAGAGAAGGAAAGCTGGCTTGGACCCGTAGCAGTGTAACAACATATGAAACAGGAAGGTTAAAAAGACCTGTAGTTAAATAGAATGATCTGGTGTTTTACCAGATTTAAAATATCAGAGATCTGTAGCTTTCTAAAGAATCTTTCTTCTAAAATTCCCATAGAGGAAAAGACTGTCATTTTTTATGTGCATGCCTATATTCACTGGCGTCTGTAGAAGACTTACTTCTCTTCAAAGTCTTTAAAAAAATGTTATTAGGTACTATTCGGAACTTGAAGACTGCAGAATCTCACAAAATAAACGAGTGCGACCTGATGTAGAATACTCCAATGCATATAATAATGATTTGTTTTCTTCTCCATCTTTCAGATCAGCTGTTCCATGTGTTGGCTATGCACATGCGCCTCTACAGTATTGACTCTGCATACAATCCCTGGAGAAAACTAACTCAGCTGCTGCAGGATAAAAATTCAGAGCAAGTATTTTAGTTTATGAAATAACAGTTTTATCTTGTGAATGAAATATCTTTACAGAGGGGTTCTGAGTAACTTTCTTCCTTGATTTCAATTCTCTGTGAGGTGGGCTACAAAACTTAAACTCTAAAAATTACCTATCTGTATTTAAAAAGAAAAATCAAGTATACTTTACATAGACTATTCCGGTTCTGTGCTAAAGCTTAAGTACACCACTTCAAAGCTTCAGCAAATGCAAATTTCATGACTGTTACAGAAATAACATCAGCAAGTCTAATAATAGGTGAGAAATAATTTCACTTTAAGCTAAAACATTTCATCATGCTTGTTATATTAAGTTTGCTATTTACTTGAGTATGCTTTTATGGCATGAACAGTGTACACCTGTATAAGCTTTGTCAAAGAAGTAAGTGGATTTCTGTATCTCTGTTTTGCAAGGATTCATCTTCTTTCTTTTCTCAAAACCTTTCACTTTTCAGCAGGGGTCATAGGGGTCATACGGCCTCTTCTCTCTTGCCCAAAACAGATGTGGGTGGTGTGGTTTTTTGGGGTTTTTTTTTTTTTTTTTTAATTCTTCCCCTAGTTAAAAGTGTAAGAGGAAGTTAGACATTTTTATCATTATTATTTCTTGGTATGTTGAGCATGTTCTTCATAGCAAAGCTTTCTACTTTGTATCTTGAAATCATTCTGAAAATTCTGTCTTTTCAGCTGCATATTTATCAGGATATTTCTAGGAACCTAAGGATAAAAACATCTAGAGGTCCCTTCCAATCTCAATTATTCTGTGATTCTATGGTCATGGGATTTCAAAATTTGATCTAGGATACTAATACCACAGTCATGATCTGCAAATTAGGAATTACTAGTGAAATGCTTGTGTTCACCTCAATCTGAGATATTCCTCTGTGTTGTCTTAGGTCTTTGTTTGCCATCCGCCTGAGATCATTTGAATGGATAGATTAAAAGCCTTGCTTCTTTATTGTGGATTCATATGTTGAGGTGCTAGTGATGCCGTGTCTTCATGTGATTCTGCCCTGACCTGGCTTGAGCCACTGGAATAAGATGTATAAATTCGGAGTGTGGTTGGCCAAGAGTTACAGCAAGAAAATTTAAAATCAGGTTGATGGGTTGTTGACAGTTAGAAATGACTGTAGGACTGAGCACTTCTCCTATTAGATATTTGTAAAAATCTTGCTGGGTTTGGTAGCAGCTCCTTTTTCTGCGCGTCTTGCCAAGCCCAGGAACTCGCTCTTGCCCTCACAGACTTGGTGTCATGAGCCGTGTATTTGTCACGCCCAGGTTTGGCTGTTGCAGATTGGATTAGGCTCTGTTTTGAACCACTTGGAAACTAATGGAGCTGAATAATGTAATGGTAACATTTGGCTCTGCACGAGGCATTGTGTGTCAGAAAGGGGTTTGAGCAGCCTCGTTTCCTACACCGACTTTCAACTGATTTTTTGGTAGGACTGTAGTGGTTGATTTTGCACTATAAAAAATCCTAAATGGTTTGAGAAGTTGTACCTGAGGTATCTTCTGTCATGCCATGACTAATTGGTGGTGTTGAGATGCTGTATGCAATCAAAATGGATTTTTTCATTAGAAGTCATAGTACACAACTGCTTATGTTTTAGAATGCTTTTTAAATCTGCAAGAACTGAGATCCATTAACCTTCTAACCCTGCTCTGCAGCTTTCTTTTTTTATTATTGTTTTGTTCTGTTTTCTTTTTTTGTTGTTTTTTAATTTTTGGATAAGAAGCTTGCAAATGAGAGAGTATTCACAGGAAATTGAAGCCGTGATGTTTTTAATGTGTACAAATGGCGTAAGATGGGTTCCTGTAACTGTATGTTAGAAATATGAGGTAGCTTCACTTGAACATTGTTGTCACATGAGCAGTGCAATCTAACTGTACCCTTTTTAGAGTCACAGAGCCTGTTGAGAAAGCCAGAGTAGTGTATTTTTCTAGGTACAGGAAAGAGCACTCGGAGTAATGAAAAGGTGATACAGTGCTATAAATTGAAGAAGTTAAGAGGTTGGTGGAGAAAAACTGCTGGAGGTTGAGGGTGCAGATTGCCATTTTGAGATGAACCACCCAATCCTGCCCAGTGTGTGAGACTCTCATAAAAGGCTGGCAGAAATGAATGTCCATGAGAGAAAAAGATCTGTATGACCTGGCTGTGTTATATTGTCATCCTAGACAGTGCAGCGTGAGCAAAGTCACAGGAGCTAAGTATCCTTAAACAAGTGTTGTTAATTCCCTTACTTGTTGCTTGTGAACTTCAAGTAAAACTTCTGTTATCAAGAAATGTTCTTTATCCAAGACCTTTGCCTTCCTGAAAAAAAAAAGGAAAAAACTTCTCACCAACATGCACATTGCTTTTATTTAGTATTCCAGTCAAAAGCCATTTTCTAAAAAGATAATAGCATCATTATTTATATGTCTTTTTTAGCTTTGATCATTATGTAGATAACAGTAGTATTCACACATGTTTCTATCTTGATTTAATTTTGCTGAATTTCTTTAAAGGCATTAATGTTTGGAATGAAAATAGATATAGAACTCTCAAAGTCTAGCCTGGCCCAGGTATCACCACTTCTCAGATTTACACTGATATACCCCCTTGAAGTCCCTAATCTGTCCAGCATCTTTCTCCATAACCGGATCTAGATCATTCAGTAGTTGAAAATACCTCCTAAAGATAGAAGCCAGGAAATTACTCCAAGGAAATAATGAAACTTCAAGCAAGATGATACTCTATCAAAAAAGACCTAAATAATATGAATTATTAGAAGAAAGAAAATAAAAAGGTAGAGCAACGCCTAAGGAACTGTTAAGCTCTGGAGAATAAGTGGATTTAGGAGCAGGTGTTTCACACCAGGGTATTGTGGATTCTTTCTTGTATGCAGTTCTTTGAGTGAAATTCAGCGTACACGTGGTTCCCCAGGCTGTGCTTAAACAAATTGTTCTAGTGGGGGCAGATTGGGTTTCAAGGGTGATCAAATAAACAACTATTGTGGTGCAAGTGGGGAATAACCACTTCTGGCAGGGAGCAGAGAGGGAGCAGCTGGAGGCAGTAATTACTAGACCTAGATGCGAATGTAATGGACTAGTGCGAAAAAACAGAGTCTCAGGAAGAACAAACCTAAAATAAAAGGGTGTACATTTTGTTAAATTAAATCCCTGTGAAGGCTGAATTTGGGGGGATTCTGTGTTGACAGACAAGAGCAGTGGCAAAGAGTGACAGGGTGGGCCGGGAGTCTTTGAGGTAGGTCCTGGCGGAAGGGGACGGACCTGCCTGCTGATGTGTCCTGTGCTTTTGTCCCTGAAGTGTTTTGCTGTTGGTTTGTTCCTGAGCCAGATCACTTCAGTGATGGTTATAGCGTTACATGGGCTGCACACTGCAGCGCAGGGACGGAGGGAGCAACACACTTGGGAGGCAGCCTTGGAAATTCCAGCTCCTTTTGTTTCTTCCATGTGCTGGGTCTCAGGACATTCTGCCGCTGTGTCGATACAGCAGGGAACAGGCTGCAGGATGAAGCAGGATGATTGACTGACCCAGCTTTTCAAAAAAGATATTTTTTATTATGGTTGACAGTGGGTGATAAGGGAGAGCTGGGGTTGTGGTTGTGGAAGGGAGAAGGGGAGATGCCTAATATTTGTAGTGTCAGTGAAATCCCTGGGTTATGTAAGGAGAACTGATCTGGGAACTCAAAATCCGCCGTGACTCAGAGAAAAACAGATAGGAAACTTTGGGTTTATCCTAGAGCGTAGCCAGAGTGGATGGTATGATTCAACTTTCTCACGATGAACAGTAGTAATCATGTATTATTCTGACCTTTTTGCAGGCTGTGATTCATGGACTGTATTTCTCATCCTACAAATCCTTGGGAAAATGTAAATTTGCCCTAGTCAGCTAAGCCTTTGTGTATAGCCATTTGTCTCGGATCTTTCTGACAGTTCTGAGAGGCCTGACATTTCTATTCTATTTTTTGAATTTCTGAATTTGAAAGTGGTTGGAGTTAATATAAAACCAAAAATTTAAGTCTCTGTAGCTGAAAGGAGAAAGAGAGGATATATGAAAACACAGGCCAAAAGCAGATGCCTCTGCTTTTGAAATAAAACAGAACTTGTCGTTCGTCCTTATCCTTTCCCAGGGAACCCCTGGGGAGGAGGAGGAGGAGGAGGAGGATGCAGCCACTCTTGTGGCAGCCCACGGGCAGCCGTGGCGTAGGCACAGGAAGTAGTGCCAGCCCAGGTACCTTGGCATAGAGAAGAGGTCAGGCTCATGGAGAAAATCAAGCAATTCATTTTTGAAATGTGGTTATACTACATTGTATTTGCTCTACCTGTTTTTTTAAGGGGATGCATAAATAAAATGCATTATTTTCCTTTCATATTATTTCAAGCCAGGCTGAAATTGTATTTGCTTTTTTTATGCTACATAAGGAGCAAATAAAATGTTTTTGTCAAGTCAGATTTATCAAGCATTCACATATAAGTCTGGGGATTACAGGATGTGTCCTAAACACACTTTATAAAATTCAGTTTCAGTGTCATAATGAAGAAGTTGCTTAGACAAATGACGGAGGAGTTTTTAAGTGCTTGATGTGTAACAGCGCTCAATGTAAAGTGAAGCAGCTTATCTAAAACCTTGACATTTGGTACAGCTTTACATCTCCAATTCATACGGAATGAAAAATTAGACAAATAATTCACCCATTTCTGCATTTGAAAAATGAGCACATTTATTTGTGATGTCGCCAATCAATCATGGTGGATGTAAGAACATTTGCTCTTTTAGTCAAAATTGATATGTGACCTAATTGTTAAATCACTGTTAAAGGATATTAATTAGTCCTAATACCTCTCCTAAGAAAGTTGTTCAAGTAAATATGATCAAAAGGAGTTAATTCACATTTTCATCCTAACTTACTTCAAAGTTATTTTTTACCTTATTTTGTATATGAATAAAAAAATAAATAAGGTGAGAGGTAATTTTAAGGGATTTATCCATGGTCATTTGAAGTCATTGCATTACGAAGCTTGTTTGATGTCATTTTAAAAACCTTTGTCATTATCATGAAATAAAACTAAGCATAGGTAAAAGAATTAGAGAAACTTAATGATAACAACAACCTTTTTTCTTGTATCATTTTGAAAATGAGTCTTAGGAGTGACTTAGAAATTTTTATATCCCCTTGTAATTTATATAATTTAATATACTGATTCTTAGAATACTTGTTGGTTTGAATGCTTATTCTTAGGAGGTGTGTGTATATCTATGTGCATATATATGTGTGTGTGTGTGTGCGCGCGTGTATGTTACAGTGTTTTAGAGCTGTCATTTTATGACGCGACCGATGACAGCAGTTGCTGTTACAGAAAGTATTTTTTCTGTAGCTTTTTAAGGTTTCTTAATTGAGAAGGACTAATTAGACTTTTTTTGGGTGTGACTTTTAGTTATAAGTCCAGTCAATCTGCTTGTGGTTATTTTCACAATTGAGAGTACTGCATGAAATGACTGAAAATCTTCAACCTTTGATAAAACGATTCCTTTTGGACCCGCCTGTGCGGGGCCCTGGTGAGCTGGGGGAGAGGGAGGCGCGAGCGCGCGCCGACTCCCGCTCTGCGGTGGCGGGAGCAGCGAGTGGGTGAGCTGGGGTGGCCTCCGAGCGGGATTTCGTTGCCTTCTCGTGACGTGGGGACAAGGATGAGCCGAGCACTCGCCTTAAGCGTGCTGCAGGAGGGCAGGCGGCAGCTTAGGGGACACCTGGGGCCTCCTGGATGCTTCCACAGCAGCTCCCACTGAGGGGAGAGCGCTCACTGAAAGGTTGGTCTGGGCAGCTTTGACCCAGCTGTCAGCACCTGGAATGTGTGCCCAGCCGGATAGTGTTGGTATTGGAAGTGTTGCTCCAAGCTGGAAAAATGCTACCTCATTTCTGCTGACATACTCTGCTTTTAAGTATACAGCTGTGAGGTAGTGTTATATCATTAGAATAAATCTGAAGAGGTTAGAAGTGTGCAGCTTTTCTTCATTGGCTTGTTTTTTGTCCTTCTAGCTTTTTTTCTTTTTTAAAACAAATTTTGTAAAACAAATGTAATTAGAGGATTCCTAGTTGTAATAACATGACATACTTGTGAAATGCCACACTTGGAGAAACCAATTAAATTACTCTGTGTTACTACCTAGTATATTTTGTTGTTCTGGAACACAATTCTGAATGGCAGTTGAGTCTTTATATAGAAATAAATAGTTCAGGCAGTCTGGAAAGCTTTAAATTATTGTAATTAGAATCAGATACACAAACGGTAACTTCTTTGTAAGTTACTACAATCCATCAGTAGCATTAAGTGATTTTAAAAGCAAGATTTGTTAAAGATTTGTGAAGTATTTGACTCATAGGGACCTGCTGTCAGACATAATACCATATAAAGTACAATGCAAAATAAATATGAAAGGAGAAAATGCGTTTTAGTGTCAAAAGTCATTTTCTCTGGGCTCTTTTATTTCCAGGCTGCTAAAGGAAGAAGCGCCAGAAGTTCCTGTACTTTACAGAGATGTCTCATCTCTTTTGCTCATCCAGATCTTAACCATGCCTCAGCCACTGCACAAGGGTATGTTACAAAAATATGTATATGTTTATTCATGTGAACATGTATTCGTGGTGGTTTCCAGAATCCTAGCTTGTCTGTTGTGTAGTTCCAAACAATGTTTCTGCCTTATCTACAGAAGGTGGCACCGAACAGAAATTTTTGTTGCAGTTTGGCAGCTTTATCTGTGTCCCCTGTCGTCTCACCTCATCAGTCAGCCTATTCAGTGAAGCTACAAGAGCTGAGCAAAAACTATTACGTCCTTTTACTGAAAGGAAAAGTGTTTTTGTCTGACCTTCATCTCCGAGCACAGAGGGGCAGCTCAATGCTTCAAATTCAGCTGAGTGCCTAAGGGTGAAAGATTGTAATTTAGTTTGAATTTACGAATTTCAATTGCAGCAGTCTTTTGTAATAGGGGGAATGTATAAAGACAATAATTCTTGTAATATATTAGCTTCAATAGAGACAGCATATAATATAAATTGGAATAAACACTTAATAGGTACTATGAGGCATATAATTAACATCAAAACATTTCAAAACAGATTTTTTTTTTCTTTTAATATGAGAAGACAAAGTGAACATGGCCTATCTTGCTGTGTGGCAATTTTGATATCTACTAAATTTTGTTCATTTTCTGATAGATAAATGGAGGGACTCCCCTGCCCTTGGTGCATATGAGTAACTTGCAGTAAGTGCAGTAGAACTATTTCCTCTGAAGAGGTGTTCAGTCGTGACTACTCAATCCTCTAGTACAGTTCAAGTCAGTTTGAATGCTTCTGTTCACTTTGCAGGTTACTTTTTTCATTCTGCATATTTATGTACTAAATATCCCCAGTAAATTAATAAGATAAGAAAATACTGAGAGAATAAAATATTTCTGGAGTAGAAAAAAGTTACGCAGTTTTACTGCAATTTTATAATAAGTTAACTTTTAGCAGATAATCTTAGTAAAAGGGGTAAATTGATGAGATTAATGCCATCTGAAATACAGGAAAGGGAGTGGTGAAGTCAAAAGGCAAACAATAGGATTTTTATTGTAGTTCATATCTAAGCATTAAAAGAATACTCATAATGAAAATACACCATTTTACTAGGACAAAAACAACATTTAATTACTAGTAAACCTGTAAAAAATTCTGTAAAACACTGCACATCTGGTGCATGTTTTTTCTTTTACTTAGTAAAAGTCTTAATCTTTTTACTTTCATTTAGTGAACATTACAACAGAAAGGCAAAAGGCAAGTGGCAGGAAGAAGATGGATATACCCACCTCAAGTCCATGAAGTATTAAATTGGAGATAAATTGCCATATATCTTCTTAATTTTTGCTTTATCAAATTGGTTAGATAGAATAAAAGAAAAGTTTTTAATAATTCTCTCTCCTGAGGTATAGCACGCAGCTCAGAAAGGCAGGTAATAACTGTTCAGAGCCTTGTAATGGCTGTGTAGGTGACAAATCTGAATGTCACCAGCATTAATTCTTGGTGCAGAGCTGAGATGTGAAATGGTACCGTGGCTTGTCCAGGGTCAGGTGGCAGCTCAGTGACAGGGTGAACGAAACCCACGCTGGGATTTTGCTGCTACCGCGGCTGCGTTGGAGGATTGCAGGTGTGGATGGTGCTCTGCTCGCACTGGGACACAAGGCCTGGCGGGCTTGGCTCTTTATGCTGGCCCAGGCCTTTTCCAGGGCATTCCTTTAACATTGGACTCGATTAAGTTGCAGAAGAAGTGGTATCACACTGTGGTGCAGAGTCTCCTTGAGGTGGGAGATTATTAGAACAGTAATGCTGAACAGAAAATCTGGTTTTCTTGTTCTTTTTGGATGGATGCCATCCTCTAGTGGTACTAGTTGTGCCATCTTGCAGTCATTTATTGGATATGCCGACATATTTAGGGGTGTCATATTTTATATAATTACAGCAAGTCAAAACCATTCACGTATTAAATGTTCTTTTTGTCTGCACTCAGAATCCTTTCAGTTTACACCATAATTCTTTTAAAAAAGCACAAGAGCCCCTTTGAAAGGAGGACTCAGAATTCCTCTCTTGTCCTTCAGCTACAGCACTGAGAATTGCCTTAACTACCTTATAAACTGTTGATAGGTGTTAGTATCTTTTTCAATCTGACATCGATTAAGGTAATAAAGTTCCATTAGACTATTCAGCCTCTTCATTTGGGGAAGAACATTGATCTGAACCCATCACAAAGAAAGAACACTACAATTTTTTTTATTACAGGAAAAAATTTGTAGTGGAGGTCAGTGCTTTTGTAAGAACTATATGAAGCTTCTTTGATCTACATAGGTTTTAAAAATACATATTATTTATGTTATTAAGTAAAATATTACTAAGAAAAATAACCTCTACTGTGAAAGGTCAAAAAGGGAATATTACCATAACTTAATTTCAAAGAACCATCGCGTTCACCTTTTTTTCAGTTTTAGAAAGTTGCTAATTTCCCCCAAGAAATATCAGAGCATTTCTCCTGCAACCCTCACGTAGGAAATAACAATCCTTTAAATATTACAGAAGATTTAAAAAAAAAAAAAAAAAAAAAAAAAAAAGTGTGTTCTAAAATGACGTTCTAACAAACCTTAACTTAGGCCTATATCAAGTGAGGCCTATATCAAGTTTATGATTTGCAGCAAGTCTTTTATGACTGGATCTATATCTGGAAGTGGAGGGGTGTCTGTCCTGCTGTGATATCTCTGGGAGTTCAGGAGCTTTTTCTGTAGTTGTGTGGACCTAGCGTAACCCTGGCGGTTTAATCATGACCAGAAGACATGGGGGATGTGCAATTGCCTGCATCTACAGCACTCCATCTCTTATAGCTGTCAGTAATCAGTAGCTTGAATTGATGCAACCTTTGGAATAAACAAAATTTTGTCGTGCCACAGGATTGACATGAACACATGGAGCAATTATGGATACTTGTCCTGTATTTGTTCTGTTCTCGAGGGCTGCCATATCATTGTTTCTGAAAATCAGGAATGTATTTGTTATGTTTTGCATGTTTTAGATTTTCATACTGCTTCTGTAGAATTTGCTTTTCATTTGAGAAGCATCATTTCTATAGCTAGAGAGTCTGTGATTAGTACATTTGCTGAAACTATGGGATATTATAAAATGACTTTGTTTATTTTACAGAACACTTTACCTGCATTGTAAAGGTGCTGTTCACTCTGTTGTATACCCAAGCCTTGGTAGCACTTTCTGTTAAATGCAGTGCTGAAGATAGGATGACATGGAAAGAATCAGGAGCTCTCAAGAAGGTTGGTTAATTCATCAAAATGTTCTTTGAAATTGGCGTTATGCATTTCTAGAAGGAATGTAACAGGTACTTCTGCTTTGCATGTAATTAAATGCTTCTGCTTCACAAAAATCCTGGTTTTCTACACAGGCATTTTTTGCAGGTTTTCATACGTGAATGAGAATTCAAAGCTTAACAGTGAATATGTATTTCCAGAGCTGCATTTCAGAATGGAAACGATGTCTCTGTAGTTTCACTCCAAGTTAGTTGCATTATAATAGAGCAAAATGCAATATTCTTTCTTTCTCGTTCCTGCTGTTCATGGCTGGGTGTACACATTTGTCTCAAACTGCAGTCTAGAGCACTCCCGTGGTGAAGAGGAGGAGGAATTTAAGAAATTTGTAGAGTAGGCAGGGGGGTTCCTATCATTTCCTTTCCTTTTTGATGGCATTTGCAAGTGAAGGGAACAGGCCCTTTGCTGTGTCCCGGACTGGGGGATGCTGCTTGCTGCCCAGGAGGCAGCTCCCGGTGCCGGGTCACACGTTCCCGCCCGCGTCCGGCACCGCTGCTGTGCCCGCCTCGTCCCTCGGGCAGTTTTCTGCTCCGTGGGTAGATTCCCCAGCAGGGCAGATAAGTGCCAGTGCAAGATGGGCAGGGATGGAAGTGTTGGGGCCAGGAGAGGAAATGGGACCAGGAATACCCTGCCAGACAACAGCCAGGAATTACATTATGTTGGCTGTAGTATGAAAGGCACGCTGAGAAACGTGACCTGCTTCTCACAAGGAGGCAGATTTGTCGCACTGGTCTGTTACTATGCCAAGGTATTAAGGACAAATTATTTGCTGGCCCAACTACTGCTGCACAAGGTCTTTTATTACTTTGTTTACTGGATTAAGTATTTGAGACCACAGAGTGGTAGAATGGATGCTGCATTTTGTTAGTTCCTTCTCTTTTTTCAGTATATTGTCGTAATATTAAAATTTCAGGACCACATGCTTGAGATTATTGTTGGTAAGGATTTTTTTTTTCCATTTTTCTGTTTACTTAAATAGTTAGCGAAGCTCCACACCGGCCTTTTTGGTGAGCACCCAGGAGCCCCACACAGGGGCTTGTCCTTGCTCAGAGCTCTGCCCGACTCCTCTCCCTCCCCTAAAGCTCCTGCCTGGAGCCCAGCTGTGTGCGAGACCTGCAGCCGCTGATGTTTTCCCTGCGTATAGTTGATGACTTAGAAAAATATTTATGGAAATAGTGCTTTTTATTTCTGACGGCCTTCTGTAATTGTTGCCTCTAAACATAAATGCTGTGGCACAAAGCTGAGGATTATTTATGCTTCCCACTATAGAATTTTTTTCCCATCTGTAGTAAATGTTATTCAGTCCAAACACAGCTTTCATTTTCCAATAGACTCATTTTAACCTAACAATATATGGGCAAGTCTTTTGTAGCTCATCGTGATTGGCACATTTTGGAAAATTATTTTTAATTAGTTGCATTAGAATTTGCATTTTGCTGCAACACAATGAAGTGATATTCCTAACTTTAATCATTTTTGCGCGCTCTCTCTCTCTCTCTCTCTCTCTCTCTCTCTCTCACACACACACACACACACACACACACACAAAATGCAATCCTATAAATGTCTTTTTATACCAGTTTCTAACAATATACTGTTGAAGATAGGTGACAATTCAGATTTTGCTGTATGAGATAAAAGCTTTTTATTATTATTATTTTTTACACAGCATGTATCTCTACAAGTCAAAGTTTGTATGTTGTTTAAAAGGAAACATACTTCATCATAGTTATTCAGGAACAGTGAAACCTCTTCTTTTGTGACCAGTGACATGTTGGATTTCTCTTATTTGCAGAATATGTCCAGTGGAGAAAAATCCTGGGAAGCGTTGCTGGGTCATGTAGTCAGTGAGCTGTCTAAGGGGAAGATATACGAAGAAGGAGAGACTGAAGAATTAACTGTGGTACTGGCAAATCTTTTGGGAATTTATCCGACATGTCCTCTTTCTGTCTCTCATTTACGTTTCAGCCTGGTTGTTATAATGGATTTTCTCTGATCTTGCTAAAGGCTGCAGTTGAGTCTGTTTTCTAGATCAAAGCACAACCCTTTGGGACAGTTTGCCTGTGCAAATCTCTCTCTTACCAATAGCATGTATGGACAATTCTGTGTTGAGAAAGCTATTTACAGATACCTTTTTCTAATTGAGTTTTATAATCATAAGTATAAAGGAACTGTCAGAAATTTAAAAATTGGAATAATTAAGTAGAGAAGACATTGGTCTGCAAAGCAAATATTTTTTTCTAATTATTAATGAAATGACTGCCTCTGAAACACTTAATGTTTGATACAGTGTGTTTTATAATAGACTTAAATAACATTTTGGTTAATATTGGAATTTCTTGCATAGGAAACAACTTATCCAGGGCAGAATTTAGTAAATGCTTTCTCCCTGTTCCAGGTAAATCCTGATTCTGTAGAGTGTTACCTGCAGCAGTTCTGCTTACCTTTCCTCAGGATCACCAGCCTTCTCCAACACCATCTGTTTGGAGGGGATTTACCAAGTTGCCAGGTACAGATTGGGAGGGGCATCCCCAAATGCTTCTGTTCAAAAGCTTGTGAGCAAAAAATAATGGTTTGAGGCTTGAGTTTTTTTATGGTAGATGTTTTCTTTCCTAAAGCTTTCCTTAGTTGTGTTTTATAACATTCCTCTGAAGCATTATTTCTCTTCTGGAGATTTCTTTTCAGGGCAACTTTTTTGGATCACAGCTAGTTGTCTGCCTCTCTCATAATACGTTAACGTATTTTCAGAACTTACCCTGCATTTGCACAGATGACATAATTTCCACACAGGCCGGGCTTCAGTCCTGATTTCTTTGCTTCATGTCTATTAATATTTAGGCTTTATTGTCAGAGACATCGCATTAGCAGAAAATAATACTCAAGTTTGATGACATTTTAGCTGATTTAAGTTGGTGCTTCTGCACTGCAGCTCACCTACCTCCTTGCACCAATATTGGCTCTTCTACAGAGTAGCTATGAGCCAATTTGGGAGACCTAGCAGGAAGCTAAACAGGATTTTCTTTTTATTTATTTTGTTCACTTTTTCTTGTGTCTAGCTTGCTGCTATTTTGAAAATCCAGCTTGAGACGCTTTGGAAAACCAGAAGCTTTTCTGTGCCTGTGAACATGCTTTTACATCATTTTGCAAGGCCATCTGTATTGTTGTTATCAGAATAGATATTTCTAATAGAATTCTTGATAAAGATATTAAGCATTCCAAGCATAGCTATTAATCTAAAACTCTTGTGGTTCTGTATCAAAAAGGAAGATGAGGAATTTGCAGTTCTTGCAAGCTGCCTGGGGCTCTTACCATCCTTTCAGTCATCCCATCAGTTCACTAGTGCCTCTTGCCTCGATTGGCCGGTGCCCGCGTTTGACATGGTATCGCAGTGGTGCTCGGAGTTGGCTGCTTTTGCAGAAGGCTATCCAGATCAAGTAAAGGTACGTAACAAAATTGCTCCTTCCAAAATAGTACTAATGGGGAAGCTCCTGTTTGACTTCTCCAGCTGTGCACATCCACTCTTGTTTTCCTTTCCAGTCTGAAACTGTCACTTGTAAATTAAAAACAATCAGAAATGTTAGTGGATGTGGATGGGACTGGTTAAAACAGGAACAAGAAAAACTTGTTGTTTTCAGTATGGTGGCTGGGGAGAGAAAAGAAGGAAGGAGTTTTGAAGGTGAGGCCCACGTCTCCAGCTGTCGGGTCAGAGCCTGACTCTCGTCTGTGCCTGAAAGCTTCAGTGCAGATTCCCACTGGCGGGCAGCCCTCGCAGCTGGTGCCGGGGCTGCCTGCAGCGTGAGACCGGCTTCCCCTGGGCTGGAATGGCACGTGGGAGGCCTCGCATCACATCAGTCTTGGTGTCCTTGCTTTAAATGTGAAGATTTTTATTCTTAAAGTATGGGAAACATATGGAAAATGACCACGGGAAGAGGCCAGTGCACATTTTGTACCCCTTAAGGTAAAAGATACAGAGTGACCATGTCTGCCTGTTTGGGGGAAGGCGGCTTGTCCTGTGAAACACTCTCAGAGTGGCAGCATTTTTCTTGCAGAGCAGCTGCTTTGCAAGCAGCCTTGTGTGTGCTCTTCAGCCAGGTGCAGTTCTGGACTTGTGAAATGAAGAAGTGAGCGACTTCAAAGTGCTTGTTTCCTTTCTTTGGTATTTTATTTTCTTAGTTCTCACTAAGTGGTTGTGCATAACTGTATTTGTTTTATCTTCTTTGTAGACTTTGCTTATCCAGGAGCCTAAGTGGGACTTGCCACGCCTCCTTCAGTTGCCTGAGAATTATAATACCATTTTTCAGTATTATCACCGAAAGACTTGCACTGTTTGTACCAAGGTCCCTAAAGATCCTGCTGTTTGTCTAGTTTGTGGTACTTTTGTGTGCTTGAAAGGACTGTGCTGCAAACAACAGAGTTACTGTGAATGCGTGCTGGTAAGAGAGCGAATTCCAGTTCTGTAATAATCAGTTTTCCAGTGGATGAACTCTTTTTAACTCCTTTGATCCTGATAGTTTCTTTCTAAAACATGTTTGTATAACACTTGAAGTATTATACACATAGAGCCAGCCTGGATCCTTGAAAGCCGTGTTATTCTTTTTTAAGCTCATAGCCCACTTCATGAGTTTGAAAAGCTCCGGAAACCATTGTGTGTAATGTTGGCACATGGTTTCATTTGTAACCAAGGGAAGGTTCTCTGCATTCTGAATGTTTTAATTATTGTTTTGTGTTCTGTTTCCTCACATTCTGGGTACATAATATTATGAATGTACATTTTGGGTTTTTTTCCTGTTATGGTGTACTTTTTAATGCCCAGCAATCTACCCATGGTCCAAGGAACACAGCTAAAGAAGTGCCATTTTAAAACCTTTAGCATTTTGTCAGGATGTATTCAAGGGCGTTCAGGAAGAGTATTTTCCTGCCTTAGCTGAATGGCCTCTATGACAGTTGTGCTGCCTGTGATGAAGGTTGCTTTGGAAGCTGTTCTGTTTCCCTCCAAACACACTGAACAGTTTGCAGAAGGTGGTTCTGCATCTGCCTGCATTGCCCAAACACAAAACTTTGTCATTGCTCTAGAGCTACATGGGCTTCAGTAAGCTCTGAGGGCAATTTGTTGATGGTCTCACAGCCCCCCGCCTTTCCACATACACAAAAGAAATTTTAGAGGGATTATGGAATTCTTTGAATTTGCCTTTAGAATTAAAAGTTACATTTAAGGTGTCAACTTTGGGGGGAGGGGGAAGAAACGTTAAGAAAAGAACTGAAAACCAGATTATATTGTTTTAACCTGTGATGATAGACCTCTGACTGTAATAAAACTGTATATAAAAAGCAAGTTGCCAAAATGAATTGATGAGCTAATACAGATCATGCCATTCATGGTAATGAATGAGATATTGTTTGAAGCAGGATACTAGATTTGTATAACAATGCACTAGAGCTGTGAATGTGAGTAGTGAAAGCAGATGTTTAGCAAATGCAATTCATTGCATAAGAGGAAATAAGATTTTTGTCTGTATACTACTGTTATTCTTGCTATCTGTGTAAAATGTTTTTCATACCATACAGTTTGCTATTGTCAAACAGTTCCTTAGCAAATAGCACCAATGTATGTTATTTCAAGCAAAATTAACTACATTTCCTTTATGTTACAAATTTGACAGATACTAATGAGATTTTTGTATTCTTCCTTCATCTTTCTTGCAATATTGCAGCATTCTCAAAACTGTGGAGCTGGGACAGGAATATTTCTTTTGATTAATGCATCTGTAATCATCATCATACGAGGCCATCGTTTCTGCCTTTGGGGTTCTGTTTATCTGGATGCACATGGTGAAGAAGATCGAGATCTTAGGTAACGTTTTAGTTGTATGTGTGTTTCAGTGTTGCTGCCTGTGCAGGTTAACTTTCTGTAGTGCAAAACATGCAGTAAGACCATTAACTGCCACTTTGTCCAAGCAGAAATTCCCATTTCATGCAACTTAGTCCAGTCGTGGAGGAAATCTTTTTTCTAGGCCCAAAGATGGGCAAACACAAACACCAAATGAGACACGGTGGCACCCAGCGAAGCTTGCTCCAGTGATGACCCTTCTGAGTGTTGCAGAGTAGGAGGGAGGGACGTTTTTCTCCCCAGTGTTGTTTGCCCTTTACTGGCAAGACAATGGGCTTCCAGGGTGGGGAAGGAGAAGAGCTTTCAGGCTACCTGTGCTGGGCTGAACAGCAGAAACTTTCTGGCCTCTGTTGTCCAAGAGGGAGGAGGAGACACCCCAGTAGTTACCTCAGTTAAAAACAAGCCCCCAACCCCCTTCCCACCAATTAAAGTGCACACTTTTCCTGCAGAAAGTTTTATGAATATCATGAGTTGCTTATATTATTGATAATGAAGTACTATTCCAGTTATTTGGCAAATTGACAAACAGCATTTTTTGTTTTGTTGTCTGTTTTCCTTTTTGTCCTGCAGGCGTGGTAAACCTCTCTACATATGCAAGGAGAGGTACAAAGTGCTGGAGCAGCAGTGGGTGTCTCATACGTTTGATCATATCAATAAACGATGGGGGCCTCATTATAACGGCTTGTAAATCATCATCCATCTCACGCGGCATCTTCACTGCTGCCATCCGTGACTGCATCTTGGCTGACAAAAGCTTTACCGAGCGGGAGCAGAGCTCTGCTGCGCGGGTGGCGTGGGCTGCGGGCGAGAAAGGGAAGCGGAACCTTGTCAGCACGTGAGACTTCGGTGTAATTAGCTGCTGTTGCTACTAAAATAATGATAAAATAATTTGAAATTAAAACAAATCCTCTAAATGGTGTGAGCAATCTGATTGCACTCAGTAGTCCATTTTTCTTCTGTTTTTTTAAGGCCCATTACTGTTAAGAAGCACAAGTTTTACTTACAGTTGTTTAGAGGCTCCAGGGATAGCTGTCAAGTTTTTATTTTTCTCTGTGCGGAGTTTGGTTTTTAGCAATTTTTGCTGAAACATTGTATATGTGTACTTCATCTACTAAATATATTGGATAAATATTCTTTGCCTTTTTGTGTGTTGGTTTGAGATTTTTGCTTGATACACATTTGTAATTATACAGGAATTGTAAAAGGTTTGTGAGGCTGCATGGCAGTGTTTGGTCTGAAAGCTGAACTTTAAAGAAAATTTCACTTATCGCAAGAGATCTATTGAAATATTTCAGGCATTACTGAAAACTTACGCATACTCAGGAATTTCATAGTCTTTTTTTTTCTCCATAAATAAGTGAAATCGCTGTAAATTAGATAGCTTATTGCTCATAATGTAATCCAGAACACACTTTCTTTTTTCTCTTCCAGAATGAGATTTTTCCATATCAATTGCGTAAACTGTTAGTGATAACACATACAGAAAAGGCTGTATACACAGTTTGTACAGCACCCAATGTAGCAGATCCCAATTATAAACATAATAAGGATAAGCTGCCTGTCATTAGAGAGCAGATGTATGTTTCAGAATGATTGGGTTGGAATATACAGGCTCTTCTACAAATGAAACGTAATTTGGTATCTTTCAGACAGTTCCTCTGTATTGTATTTGTTCAGAGTAATCACTGTTCTTTCTGCTTGATTTCCTAAAATGGAGGAGGAAAAAAAAAACCCACCAGCCTAAATAGAGAGCCTGTGTGAACAACCAGTGCATGTGCATCCTTTCTGCAAGACAGCCAAAACAGCTTATGTTTAGAGGACGTAAAAATTCATGGGAATGGACCTGACCAGGCTAAGCTCCGCACTGTAAGTAGGTAGGAAAGGATATGGATAAAGTCCTGGTGTGTGATGTAATGCTGCTGATGTTTCTCACAGATGTTGGACAGTGGTGGGCTCTATCCTACAGTACTTCCAAGCACTTTCTGGTAGTTTTGGCTTTCATTGCTTGTGTATAAAATAAAATTTATATGTGTAAGATAAAAAACATCTACTGGTAAAACCATATATACAATGAAAAGAGCTCCCCAGTGGAAGTCATTAACTAATGAAAAGTGTATAGGGGAAATAAAATGACTGTATAGCAGTCAAGGAGAATGGACAGAAGGAAAAGTAAATAAATATAACTAGTTTTTCTGGATGCCCACCATTTAAAAAAAAAAGTCTACAATAACCCATGCTGGTTTTTATACATACATATAAATATATATATATATATATTTCAAAGTATTACAGTACTTCCTGTAAGATTAGAATTACTATTTCACCAAATAAATAGCTTTGTCTTTTCAAAAATATTACTTTTTTGATACTGTATTATAAGTTCTGCCTGTAATATTTTTGCATTGCTCATGATGAATACCAGGCCATTTTGTAAGTGTGGTTGAAGAGCAAGAAGATTCTTTACATCTCCAGCGTAACATTTATTACAGGGCTCATGAACTTGAGTAATCTGTAGTTTGAAACTCCAGCTCTAGATTTACAAGAGATAATGTATGCAGAATTTGATTACTGTGTTTTATTTAAAATGGAATGTTCTCTGGTTGTGCATATGGATGTGAAGTAAAACTATTAGCCTTAACTTTAACATTTGAGTATCTCATAGTGTTTATTTTAGTACTGGTGAATTAGTCACCAGTCCAATTTGAAAACAAACAGAAAAAAGCACTTGATTGAAAATTGTACTTGAATATCCTTGCATGCTGCTAAACAAGAATTTTGGTTTTCCCCATAACTTTTTTAATCCTACTTCATGAAGCTTACCTTGAAAAATAACAGGTTCAAGCTAGAGTGCTGTGTGTGCGACTCGGCTGTTCTGGTGTGCTATCCTGTGTGAATGACCATTTAAGTACAGTACATTACTGTAGAATCTGAATCTTTATAACGCATCGGAAGAGTACAAAACTAGGAATACAGTAATCAACATTGTAAGATATGTTAATAAAAGTCTGCTCTCAATCTGTGTGTTAGCGAACTTTTTTCTTCTCCACCCTAATAATCCAAAATATCATTAGTACTGAATTCCATCCAAATAGTCAATGAGTTGTTTATATGGTAAAAGTTAGTGTGCGCAAAATACTTTGCACAGAGAGTAATTCCAGGTATCTCTTTTTCCTTTTGTTACTTACAAACTGTGTAGTTTAATAATTTAGATTATTTGATTTTACTCAGAACTATGCCACTTAAAATTGTTGTTTATTTTATGCCTGTGATTACAGTGTCGCTGCTGCAAACTGATAGAATTAAAATGCTGAAGTAAGAACCTGTGTGCCTAGGAAGACTGAGCTTGATCTTCTTTCAAATTTGTTTTTGTAAAAACTGCTTGAATTTACTATATACGTATATATTTGGAGTGTATATATGTATTAAATTCTTCCTTTTCCTTTGAGGATGGTGAAACGAATTTGGTTCACTCCCAGGTCTGGAGTGCTGGCTCTGCCGCAGCGCGCGTGACCCGAGGGGGCCGCCTGGGCAGTAGCTTCTCTGCTAGTGCGTGTGGGGCAGTGAGATGCCCCTGTGGGGCAGCGAGATGTCTGCCTGGGGCAATGGGATTCCTGCCTGGGGGCAGTGGGTCAGGCAGCCTGGGTACCCGCGCTCAGGTTTCCTCAGCAGGGACCTCTGTCTGCAAGGGTCTGCGTGGTGAGAAGAGCCCTCAGGGCTACAGTCAGGCTGCCTGAGCCCCCTGCCTCTTGTGCCCATGCTGTGCTTGGTCATTGAGGTTGTAGCGTTGCTGGTTTGTACCAGCTTTTATTTTCTGGAAATGAACATGCTGAAGTAGAAGAGTATTCATGGTAAAGTCCAACACTTCCTGAATTCCTACCCAGGATAAATGGCCAGGATGTTTTGGTGATTTAAAAAAAAAAAAAAAAAGTATTTCTGATTTTAGGGTTTTTATTCATTATGGCCTTTCTCACATCCCGCTCTGGACTTTCTTATAACTAACATTATTCAAAAAATGTAATGCCACATGTTGCAAGCAAAATGAATCTTGTTAAATTAATTACAGTTTTGAAAAGCTAATCTTATTAGCCCCTCCCTCCTCCCCCCCCAAAAACATGACTTCTGTGATGCTTGCTTTTGCATGGTACAGGGAAAAGCAAAAAGTAAGTTTTGAAAAGCATTTTAAATTTAGCTCCAAGTCCTATTTAAAGCATTTCAGAATGAGTCTTCATAAATGTGTTACTATTTGAAACGCCAGTTCCTGAAATTCTATTACAGGAGGTAGTGCAGGTTGCTCTCAATTTATGAAAAGTGAGCCTGATTCCATGGTAACCTCTTGCATCCTCAAATGATTTACTACCCAATAAACAGCTTACTATTCCTTTTGTATTTCATCACTTGTATGTAACAAATGGATAGTAAACCTTTCCCACTCGCGGAATATGAAAAATGTTTTGAGAGCTGAGGCTAAAATGTTTTTATTTCTTGTTATCTGCCCTCATTGGAGGCAACTGCTTCCCTGTAAAACTGGAGTTCCTCAGGGTACTCCTTATGCTGTCTGTAAGGGGTGTGTATTTTAGCTGGTAGAATTGCTTGTAGCTCTTGTGTCTAAAATGTTTCCCATTGTAGGACTGCTCTTAGCTCTTCCGGCTGCTGAACTTTTAATCATTTTGACTCAGAAAAACTGCACTGGACTTATTCGTCATGGTTGAATTTTTTTAAAGGCTTCAACAAAAAGAGCAAAATGGCTTCATAGAGTAAGACTGAAGAAACAAATGTATCTTTCATTTTAAAAGGAATTCTTCCAAGCTTTGAGCATCTTTGATGTCTCAGTGCTTTATTAATGTCCTGAAATGCAGTAACTGAATTTGTGAGGATCGTGTATGACAGGAGAATGGGATCATTTACTGAGCTGCTCTTCATCAAACTGAGCAGTCTGTTCCCTGGGATCCCGTGCATGTGCCAGCAAATAATAAATGTCTCTGGTTTTGAGGTTTCAAGGAATAATTGCACCTGGATCTTGAGACTGCTAATAATGTTTGTTTAAAGATGTGTCAGTTTTCCTTCCGGTTGACTGAAAAGGTGGAGTTCTCTCCGTGTAACGCAGGTGTTTCTTCCTGTCTTGATTACCGTCGTATTGTCTATGTAGGGGTCCCATTTTTTATGATATTCTACAACAGAAGCACTGTAAAGCACTGGAGGCCCAATAACTATATAAAATATTTGGCAAGTTGTACTATGCTCTCTCAGAATGCTTTAGGCAAGAATGCAAGGAGACGGTGGGAATTAGTTTATGGAGACCGAATAGTTCGTTACGCACCACGGGAACTTCAGACCGGCAGCTGTGTTGGCCACAGGGAGCCTCCGAGGACAGATAAAGGACTGTGGAGTTGGCCTTCACTTCAGCCTTCTCGCTGCAGCTCCAGCTTGTTGCTTTTGTCTCACATTGAAGTTGTGTCCCCTTCCGGATGGGAGCAGCTCTTAACTCTGCACTGTACAGTAACTCAGCGGCACCCATCTCCGATGTCGGAGCAGCTCGTGTCAGACAGTCCAGACATCCAAACGGTGACATCTGCCATCATCTCAGGAACAGAAATGTGCACCCAGGACTGGAATGGGACAGACCCTTCCGTGTTTCACTTTACTCTCTTACTTTCTGCGTGTTTTCCTGCTTCCAACCTCAGATGTTCTGCCTTCCCACACAGGTATTTTGGCAGTAATCACAGTTGCCAGGAAGTTAACGTTGGTTTGCTGCTTGTAAGCAGCATGACACTGGCCTTTATGTGGCATCTTAGGTGCCTCTGCCTCACCTTCTTTCCTGCCAGGAACTGCTCTTACAGGAAACAAATTCTGGGCGTGGAAGGTGCTTGCAGCCCTTCCTGAGCGGCTGCTGTGTCTGCCGCAGGATGCTCCCAGCCAGGCGCTAGGGTCCTTCCAACAACCTTCAGCCACCCGGCCCTTCTGCTGCATCCGTACGAGAGCTACCTGAAACCAGCACAGCTTTGTATTGAAAACAGCCCCTTGGATTTATACAAGGAAAAAGAGTAAAAGAAATTATATACTATATAAACATATAGTATATATATAGTAAGTATATAAACATATACTTACTATATAAATAGTAAAAGAAAATGAGTATTAAAACACTTAATGAATGAGTCTCTTAATTTTTATTGGTAAATGATGGGCAGAAACTGAATCTTAATCAAATTGTGTGTGTATATATATATGTGCGTGTGTGTGTGTGTATATATATGTATATAAATTATTATTTTTATCAGTCTAAAGAAAAAATCCACCCCAATCTCAAGCTTCGGTACTTCAGCTCTTTCCTTTTTTTTCAAAATATATGGAATATATAAGTATGTTCTGTGTGAATATATTTCCAGAGATGCTGCAGTTTCTTTTTTCACTGAACGCTGCACATGTGTGTTGCATCCGGTCCTGAGGAATACAAATACAAAAGGCAGGTTACACTGATGAATGCCAACAAGGTGGTTCCCCTGGCAACAAGGAAGAGAAGGAAGCTCAGCCCATTCCAGGGATTTACTGTGGTGAGTGTGTGGCAGAAATGATGGATCTGAACACTGAGGAACCAGCCAGGACAATACTGTGCTATAAGAAGAAATGAGGCAAATAGAAAATGGTGCTTTTCAATTACCCTGAATTGCTGGCTCTTTGAATTGTACAGAGAATAATTATGTCAAATTTGCGTAGGATATTCAAAAGGGAAAAAATACTGTCCTTTTTTTTATAGCTAGCATAAAACATTATGTACCTTTACTTGTTGGTTGCATAGCTTTTAATTTTCTGAACTAAGAACATATGCTGTATGTGGGAAGAGGAAAGGGGAAAACTTTGAAAGGGAAATAATCATTTGGATAATTGTACCTCCAGAAACTATTAATACTGACCTGTATACTTACTTCTAGCATTTAAGTGACACGGATTGTGACATTTGACACAAACATTCATCCACTTAAGGTCAATTCAGAGATTTAAATATATTAATAACATATTAATTATATCAAGTAACCACAAGAGGCTGCGATGGCACTGCTGATGACAATGCTGCTGTGCGTATGACTGGAGCTATAAAAGCTTGGTCGTTAGGATTAGCCCTGAGGGAGGACACCATGCAAACTGCAGGAGCAACATGGGAAAACTTCATGGGATTTGGGGAACGTGACCTGTACTGTGGAAGGGCCATTCAGGTACTTACTGGTACAAATGGCTTTCTAGTGATTCTGTGTGTCAGTCCTTCTCCTGGCACTTGGTATCTGGAACTCATGGCATGCAGGATCTTCTACCACAGCATGAAGGATCTTTTTGGCTTTAAGTCCTCTGAGTCACCTTTCTTCTGGAGTTTAAAGCTGGGAATTATTCCAATAGAATTCTAACTCGCTGTAATTCAGCAGCACTATTAACATTGTGGTGGTGTCTGAGCCTCAGGCTCCATTGCCTCAGTTCTGTGTCCAGGCTTGTATCTGCAGTTTGAGGTTATGATTTGTAAGGGCTGGACCCTGGGTATGTTCCCTGCTCTTCAGTCTTGGCTGGAGCTGGGGCTGCCCTGAGCTGCTGCTCCGGCTGTTTCCCAGCACTAGTGCAATTACTCTCCGCAGCCCTGCTGAGACCTACACAGTTCGGCCGCGCTCCATAGTCCTTACCTGCCCGGGTACTGCATGCAGCCGCCGGCTTCTGGTTTAAATCATCTAAGATATGCATAAAGCTCCAATATTGTTCTTACTAAAATTGATGTGAACTTTTCCATTAATTCCAGGGGCAGCATAATCGAATGTTATGTTAATACTGCTGGTGTTTCATTTCCTCCATTGCTGAGGAACTTTCTGATTAAGGATCTTTCCCAGCCCGCTCTGCTGTTTCTTTGCTCCCGGCCCATGTTCTGAAGCTCCTCGCTTGCTTTGCCCTTGCTGTCCTCTGTACTCGGCTAACGCGATAATTCTGTATTCAGGCTTTTCCTTCTACCAGGGCAACTGAGAACAAAGCCGGATGCCTCTGCCAGAGCAGAGCCCTTGTGTGCAGGTGAGCCCAGGCACGCTAGGGCTGGGAGCTGCCGCCCCAGAGAGCCTTAAGGAAGCCTCCAGCTGCTTGGGCGGCAGGAGCCCAAGGAGCTTGGGCTACCGGACCCTGGGACGCAGCGCCCTGGGCATGTCCTGCTCGTCCCCTCCAGAGAGGAGGGAATCCCTTCTCTGGGATGGGAAGAGCCTGGGGAGGAAGCTGTGATTTAGAAATGGCAACTCCAGACCAAGGCATTTTGAATGCTGCAGGACAAGGTGGATTAAGAGCACCCAGGTTTGGGCTAAGATGGCAGCTTGGCTTGCCTTAGGGGTCCTGATCCCCATCCCTAATGCTGATCTGGGACAAGAGATGGGCTCTGGGCCTGCTGTAGGAAACTACTAGAGTAGACAGGAGCACCCTTGTCCTTATCCTTCCCTGTATGTTATCCTTTTTGCTCTTAGAAATACAGTAACTGGTACAGAAAGACCCCTATGAGGAAAGTGTCAGGAGAGGAGATTTCTCGCCCATATCCCGCCTCCCTCTGCTCATGCAGATGGTCAGCAGGGACTGAAGGAAGTCTTAGGGTCAGTTCTTATCATCATCAAAGCAGAAGTCTAGTGAACTCCTTGGGTAAAACCAAGTGAAGAAATGGTTTAGCCATAAATATTTTGTTTATATTTGTTTTTGCCAAGGTAATGGCAATCTTTGAATGAGATGTGCTTGTGTTTATTTAAAAGCTATGAAGGAAAAAGCTAAGTAGCACCCATGTGTCCTGGTAGGACCAGATAGTTTAAGCACTTTACCAGATATTTGTGAAAGTAGCACGTTTCAGCAGTGTCCTTCATGTCTTCAGCCATGTTTTTTTCTCCTTCAAGCAAAGCTGTTTTATATTATTACTTTAACTTTTGCTTCACCAGTGTTTATGGTGTGTGTAGGTTAAGGCAACCATGCATTCTGTTTATAATCACAAGTCCATCTCCGGGCAAAGAAAAATGCACAGAGATGAGCAGTTGTTTAAAAAAGCATGAAGTCCTCCTGACTTGAAATGGACTTTAGCAAATAATATTTGTGCAAATCCACTTAAATGGGGAGATTTTAAAATTATAAAGCAGGGCAAGGCAACACATGTAAACTTTTAGTTCCAGGAGGAGTAGGCTTCATAGAATGATATGTGTTATGACTAAAATAAATTTGAGAATGTTGCTTTATTGCCCATTGGTAATATGTTGGCTATGTGTTGATTTCTAGTCAACAATGTATGCCAATTTAAATATTAACAGATTCACCTAAAAATATCAACTGCAAACTACTGAGCGATGTGTACCAGTGAAACTAACTAAATATTGTATGCTATTTGCTGTGTAAGAAGAAATCTATATTCATTCAATTCTTGAGGCAAAAGCACTTTAGAACATTTAATTTGCTTTTCCTGTTTGGGCATCTAACGAGGACCATACAAATGACATAAAGTACTTAATGTTCCAATACACTTTAAAGGAAGGCTAGGAAAGTCTCCCACTGAGCCTGCACTAGTGGGACCATTGTATAACAGATCTATCGTCACTGTACATGTCATCAGAAATATGACAGCAATTATGGGTTGCTCTTTTCTACTGTAAATGTGCAAGCAAGAAAAAATAATTGCTGTAATCAAATGTAGCTTGTCTCTAGATTTGGCTTCTGGGTGCTTAATGTTCATTAGGTAAATTTTAATTTAGGACAGAGGAGTCTTATTAGTGCAAACACTAACATCAATATTCTGACTGCCAACAAAGGCAATGAAAAGTGAAGTTGCCAGTAAGGAATATGACTGAAAATAAATCTATTCCTTTAACCTGTGTGATGCTACAAAAAAATGGTAGGGTTATGTAATCAGAAATGTATGCCTGTCAAAATGGCTAAGCTAGGATTAATATTCTGGTTTTTGTAATCTCTCTCAGCCTTTTTAAATTTCCCGTATTTCTATGAATCACAGATGATTCCATTGGCAAGTTGTTACATTTACAGAGCTACTGCAATGAAAACTGCAGCCTGGTGGAAAACCTTTGTCTGTTTGGAAGTGCCACACGTGCCCCGGCGCCTGCATGCCAGCTGCTTGGGCAGCCCCATGGCAGTGCAGGGAGCCTGGGTGGCTGCTGCAGCCCTGCGGGAATCTGCTGTGACCATGGAAAAGCTGCAGCGTTTCCAAAAGGCACCCTAATCTGCAGGGAGCTGGTACAAATGAGACTAGAAACACAGCAGCAATTGAAAAAAGCAGATATAGGGATATATAGATGCACAGTTTCAAGTGCATCTTGAAAAAAAAAGTGAAATTAGGACCTGGATGAGCTTTTTTGACATAAATCATGAAGGTGCTACTTGAACCAGCAGAAGTGTGACAAGAAGCTGAGAAGTTCCTGTGGTTCAAAAACCAACCTATGAGCTGTGGCAGAAACCTGGGGATTCCCCATGCTACCAAATTTTATACCAAAGAATTTTTGAGAATATTGAAGAAAAATCTACAGAATAGCAGATGGTGTTAGTTTTGCTTGCATCTATTTACTTTTTAAGTCATCATTGTATGAAAAAGAGCAAAGAATGATGTTTTAGAACCGTAGCCACAGCTAAAAATATTTTTAAGTGCATTTTAACTTTGGAAAAGTGAGGACATGTAGGATGAAAGATGTGGATCCTCCTGGACAAGCCTGCTGAGTATCCAGCAGAGTAAGCTTGACCAGATGTATGATTATCTCTCAGCAAGTGTTTGGTATACTGTTTGTATAAACCAATGGCACTTTTCCAATCATAACCAAATAAAGAAAATAATGACTTGTGATGAAGTCTTTGTATACTCTAAATACATCTAAATTAAACAGTAGTATGAAATGAACCGTCACTGGCAAAACTTCTGTAAATGTGCAGATCAATACAGGCTAAATTTGAGGAAAATGTGGATAATTTGCATTATCTACTATCTGAATCCAGCTTTGGCTTCTTTAATTTTACTTTACTTATTTTAATACACAAATTTATATTTAGTGTATATGCTAGAAAAAAAATGTGTATGTATGGATTACAAAACCCAGAATTCCCCTTCCAAGAGAAGGATAAGAAAGTCAGATTGATGATGATTCACTGTTTAAAATATTACCTTGTTAAAATAGAAGTGCTAAGGCAGTGGAAAGGTAGTACAGGGAGAAATAGGAGGAGAAATGTCATTGCTCTGTCGTTGTGGTTTGCATGTTAAATAATTATGAAAAGATATGGATATAAAATCTTCACAATTTACTTTTTATTAAGGTAGTTACAGACTGTAATTACAGAGAAATAGTGATGAGAACTGATCTAGAGCTTTTGCATTTTATTTAATGTGGTCCTGGATCCTGTGGAGTGGGTCAGATCTTAATGAATGAAGTAGCTGCACAATACAGTGGTGATTCTTTATTTGCAATAGATGTAGACTACAGTTAAAGTTCTTTTTGTTTTGAATGACAGGAGCTATCACCCATAACACAGAGATATTTAAGACTGACAAGATCTGAATTCTGTTTCACTACCAAAACATAGGGATGTTTATCTCAGATCTGCATGTATTGTAAGTATGTATGAAATGCATACAAATATTAAAAAAAAAAAAGAAATTTAGAAAGAAAATTTAGAAAAAAATTCAGAGATCTAAATAGCCAGCAGAATGCTTGTGGTGAGACCGTTATCATAAACTGAGATAGAAAAAAGCTTTTGTGTAACAGTGACCTATAGATCAAGACAATAGCCATTTCCTAATTGTTCCAGCTTTATGAATTTCACTTTTTATTTTCTCTGTAAACAAAGGTGCACTAAAGAAGTATCTGATTTTTTTCCTCATCAGACAAGCGAAACAGTCCAAAACTTGGTTAATACCGATGGCCCAATGAAGACAAATGCTGGTAGCTAGAAATCATAAATCCCAAAGAAGACAGGCCTCCCCCACTCTGAGAGGGGGAAATATTTTGTCTCTCCGATACAAACATTTTCTTGACAAGGGAAGATGTTTCATAAGGCATGTACAGCTGCCATGTTGATTCATAGTTCCAGAAAACCTGCAACACCGAGGAATAACTAAAGTGTTGAGTAGGTTTCGGTCAAAGTAATTTCATACTAATTATGTATATACACTTTTTTCTTTCTTTTTTTTTTTTTTTTTTTTTTTCTCTTCCCCTCCCCGGGGTAACTACCCCTTAAGCTACTTTGCGCGCTGCTGCTCCTTGCGCGTGTTCAACCGGCCTCTGCCTGGCCGCGCCGCCACGGGCGGTAACGGCCGCGCGGAGGTAACGGCCGCTCGGCTGGGCGGGGGCGGGGCCGCGCCCCAACCGCCAGGTGCCGGCAAATGGCGGCGGCGCCGCCCGCGCAGCTTCGCCGGCGCTCGACGGGCGGCGAGGGAAGGCGCTGGCTGCCCCGGGGAGCCCGCGTCGCCGTCGCGCTGCTCCCCGCCTGCCCGCGCGCGGGGGGCTCTCGGCCCGAGAGGCCCTCTCGGCCCGCGAGGCCGCGGCGGGAGGGCAGTGGCGGCGCCATCCCGCGCCGTGCTGAGGTGCCCGTGCGTGTGACGCAGTGGAAATTGCCGCCGCCGAGGCGGAGCGGTGCCCGCTTCGCAGGGCTGAGGTGCTGCCGAGAGCGGTTCCTATTTCCCGAATGCCGCGTCTAAACAATAGCTAAACAAAACCAAGAAAGCCCACTGTCGTTAAATGATTAAAAATGGAGGAGGAATTGCTACAAGGCAGGAAGTAAGTATATGTGGCGCAGCCTATTAGGGGAAATTGGGTCAAAGCCATTGAAGTAAAACACTGTATTCACAAGTACGCTAAATTCTGGTTGTAGTTCACCTCCTGTAGGATACCTGTGTGAATGGCTAATGAACCATAACCTAGATAGCAAATACTATCTGGTAAATTCCTGTAAATAAACATATGCCTTCCTCTCCCTACCTGGTACATACAGGTACATAGTCACTTGTTAACAGAAATGTTTTAGACAAAATTGTTAAGAGGAAGAATTTAGGATGTTAACCAAAATGTCATTTTAATTACTTGTTTATGGCCAGACATTCACTTATGTGTAAATATAAAACACTTTATAATTTTCCTATCTCAAAGCTAATTATTTTTCCTCTTAAGATCTATTGTTTAAAAATTCAGTTTTGTTAAACTGTAAAAACAAGGGTCACTTTTATTTGGATGTATTTTGAAGTGATGATGTAGGAAATTATTTTTTGTATAGAAGTTTTGGTTTAGCGTTAGTAAATCATATGCAGCAAAAGCAATGAGTGGGTTATATATTCAGTATAACCTACTGTAGAGTATCTTGGTGTGTGTTATAGCAGTATGTTAAATGCCTTTTCTTTGATCCCTTTTTACCTCAAAATTATACTACACCTCTATTAATCTGCAATATGAAATTTAAAAAATGAATACTGAAAAAATGTATTATTGACTTTCTAATTACAGAGAAGAGCTTTCATGGTCAGCATAATGACTGGTTGGTTGCATGAAGGATTGCCAAGACTAGTTTGGCAGTGTTTTTACCAAATACACTCAGCATAAAAGTTCATTGGACAAAGACAATGATTCTTGTTGTGCTAAAGCCTGGAGAGCCTTACTAACAAGAGGCTCTTGAATGCAGGTTTGGCCGAGGAAGAAAAACATTCCATATTGCAAAAACAGAAGTTACTGTCCTCACCAGCCTTCTGTCACCATGGAATAATGAACCGAGTGCTCATAGACCTTGCAGTGCTATGAGGTTGCTCAGACATACATTGGTGTTCAGGAAGGAGTTCAGGAAGAAGTACAGAGAATTCTGGTATAGGTTTTGCTTTTGTTTTGCATAGAAGATTTGCCAGATCTTTTTTTTCTGGCCCTGATTTTAAACTGCCATCTCAACAGCTCTTGCTGTGATATGCTGTGCGACCATAGGCTCTTTGTTACTTTGTAGAAATTTTACTGTTCTTCATTCCTAGAAGTCAATTATAGTGAATTTCTGTATGAGTGGAGAAAGTGAGATGAGAAGAAAACCTGTGGATCATCAAGAGAAAAGGATGAAGGGGGAAAACGCTTCATAGAAACCATATGCATAACCAGCCAGGTGAGCACTAAACTTTTAACTAGTATTTTCTAGAGCTAGACCTTAGCAAAGTAGAACTAGAGAATGGAAAGGCATTCTTTTACTTGCTTCAGGGAAGTCAAGAATACTTAGCACCTGCAGAAAAAAATCATAATTTTCTTCATTGGGAAAGAGCTTTTTTGGATTTTTTTTCTCTTCCTCCATTTTCCTTTCCATGAAACTAAACTGAGCTGTACTGCGTCTGTGCGGAACAAGCAAGCTGCAAAATACCTGCCAATCATCCAAGACAGGAGCACACAGCAGGTATTTTTAATAAAGGCTTCTGCTTTACAGATTAGAATATGGAGCCGTGTTCCTCTTACGCACAGAGAGAAGTGAAATGTGTAGACTTGCTTGCCGTGATGGAGAGTCACCGTGCAGTCTGGTGAAGCCATGTAGCACCTGTGCTAGGGAGGGACGATAAAAGGGAGCTGCAGCAGGAGGATCTGTCACGCAGAAGGGTGCACTGTGAACATGTCAGTCACCCAGGGAGCGGTGTGGGAGCAGGACTGTGGAGCTGAGGAAGGCCCCTGCGTTTTGGGGTAGGAGAGGGAATACTCTGCAGGTAGAAATGGAGAGATAGTAAATGTCTAATGCACCAAGTTCGTCTCCTGCTGGGTCCATCCTAGCTTATCCTGTCCTCCATGCTACTGCTTCTTTCACCTCTTTGTGTAGCTATGTGCATGCTTCCCATATAGGGCTGGACAAGGGGAATGCATGGTGAGCAAAGTGTGGTTTGACTGAAGCAATGAGATGCGCCTGAGTTCTAGGGTGCAAAGGAAAACCCATGATGGCCTGATAATGCGTTGAAAAGCTAGCCCCAGGACTGACTTGCCACTGCAGAAAAGTGACATATAACTTAAGAAACTACTGTCTTTTGTTGTGCAAAGCTTCTGCAAGGAGTTTTTTTTTTTTTTCTCGCTGAGGAAGAGTACTTTTGTGAATTATTTGTTGATTAAGGCCATACGTGCTTTCTGTGCACTGGACAGCTGCAGCTAGAATGCCAGAGCTCTGGGATAAGCTTCTGACAGGGTAAGGCTGTGCTTTCCCGTCTGAGTGCTGCACAGCAGGCAAGAGGCTGCACAGGATTCTGCTGAACATGGCTCACTGGCTGTGAGGATGCCTCATGAAAGGGGAAGAAACATGAAATTTTTCTCATTCCTTCCCTCCTTCCCTCCTCATCCTCTGCCTCTCATCCGGTTGTTCCTTTCTTAAGCAGTGCCCAGTTCATGGGAGGAGAGTGCTGATAATGTCTCCTATTTCCACTTAAAGAACTACACATTTAAAAATATTGGACTTTAGAATTAACTTTTTTTTTTCTTATGGAATAAATGAAAATTAAGGAAACTAAACTCATCTCCTGACATAGCACTACAGGAATTAATAAATGGAAGAGCTTTTAGCCATAGGGTGTGCATGAGACAGAAGTATCTTGGAATAAGAGAAAAGTTAAAGCTAGTCCATTTACTTTTGCATCTTTCATTGCTCCACTTAGCAACTGCTTTCTGGGTCAGAATAGGATGAGAAAAATGGACAGCTGTGGAAAACAGATACGTCTTCACCTGCTTAGTGTGATGCTGGCAATTGAAGTGACTAAAATCTATTCACAGTCAATTTTCTTTTCCTCTTTGCTGTGCTGAGGGTACTGTATTGACTGCAGAGAGAGGTGTGATTGGTGTAACAGTGAATGCTCTCAGTCTGCTCAGGATAATGGCATAATTACTGGAATCACCTAGTTCAGGAAACCATTTGCCTAACTTTTTTCATGCACACTGTATTTTTTTTTTTTTGGCTTAGAGAAATCCTTTTCACACCACACACACACAGTTTCCATTATGCACAAGAAAATTCCTTTCTTTTTGGTCTCCTGGTCACGTACTGCACACCACTACTTCTGTTTCAGAAAGTATTGGGAATTGAATTCACCTACAGTTCACAGAGTAACACTTGCACTGACCCCCAGAGAAACACTTTCAAGGGATGTAATTTTCAGGGGATCTGTGCTCATGGCTGAAATCATAAACAGTTTATTATGGTGGGCATTTTGTTCAGAAAATTTTTATTTATATTTCATCTGTTTTGAAATATTATTCTCACATTGTGTGTAAACTTGAATAATTAGATATGTAATAGAAAGGTCAAATCAGTAAAGCAGGTAGCACATATTAATAAATACAGGTTTTGTGTCTTATGTTTAGCAGGATTGTACTGGTAGAAGATAAAAACTCATTGTATTTTTTTTTTTTTTTTGATTTTTGTATTCTCATCTGTGCTTCCCCTTCTGAGCTTCTGAATGTGCTTTTCTCCTATTGCTAGTAACACATCAGCTTTATACCTTGTTTTGATTGTGGAATTCCACCTTACAAATTCTCACACTTTATTCCCACTATATAAAAGTGTCTCTTACCACTCTTTTATGCTTTTTTTCTGCAGTATTTCCAGACTTGTTCACCCACACAGCTGTTTTCCTTTTTGTGTGCAGTCTTGTACAGGCTCCCTAAACTCATCGGCAAGATTTTACTCACCAGTTAACTTTCAAATACAAACTTTCCCAGTCATACTTGTCAAAAGTGTTAGAATTGCGCTTTGTCTTACACTGGCCTGTGTTTTTTGTCCTTATTCTTTGGACAGAATTGATTATTTTGTAGAACATCTGACTAAGCATTAAAATAAACTACTTCAGGAGAGAGTTCAAGGCAAGATATAAGAAAGATATGCGACATCTAAGTGGGGGGAATACGTCCTTGCAGTAAGCACGTTCAGATGAGGCTCTCCATCCCCTTTTCACTGAGGAATGGTACTGTTTCTCTCATGCAGCTGATGAAACAAGACTTTTAGATATGCCTCTTTCCTTAGTGCTTCCCATCTCTTGGCTCCACGTCTGCTCCTAATTTCTGGTTGAATTTCAGACCAAATGTCCATCTTTTATGTCAGTGTTCACATTTGGATACTTACCATGAGTTCTGTGACTCCCGTTCTCTAACGTATAGGTGGAGCAGTGCAAAGTTTCTGCATAAATAAGGTCATTTGCGGAATGCTGCCCTAATCATTAGTGTGTTCTGCATGGCACTGCATTTAATCGCAAGAATTCTGCAGAACAGAATAAAGAGGAACTCAGAATTCTCTCTTGAGAGAAAAAAGTGGTGTCATTTTTTCCTTTCATCCTGGCAGTCTTTCTTATGTTGGTTGATACTTTCTAATTGCTATCAGCAGTATCAAAAGACACAAAGTTATGTTAAAGAAGCTCCAGCCTTTCCCCAGAAATTTGTAGGTTTCATTCATGCTGTGCTATACCGTATTTAAAATTAATTGGATGACCCAATTTTAAACCTGAAATACTGTATGAACTTAGAGACTGTATCAGTGCAAGTTAAGGCACTCAAAGCACATCTACAGTCTTTGGTACAAGGAAGCTGGAGGCCAAAACACAAGTGTTGGATGCACGTGAGCTGTTAGGGACTGGAAGGAGGAGAGGTGACCAACAGAACTGGAGCATGTTCAAAGGCTATATAATAAAAGCCAGACATTTCTATTTTAGTCAAATTCTACTTGTAAAAGACTAGTATGAAGATGGTTTAAGAAACTGCTCTTCCTTTCCCTGCACTGCAATAAAGCATCAGCTTGTTTCTTTCTATGTGTTTTTGAAATAGATCTTTTGAGCCAGAGTTGAGGGAAAGTCTCTAAATGCCCTTTACAAACTAAATCACACTGTGCAAGTTTTTGGTTTCTGTGTTTCATTCATCATGTGCCTGAGATCTCCTCATGTTCTTGTTAATAATTCAGTCTTTACTTCTAGATTTATTGTTCAGAGAGACAGTACCTTTTGCTGCGTCCAGCATATGGCCAACAGGAGTGATGTCGGGTAAGGAAGGCAACTTTTAATTCTTTACTTTATTCCCTCTTGATGAGCTTTGGTGTGAAAGTGTAATACATACAGCCAGGTTCATGTATTTCAACAACAGCTTGGAAGGCTTGTTACTTTATAACAGTTGGAGAAATGCCAAAGATCTCAGGTGAGCTGAAGGCTGTCAAGCGTTTTTTTTTTTTTATTCATGTTTGTGTGTTGCAGCAGCTGAAAACACAGCAAGTCCTGAAGCAAGTTGGGTTAGGTAAGATTGAATTTTTAAACTTAATCTGCTATGGCAACTTGGAGAAGGCTGGAAGAAAATTTATTGTGTTGTTATGTCCCCTTCCTGCATTCCTGTAAAACAGAAAAGTCCTTTTCTCATTCTGCTAACCTGACATAATCATCTCTCAACATATATCTTTGAAGTGTTGCTCTGCTTGCAGCTATTATTTCTTAACCTTTTTCTTTTTTCTTTTTTTTTTTTTTTCTCAAATAATTAAACTATCATAACAAGCTAGGTGAAACAGCGGGCTTCTGAGTTCATCATAAGACCAAGTCTGAGCTGAAAAAAACAGTGAGTTACCATTTGAGACCATGTATTAAGATGAAACACCGGTACCATTTCTTTTGAATGTGGCCCTCGTGCACTTGTAGCAGCACAAGTGTGTTTGATGCAGCTTGGACTGGGAGCATTAATTCTGCTCACAAGCAGAGTTCTACTTAAGGGTAGAACTTCCCTCGTAATTGTGTGCTTGTCCAGCCATTTCTCGTGCTATTCCTGTTCAGAAACTACTTGTTAGAGAGGGAACCCCATACTGTCAGTATCATGCATGGCATGAAGAGATACTGATCTCTGTGGCTCGTAAAATTCTTAGTTATATTTGTCAGCTAACTCTTTTCTTCATCCTCATTTCTAAAAGAAAATACAGTGTCTGATTTCTCCAGGCCATACCTGTTAGCTTCCTTCAAAGGAATTACTGTCATAAATTGTACCTTAAAAACAGCTGATCTTGAGTTAGGAGTTTACAGTGTTGATGGTTTTGCTAATGAGCAGTGCCTACAGTATTAGAAGAGAAATAAGCTTTTACAACTTGGATGGTGTAAGAAAGAATGGATTGTGAAGAGTGCTGCGTCTACTGCTTTCTTATTTTAACTCCCATGTGAAGCATTGACTCATGGTTTGCTTTTCCCTTTTTGGGTTCCCCTTCCCGTGAAAAAATAGTAGTTCATTCACCTCTCAGGATTTGTGGCTATATGAATGTCAACCTATAGAGAAATGAAACCCAGGGATTCCTGATTTATAGAAAAAAAATACATAACACTTCAAAAGAAAAATCACTTCATTGAGAATATTAATGCTAGAAGCAGCACAGGTTCAAGCTAAGGATTTGCATATGTGTTAGCGCTTTCCTTATAAAAAGGAAATGATCTTGCATGGGATCTACATATGTGTTTATGGTAACAAGACTAGCTTTTTTGGAGATACTGTGGTAATAGAGCTAATAACAAGACAGCTGGCATTGTTGTGCTGTGGTGAGCTTCACTCTTGCAAGACAAAATGCAGTTAGATTAGCAGATTTTTGCAGGCATAAGCAGTCATCCATATGTATGAAAGATTTAACTTCTGTTAGCCAGCAGATGCCAGTGTCCTCAACAAAGCTGTCCTTGCAACATACATACACCTATAGAATGTACGATGACCTGTAGTGTATGCTGTGGTTTCCACCCTGAAATGCTTTGTGGTGTCTGAGTGTAGCAGTGTTTGGGGGCATTGGCAGAGGATCATGAAGTGTTGCAAGGATGTTTATGCTGATCAGGCTACCCTAAGGTCTGTGTGTACCAGCCTGCTCTAGTACTGAATAAACCCTTTACTTTTTACCCTTGACGTATTTTCAGATCTGTCCTGGAGGCTCCGTTGAACTTGCTGTTGTATAATGAAACATTATTCTTTCTGCCTTCCCAGCCTGTCCTGTTTCTTGTATTTAGACCCAGTGTGCGGGCCTCAAGCTGGGCTTCCTGGAGGACTAAGTGATAGACATGATTAATTCTATCTCATTTATAAGAAGACAGCAGGTTTGGTGCACATCTTGTTGTCTTCACTTGTTCTCTTGTCGTTTCTGTCAATAGTTACATAGATGATCTTTATACTTTTGTGCAGCCGGTGAAGTGAATATAAAGACCTGTCAGACTTCTTTTCTAAAGCATTTTCTTCTGAGGCAACAAACCTAACAAATGTCACTTGAAGTATGAGGAACTGTGGCAGATGAAGCATTGATTTAATGGCTCTGTTGAGAGGCCAGATTGGAAAGATCATGGAATGAAATAAATATGCTAGATTTAGTAACTGTTTTGAAATAGTTTCTGTATTTAAAAACAAATTCAAGAAAGAGCAATGTATTTTAATACAGGAATGGAATATTAACAAAAGCATCTATCTTTATAATCCAAAACTAATTTGGCAAAATACAGCCATCTAGCCTTTCCTTTTCTTGCTGTTGTACTCTTGGAAACAAGGTAAATAAATTCTGTTGACTACTAAACTAATTTAATCAGATAAGATCTTGGCTGAGAAAAATACACTCTGCACTCATACTAACTTCAAAGCTTCTTAAACATGTATTAAATTCCTTTCAGATAGGGAAGGATTTAGTTGCAAGCTGAAAATGAAATGAGTCTTCAACCATTCTGTTGGGCATCTAATAGAAAGTAACTTGATTTAACTGAGTCGTAGTCTCTACCTTTAACAAATAGTGGGCTAAGAACATGTATAAGTTGCTGCAGCTCAGCAGCTTGGAGATCTGTAGAGCTGACTTCCTTCAACTGTGAATATACTCAAAGTGTTATTTTGAAGCAGTTCAGTGGCTAATTGATCTTTTTTTATGGGGAATATCTTTTCAAAGATATCCTCTTTGAATTGATTGATTTATTTATCTTTCATCATACTATAAAAGTTGAGAGTTTGTTTCACTTTTGAAAAAGTATTTAATTATTTTTCACCTAAGTAGCTGAAAGGGAGTTTGTTTATTTGTTAAATAAATATTTCAAATGTGCTGAGAGGTAGTGAATTTGCTTATAAGGTTTATATTAAATGATGCTGCATATTTTATGGCAAGATTGTGTCAGATTATAAAATTAAACTATTTAATAAACTAAACTAAGTTTGCATATATTGTCATCACACGTAGAGGAAGGACCTGTGTTAGTCAAAGAGAGAAACTTGAGGTTAGCTACTGATTGCTAAGTAGAAAGTTAAAGTTAGTGCACTCCCTCTTTCTAGGTGCAGGGGACGGAGGCAATTTATGCTCGCAGAAGGTTTGGAGGGTCTTTAAAAATCAAATAATAGTAAAACAGAGGAGACAGACAGTGACTCATATAGGTAGGATAAGTTTCAGGCTTCTTTTCACTAGCAGTAGTTAAGCCTTCAAAGTAGTTTGGCCTCTTTGCAATTTCAGTAATGAAGGAGTATCATAGCTGACTGTAATGATGCGTATGTCATGATATATGGAAACTATCTGGTTTAATATCTTGACAGAAGGCATTTATGGTAGCAGAAGATAGCTCAGTTGAGAGTTGCACTGCATTTAGCAGCACTGCTGAGAGACAACATGCTTGGTTTCACAGTCCTTGTAGGAACTAACTAGCTGCTGTGAAATGAAAACCTTCTTTTGCACAATCTTTGAAAAGGCAAATTAATCTGCACTCCTGGCTGGGAGGTGAGTGCTCTTTGTGAGAAAAACTGGTCTATATCACATGTAAGGATTGCTGAAGACTCTGCAAACTAGGAAAACATGTTAAATCAGATCATTTGCTTTTGATTGTAGCTGCAAGTAGCATGCATTATCTGCCCTCCCCACCCTTCTTCATAAATGAGGGTGAAATGAGGGTTTACATGTGGGCAGCCACATGTAAAAGTCTGCATCCAGAGACGCATCTGCAAGTTGATCAGCTCCAGCAACAGTCAAAGTTGTAAAAGAATATCGTAGCCTTCAAGGCTGCTGCGGACAGAGGGACTGCAATGCTACTGTTGTCTCAGGGCACTGTTCTTGCTACAACTTCCTTAGATATTTACCTGCACATGCCGCAGTCATTGCTGTTGATTCTTGTCGAGATGTTTGGACGCAGCAAGTCATGAGGTGTCCATAACTGCCTAATACTGGTGAATATTGATTTTCAGTTCTCTGGAGAGTATTGGTCAGAGTTTATCTTCTGATTGGCAATATCAGCTTGCTCTGTCATCTGATTGTCCTCTACTTGCTCCTAATAAAAGATGTGTTCACAAAGTCAGGTATCACATTAGAATTTCTGTTAGCTCTGTTCACTTGCTACTGTGACTAGTCTAATCACAGTAGGGTGTTTTTTTTTGTGTGTGTGTGTGTAAAGCAAATAAATAGTAACTGCTTGGAATAGAAGAATATCAAACAGCTCAGGGAGCAATGACGGATAGAAGCTCTACTAACATGTGCAGGAGGTGGGAAACTAGTAGTATGATCTAAGGTGCAGTGAGCTTGGGAACCTCCTGGGAATGAGAGCCAGCAATCAGCACTGGTAATCAGCACTGCACAGAAAGCAGCAAGAGGGCTACAAATGAGGTGCTTAAAAGTCAGAAAACTCGCAGAGGAATGAGACCTGCTGAAGCAGCTGGAAAGGGATCCTACAATCGGTATAAGAGAGCAGTTGAAGCAGTGAGGGCTCACTAAATGATTTTTTTTCATTATTTTTTTCAAAAGATGTGGCTCTGAGTTTAAACACGTGCCTTAGTTACTGTAGTCCTTCAGAGGAGCAGAGAAAGAATTTACTGCATGTGAATGTATTTGTAGATCTCTAGAGAGTAATGTTGTAGATCAGTTTCTTCTGCTGAAACAGGTTCATATCCATGTTTTCACCCCTTACAGCAATCTCTTACAGTAACATACCATGCCTGAGGCTTTAACCTTTCTTTTCATTATCCAGGTGGTGCCTGTCTCATGCTCAGAGACACCCTGCTATTTTTTATTGTTTTGCTTGCTTGTTTGTTG